TAATGCGCCCAATCCCGTAGGAAGAAGGACAATAACGTCTTTCCCAAATTCACCAAACATTCTCTTTGTTCTGGCTTTAAATCCTCGATCTCGGGAATCGTTGCCAACGCAGAATGTATGGCTCTTCGCTGATTGGCTGGTTGGCACTTCCGGGGTTCTTGGAAACCATCTAGTGTATTCCAATTCCTGATCTAGTCGCTGGAGAGAAATTAAATTGAGTGGAGGCACTCGGTGGCGCCAGCCTGACTAATTCAGAATACCTTCTTATTTGCAATGCCGACCTGACCAAGAGGCGGCATAAAACAGCAGAAGCAGAATACACTCACAAACACATCAATCATAACAAGGGACAATGAAACATTTGCAGATTAAAACTATAAAACTATACAAGCATGTGCACTGATCCTTTTGAGTTTTTAAAAATAGAGGTAAAAAAAATGTAGTTTTTAAGTTTAGATAGTCAAATATTCCTCTGCAAATAGATATAAAATATAAAAATATCTTGTTGTATCCATGATCTAAAACACATGGGATTCTTGTCTCCCAACTCTAATCTAGCCGTGATACTTGTAAGAAAATTAGCAATTCCATTTTTTCACAAAACCTTATTCCGCCCTGCCCACTTTTGTCTCTAACTGCTCCTAAATCGCACTTTGTTGTGGTGGCAATTCTGGGGATCCCATTCATGTCAAAGGAGAATTTAAGAAACATTTAGAATCTTAAATATAACATAAAGTAGGTTAATTTGTGTAAAATATTCAGTGTTCCAGTCACACTGCACTGATTACCTGGGAGACTTTAAAACAGATTTATAGTCTGTATTGAACTTATTTACTGTAAAGATCGGCCCCATACAAAATAATACAACCCAAATAATGATTGTAGCGCCCACAGCAACTTCTAGAATAAGGTGGATTAGGAAAAAAATATTATTATACTAAAATTAATGTCTTTCAACTGCAGATTTTGTTGCAATATGAAATGATCAGGTTCCATACTGTATTTGGGAATTTACCATTTGGATATTTCATGGCAAAGTATAGTGTAATCAATAAGAAAAACTGTCTCTTTGCCTCCTATCTGCAAGTATAACATCATCACATTGTAGAATCTGAAAACCACCAATTTGAAACTGCAGTTCGACTTATTCTCCGAGCTTTGGCCAATCAGAACAGGTGATAATGTCTTTGTCTGCATAGAAACGCACCGCTGTGAATTAGAATGATTGATTACAAATGTCAAAAAATACTCCAAAAAGTAAAACTGCCCGAAGAATTACTCGATTACAACAACGTGAGTATTCGTAATCAGTCCCTTTCCACCGCTGTACGTCATATAAACAGAGCAGCACCTGGTACTGTACATTGAACAAAGATTTAAGGTTTAACTTGAGAATGCCAGAATGAACTTGTATTTTTTCTAGTTTTGGGAACAGACTGGAGAACCTCTTAACAGTAACAGTAGTATATAATGTTTGTTCTGATGCTGTTGGAGCAATAAATGAAGACACGTTTACACCTGTGTGACGCCCGTTGTTGTTTTTAATTGTAAAAGTGTAAGTTGAAAGTATATGTTAAAGGGTCAATTTTCTGATCTGTGTTATAATGTTGTTGGAGTTGTGTTTTGTTTCATTCACACGGTTCACACACAAATTCTGCACATTTAGGCTGAGTTCTGATAAGTCTACACCAAAATATATGAGCTTTATTTTGACACAGTTTGACTCTAAAACTACTGGAACTCCAACAGGTGAGCCGGTTTGTTCTATTGTACAAGTTTTCACACATATACCGTATTTTTCGGACTGTAAGTCTCTCCGGAGTATAAGTCGCACCAGCCAAAAAATGCGTAATGAAGAAGGAAAAAAAAACATACAGTAAGTCGCACCGGACTATAGGCGAGTTTCAGCTGACGTCATTGTTATTAAAAGCCCGTGTTGCATGCTGGGAAATATTTTGGCCGGAGGCAAGAAACACGATAGCGTCAAACACAGTGTGTAACCTCACGTATTTATCCCCGATAATGGTAAATTCCTGCTGCATTATCGGATGCACAAATAGAAGCACGGAAGAAGGAAAATGTCTTTTTCGTATTCTGAGTGAAAAGAACAGCTAACGGTGAATTAAACGGCTTTCAAACATTCGCAGAGCAAACGTAGAAGATCCTAACAAACCGTGGACTCCAACAAGTTCAACAACGCATCGAGACTCTTGGAGGTTTTCATCTTTTCTGCTGTGAATGGCCCAGGAGTTTCCACCAAGTCATTGTGGATATCGCCGAAGTGAATATTTGTCCAGGTAGTTGGTGATTCTGACCAGAAATTTGGTTTGGTCCACCTTTTGTAGGGGTTGAAAAGGGTGATTTGGCTCCATCGATGCTTATGACCAATTTCTGGTCAAATCGTCTTGGGTCCTCTGCCGTCAGAGTGGATAAATAACCGGGATCAATACCCTTTACGTGCTTTCTCGCTCCGTCCGTCATGTTGAATTAGTGTTTATTGCCGCCGACCAAAATAATTCCCAACATGCAACGCGCGCTTTTGTCAACAATGAAACTCACCTATAAGTTGCACTTTTTGGGGAAATGTATTTTATAAAATTTGAGCCCAAGAACCGACATTTAACCAACCAACATTTAAAAGGCGTTCAAAAGCTACAGATACATTATAGAGACATTATTTATTTATAATCGTTATTATTTTAATATTATGCTTGTTCTGGATTCAATGTTTAAGCAAAAAGAAAAGGTTTAACATTACATATCTCGAAAGAAGAGAAAACATGCAGATGATGTCGAATTTTTTCAGTAAATATTTAATTTGGCCCACTTAGTCCCAGTTTTTAATTTTGTCCCTCTGTGAATAACGTCATTGTTGCTTGTTATCCACATTAGGGAGGATAAAACAAAAGTGAAAGTAAAACAAAAAGTACTGAAGTTATGTAGATTTTTTTGGGATTGTCTGGAGGAGGTAAGACGCCTGCATGATTCCAAGGGAAAAGAAAGTGAAAGGGTATAGATGTTAACTTGACAACAACACTGTGAATCTGAATAAGTTACCAGAACTCAAAAAAATTAAGGCCTCAATTACTTAAAAGGTTGGATGGCTTGCTACTTGTACCTTTTAATAACAGCTGAATTAAAAGTGCTCATTCAGCTCAACTCAAATATTTGCAGTTAGTTTTTAAACCACTGGAATAATTACATTTTCAGTTTGTGTGTAGTTCATGATTTTGTACACACAATCCAGTACATATCTACACATATTATAGTAAACAACTCAGATCAGCCGACACCAACCTCCTCACTCCCCTCATCGGGACAAAGCACCCGACCTTGGGGGACCGAGCCTTCGCAGCTGCCGCCCCCTCCCTCTGGAAAACTCACTCCCACAATCCATCAGGAACCTGGACACACTGCAACACTTCAAATCACGACTAAAAACTCACCTGTTCAAGCTGGCATCCCCCCCGTGATTCCCCCGTTTTCTACAGTGTCACTTTTTATTTGTTTGTAAAGCGTCTTTGAGTGTCCAAAAAAGCACTATATAAGTCTGATGTATTATTATTATTATTATTATAAACACATCATAGTATATATACACATGATACACACCGTAGGAGGGGGATTTGAACCAGGTCCCCCATGTGAGTATCAGGAGATTCACCAGTTGAGCGACTCAGCTGAATCAAACTACACACAGTAAATAATATATTATAGTATAGGTACATATATTATACTATAAACACATGATATTATACATATAGACACATTATACAGAGATTATACACACCCGAGGACAGGCAAATTCGGCCCTCAGACAAATTTTTCTTGGCTCTCAGGCTTCCAGGAGAATTGACCCAAATGACCTTGCATCAACTAAAAATGAACTTTTTACTGCAAGTTTTTTTTTTTTTTTTTTTTTTTTTCAATATACCTTGATGAAGCTGATATTTAATATTTAGTGTGTGGTTTTAAGGATGTTAGCATAAATAAAGACTGATGGCTCATTCTAACGTGTTAAACATGCACATATTTCAATTATTCACTGTACTGAGCACCAGTCTATGTCCCTCGATCGGCCCTCTGCTTCATCTGTGTTTAGGTATGTGGTCCTTGATGAAAAAAAGTTTGGACACTTCTGCCCTAGGAGGAGGATTTAAACCCCAGGTAAAAATCTGTGGATTTACTTGTCTAACTGATATAATATAATATGTATATAGTTTAATAATACATACATACTTTGAATTTATTATTATTGTTATTATTTTAATGTATTTATTTTGGGCAAGTAAAGATTTACATTCTTATATAATGGAACATATAACATAAGTGAAATCATAATAGAAATGAAAATAACCACAACAAAAAACTGGCCCAAAAAGGAGTGAGTCATACATTAGAGTCACACATTACACATTATAGTATACACATAGTACATTATACTCACATTACATATTATTTTTTAGTTATTTCTTAAATCTACTAAGTTGTACCTCATCTGTGTTTTTAAATTCTGCTCACTTATACTCGCAATAATTTCCTTTAACTCAAAAAAGAACATGTTACATCAACTTGACATAATTAAGTTTGTAGGACTATTTCTAAAACTTTGAGTATACACAGCTTAATATTTTTTAATTACTTTGAACGTTCGGGTTTACAGTACCTCTATATGACAAAGTGGGACAGATCATTTTGAGCTTTGAAAATGTAAAACAGACTAATAATAAAGGATTACTCAAACAAATGTGAATGAAACGAAACAACTCCAGGACTGTTTTTGATGAAGGAACAAGCTCAAAAGAGAGATTTAAATGTGTTCAAAACAGGGGTAAATTCTGTACTTCCTTCACCACTGCATCACTGAACACTGATTAATCTACGTTTTGTATATTTTTGGGAGATTTTTACTGTGTAGAGAGCGCAAACTTTATGTAACAACAGCACCATCTAGCGGCCAAACAGTTTACAGCGTTTCTATTACCCAGTATCGAAACCGAAAGTTAAAAGGTGTGGTGGAAAACGAAAACGCAACCTTTAGCAGCAGGGAGATATATATAGGGTGTTTTCTGCTCTTGGGAGTCATTTAGGTGCTGTCCTGGCCTGAAGACTAGACTGTTTACACTCGTGCGCTCTGATCCAACTGCGTAAAGTACTAAAGTATGGATTCTAACACGGACGCGGTGGGGAAACGTCTCATTGAAACGTTCAGACAGCGACTGAAAAAACTCATCAAAGTAGACCAGGTCGTCCATCATATTCACTTTCTAACTCCGGAGCAAAAAGACCTGATACTGCACGGACATGGAGAATACGCGGCTGCGGATATGCTGATAAGTGAGGTTCTGAAGGCCCACGAGCCGGGTTGGTTCCGTATGTTCCTCGACGCACTGAGCCACGGGGGATGTGAACGAGCGGCTCAGTACGCAGAGGGCCAGCTCCCCAGCGCGGAAGACGAGGCAAACAATGACCAACACGTCGGGCTCATCCAGATCCTCTTCCCCAGTCTGCTCGGCAAGATGGAGCCCGACACCGTGTGCGTGGAGTGTTACGCGTCTAACCTCATCACGGACGCAGATAGGGACATCGTAAGTGCATCTATCAAATTTAATGCCCCCCATGAAGTGTTTTAGTTTGAGTTTGAGGACAGCTGTTGTTTGCATCCTGGTTGTAATTGCAGGCGCCAAGCAGAAGATGGCGCACGAGTGTTTTGTATCTTATAGTCACAGTCGGACTATTTTTAGACACGCTGCGGTCACACTATGAATGGAAAATGTTGAATGGAATTATATTAGCGGCAAAGTCCATTGTCTTGTATTCAGGAACATTACAACAGATCAAAACACTTCTAATGAGGCTGACTTTCACTGCTCTGAGTGACAGCTTCAACCAGTATCACCGAAAGTAGGTAGAGAAGTCACACTTGAGTCACTATTTTTAGGACTTGAGACAAACTGACTTGATAAAACGGACTTAAGACTTGGGACTCGACTAGAGGTGTGCAAAAATATCAAAATATCAATATATCGTATCGTTTAATGTGATGATACAGTATCGATATTGTGGGCTGCTGTATTGATATATCACCAAGATTATTTTTTGGTGTATTTTACTAAATGATTTTGTTACAGTGCTACAGTTTTGTTGCTTGTTTAGTGGAACACATTGCGACACATTTGACATTTTCACTGTTTTGATGATTAAAATGTTTGTGTTTAATATGAACTTTGCACAAGAAGTGGTTTAACAGAGACTTTTAGTATCACAGCCATTATTTAGCCATTATTTTTTATTGAACCGTATCGAATTGTTTTGAAATATATCGTATTGAACCATAAGTGTATCGAGATATGTATCATATCGGCAACTTAATGATGCCCAGCTCTAGACTCGACTTGGACTTAAAGATCAATGACTCGGACTTGAGCTCTGTGACTTGAGAAGACTTGATGCTTCTGCAAAAAATATATGTTTTTAGAAAATACTTTTCACTTTACAGTTGTTAAGTTTTAAAGGAGCAAACTGGAACATGTCCCTCCCACTTTTCTATTTGTTACTTTGGGTGTAGCTGATGTACTGTGACATGGTGTCCTTAAATGTACTACAGTAATTTACAACACAATAAAGTACAATACAGTAAAACAGAGGAAACTACATAGAACATGATCCTTCCATTTCAGTGCAGACAACACAACAAAACAACTGTTAATAACTTTTACACTTTTGAATCTTAATTCTTTCTATTCTGACCGTAATGATTCACACTAAGATCTTGTCAAAAAATTTTCGTTTCTACAACTCTTATATAAATATACCATGACCTTTTAAGTAAAATTTTGCTTAAAAGTCATATAAATTACAAAACTCTAAGCTGTATTTTTATTTTTTTTTTTGGTTTAAAGACTTGAAATGACTTGAAGCTCAAAGCAGATGACTTGGATTTGACTTTGACTTAAGGGCCAGTGACTCAAGACTTGACTTATCGAAGCCAAAATATCCGATTTGGGTCACTTCAGGCTGCAGTCTGAACGCAGCCTTAGACTTGCCTGTATCTGACTTGGGACTTGACTCGGACTTGAGGTGAAAGACTTGAGACTTACTTGAGACTTGCAAAACAACAACTTGGGCCCATCTCTGGCCAAAAAATGTACTGAAATAAGAGTAACATTAACCTTCTTGTAGTTGACCTACTCACGTAAAAGTTAAAAGTTTTTTTTAGTTTTTTTTTTTGTGTGAAATAATTTCTCTTCTCTTGCTGTTGTTGAATGTATATCTCATATCTTAAGTACTACTATTCAAGTAAGAGAAACGTAAAGAGAAACTGCCAATATTTATAATTTTATGTTAATGTAATTGGAAGGACAAAACATGAAATAATTAAAAAACAGACACAAAAATGAGAAAAACTAAATTATACCTGAAGGAGTGGTGCAAGAAACACAAATGTTCATATAAATCTTTTGTCACTTATACAAAACCCTCAACTCAAGAAACAGTACTATTACTTCAATAAAAATATCATCACTCAAGTAGGAGTGGAAGTATGCTGCTAGAAAAGTACAATATCTTCAAAATGTGTATACATCAGTCAATTTGTTGTGTTTTGTGTATTTATTTCACTGTAGATTAATGCACAGAATGAACCAAGGAAAAAAGCGTCAGAACTTCTGGGGAGAATCATCAAGGGTCCTGAAGGATGGTTCTCCACGTTCCTTGATGTCCTTCGTAAAACAGAACACAATGAGTTGTACAAGCTCCTCTCAGGGCAGTCTCCAGACGAACACGATGGTGAGTAGAAAATGCAGAAATGTAAGGGAATTTCCTAGATAGCAGGGTATTTTAAATTACTTTTAGCGCGGATTCAGGTGACTCTAGCGTGGATTGTTTGCTTTGGCTTTGGGTAAACCAGCAATCATGTCGTTAGATTTGATTTTCTCCTCTGAGCTGTGATTGGTTGAGATTTAACCTCGCGTGTAAACAAAGAAAGAACACAGGGTGGGAAAGAAGAGCTGCATTTAAAGTTGGACTAAACACCTAAACCCCACCCAAAACCTAATTTTAAACTGATGGTTTGGTTAGTACCTGATTTAGTCCTGGTTTATACCTGCTTTAGTTAGTGATTTAGTCCTGGTTTAGTCCGGGTTAATTCTGGTTAAATCCTGGTTTATTCCTGGTTTAATCCCATGTCCATGTCCATATAAATGGACATGGACATGGAATTTGTCCTGGTTTAGTCCTGGTTTAGTACCTGCTTGAATCCTTGGTTAATTCTGGTTTAGTCCTGATTTATTCCTGGTTTATTCGTGGTTTAATCCTGGTCTAGTCCGGGTTTAGTACCTGCTTTAGCAACTGGTTTAGTCCTGGTTTAATGCTGGTTCAATCCTGATTTATTCTTGAGTTAATCCTGGTCTAATCCTGGTTTAGTACCTGCTTTTGTAATGGGTTTAATCCTGATTTAGTCCTGATTCATTCCTGGTTTAGTCCTGGTCTAGTCCTGGTTTAGTCCTGATTCATTCCTGGTTTAGTCCTGGTCTAGTCCTGGTTTAGTCCTGATTTATTCCTGGGTTAACCTGGTCTAGTCCTGTTTTATGACCTGCTGAAGTCCCTGGTCAAGTCCTGGTTTAGTCCTGGTTTAGTACCTGCTTGAGTCCCTGGTTTAGTCTTGGTTTAGTTCTAGTGGATGCTTCCTGGAGCTGTCTAAAGGAAAGTTGCAGCAATACTTAAACTTTGTGAGTAACATCGCTGAGTTAAATCTTGTAATGTTTAAAAAAAACACCATTTAACTCGATAATGTTTCGTAAGCATTTTAACAAACTTGAAATAACCTGAACTCATCATTTCTGGTAAGGATTACTGTTGGGGTTCACAGTGCAACTTCCCGAAAGTTAGTGACTACCTGGCCTGTGTTTATTTGTATTTACATGTAATTTGTGGTGTTTCTTTTTTTTTTTTTTTTTTTTTTTTTGTCTTTTAGCTGAGAAGGAGCCCTCACACAGAGATGAGCCCACAGGAAATGAATGTCCCGCTCCAAGTCCAGCCAAAGATGCAGACTCAGCTCAAGATAATTCTGTGGCCAACCCCCCGTCTGAAGAATCAACAGGTGAAGTCCACAGATACTAACATTTCTTAAAAACTTAATTTTAATACAAAACCACATCCTCAATAGTCACTTTTATAACAACATAAATTTAAATGTCATCAAAACTAAAAAAAAAAGCACCAGAATAAGGAAAATGCAAAATAATTTGATCCCCATTGACTGTAAATATAAATGGACATGGACATGGAATTAGTCCTGGTTTAGTCCTGGTTTAGTACCTGCTTTAGTTAGTGGTTTAGTCCTGGTTTAGTCTTGGTTTAATCCTGGTTTAGTCCTGATTTATTCCTGGTTTAATCCTGGTCTAGTCCTGCTTTAGTACCTGCTTCAGTCCCTGGTTTATTATTGGTTTAGTCTTGGTTTAATCCTGGTCTAGTCCTGCTTTAGTACCTGCTTCAGTCCCTGGTTTATTATTGGTTTAGTCTTGGTTTAATCCTGGTCTAGTCCTGCTTTAGTACCTGCTTCAGTCCCTGGTTTATTATTGGTTTAGTCTTGGTTCAATCCTGGTCTATTCTTGGTTTAATCTTGGTCTAGTCCTGCTTTAGTACCTGCTTTAGTACCTGCTTGAGTCCCTGGTTTAGTCTTGGTTTAGTCCTGGTTTAGTCCCGGTTTAGAACCTGCTTGAGCCCCTGTCTTAATCCTGGTTTAATCTTGGTTTAGTCCTGGTTTATTCCTGATTTAATTCTGGTCTAGTCCTGGTTTAGTACCTGCTTGAGTCTCTGGCTTAGTCTTGGTTTAATCCTGGTTTAGTCCTGATTTACTCCAGGTTTAATCCTGGTCTAGTCCTGGTTTAGTCCTGGTTTAGTACCTGCTTGAGTCCCTGGTTTAGTCTTGGTCTAGTCCTGGTCTAGTCCTGGTTTAGTACCTGCTTGAGTCCCTGGTTTAGTCTTGGTCTAGTCCTGGTTTAGTCCTGGTTTAGTACCTGCTTGAGTCCCTGGTTTAGTCTTGGTCTAGTCCTGGTCTAGTCCTGGTTCAGTACCTGCTTGAGTCCCTGGTTTAGTCTTGGTCTAGTCCTGGTCTAGTCCTGGTTCAGAACCTGCTTGAGTCCCTGGTTTAGTCTTGGTTTAATCCTGGTCTAGTCCTGGTTTAGTAACTGGTTTAGTCCTGGTTTAATCCTGGTCACTTAGTTCATTTCTTTATACAGGCTATATTCATCCACTTTTTTTTTTTTTTTTTTTGCAACTACTTCTTCTAAGCTTCTTTTCAAAACAATAGAAATTTTGAAATCTTGTGTTAGGTGGATGTAGTTGTCGTCGGGGGACTATTTTTCTCGTGTGTCTGGCAAAAAACACTAGTGTCAGAGTCAATTAAGTGAGCAATCTGACAGAGAAATTGCAAAATATATTCAAATTTCAAAAAATCGTTTCAAAAGACCAAACCCTTTTTTTTCTTTCTTTTAACAAATGATTCCTCAAAACGTGTCATGTCCATAAATACTTAGTGTGTCCCTCAGAGGTTGCTGTTGTTGTACTGAACTGAAGTTTAAATGCGTGACGTGTGTATTGTGTGAATGTTCTTCTTCATTAAGCTCTCATTTGCACATGCAGCAGGTAAATGAGCATCTGAAGCAAATTTTTGGAAGAGCAAATGGAGTAATAAAACCACCCAGAGTAAACTTGCGTGGAAAGGAAGGCTTAAGTTGTCACGCACTGAACTCAGCTCGTCAGAGGAAAATAAACATTAAAAAATAATATGATTTGTAGGGGTGAAACAATATTCAAGTCTCACGATACAATATTGTCACGGTATAAACCTCACGGTACGATATTTATTGCGATATCGTGGGAAAGCTCACGATATGGGGGGGGGCTCACGATTAGGGATGTAACAATATCTAAGTCTCTCTGTACGATATTTTCACGATATAAATCACACGGTACGATATTTATTGAGATATTTTGTGGAGTCTAACAAAACTGTTACTATGCTATTTTTTCCTCTTAAAATGCCTTGACGAGACTTAATCCAAAGAACTAAGACTTAAAAGTGCTTAGAACTGTTATTTCTTCATGTAGTCCATGCTCAAATGGAGCAAAGGATCATGGTCTATGTAGTTCCCTCTGTCTTTTTATTTTTTTATCTATTGCTGCACTATAACTCTTAATTTAATCAAAGACACTTGTAATTCGATATATTGTGATGGTCCACGATATTATTGTGAGAACTTTGACGATACGATATCACGATATTTCGGTTATTGTTACATTCCTAATGATTAGTATTGATGTTGCTCCTATTTTTGGGTTTAAAGGTCCTATCAGGGTTCCCATGATCATGGAAATCCTGGTTATTCTAAGTTATGGATATTGAAAATGTTTTTTCCAGGCCTGGGAAAGTCATGGAATTTGGTCAATTCAATGAAAGTTTTGGAAAAGTTGTGGAATTTTAGTATCTCTTTCATGCAACTACAGAGTTATTATGATTATTTCTGAACGTCTGTGCGTTCGTTTATAAGAGACGACAATAAATGCACTGACAGGATTTTGAATATTAAAAAACTATAAAACCAAACCATAAAGTGAGTGGAAAGGGTTAACATTTCATATTTAGTCCTAAAAGTATGATAAATTCTACTCATGTAGGTGCTGTAAAGTCATGGAAAATTCACTTTAGGTCATGAAAAAGTCATGGAAAAGTTTTGAAATTTTGTCAGTGTAAAAGAGTGGTCTGTTCTATATTACACAAAATTGACTCTTGTGAGCTTTAAGTCATGTTATAATGTTGTTACCTCATCAAAAACAGACCTGGAGTTGTGTTTTGTTTCATTTAAACATGTTGGAGTAATCTGTTATTATTAGTCTGTCTACATCTCCAAAGCTCTAAATGCTGTGTTCCACCTTGTGATGTCATGTAGTGGTAGTTTTCAGGTTAAGCTCTCCCTTGCCGACATGTACATCAAAACAGAGAGGAAAATTCCATAGGCGTGATATTTATTTTACTATTTCAGCAACTTTGTGTAGAACATAAACAGATAAAACCGTGTGGTAGGTTACTATGGTTACGCCGACTTCCTGTTGCCATCAGTGCAACCCAATCCTGTTTTCATTCCCTTCACCTGCACTCTGAGCCGGAGCAGAGGTGCGCTAATTCACAGTGATGGCTACATGTAAACAGTGCACACAAATAACAGAAAAATGTGCCTGTTTTAAATTAGACGGACAATAATGAGAACAGGCCGTGCTGACATGGGACTGGGGTTGTCAAAAGTGTCGAAAATCAGATATTATTCTAGACTAAAACTAAAAATGTGGACCACTATGGAACCTACCTGGACCACTGAGGGATTACGCAGATATAAGACGGCCTGGTAATATAAAAGAAAGTATTATGATTAATCTTGAAATCACATCCTGTTGTCTATTTTAAAATCTAAAATAAAAATACTCTCTTTTTTGGAAAATTTTCAAAAACTACACTAGAACACCCAATTTTTTCCAGTTATTTATTGAAATTCAAGTCCAATGAAGAGCTTGAAATGGTACAAAGGTAAATATTGAACAGACAGAGGTTTAAAAAAAAAAAGATAAAAGATACAAAACACAAGTCCAAGCTCTGCCAAAACTACCTCAGGAAAAAAAAAACAAGATAGTAAACTTGAAAACATGGAGTGTCCAGCACAGTGTCCAGACTTAAGCCTCATTGAGCTGGTTTGGGATGAACTGGACAGAAGAGTGAAAACCGAGAAACCTACAAGTGCCACACATTTATGGGAACTTCTGCAACAGACTTGGGAAGAACTTTCTGAAGAATATTTAATTTCTATTGTAAAAAAGAAGGAGCCACGAGTGTGTTCAGCTGTTTTATCTGCCAAAGGTGGACACTTTCATGAATCAAAAGTTTAGAATACGTTTTGGTCAACAGTAAGGTGACCATATTTTTGTTTGTAAAAACCCGGGCACCTTACAGGGGGTGGGGTCTTGACATTGAGCTACTCTCACCTCGCAAACTGTGCACATGGCCTCCCACTTGTCCCGAACGGAAGGAAAACGGAGAATTTCTTGTACAAGTCATCGTTAAATGCACATTTGCGCTTCAGCATGTGGCAGGCTGACCGACTGTTTGTGTCTGCTCGCTCCTTCTGAGTGCACAGAGAGCTACGAGAGCCGATCAGTTTAATGGCGGTAATGAAAACCCGGACATTTCCATCACTTAAGAAAAAAAAAACAAGGACAGGACTCAAAAATCAGAAATGTCCGGGGAAAAACGGACATTTGGTCACCCTAGTCAACAGTATACAGTAAAAAACTGGAAAAAGTGTGGTGTTCTAAAACTTTTGACCGGTAGTATATATGTTTAAACTGTGTGATTTGAATGAAAAATTATTTAATTGTCCATTTAATATCTAAATGTGATCATTTTATGTTCTATTGTTTTATTCAGTATCATTGCGCATTATGACCCAGCTTGTTGAGGTCAGGGAAGTAACAAAAATAACCAAGATGGAAAATGGAATAAATTAATGTTTAATTAACAGAGGTGTAAATGGTAAATTAACAAAACAGACTAAAATATACAGAAATAAAAACAGAACAACAGAATTAACAGACGAGTTTTGTGCCACAAAACGGGTCACGCAGGCTCACACAAAAACGAGACACACGCAAAACTAAAACACTGCTTACTTTATTTCTTCATTTTTGATTTCAGATTTGTACCAAGCTGAAAATGCTGAAACGAAGCAACCCTCAAGCGGAAAACCTCCCAAAGTAGGAGGTGAGTAGACGGTAGCTTCCCCCATAAAAACACACAGGAGCAGGACTGTACATTTAACCCATTCGATGCCACATTCTGTTCAATTATAAAGTCGACTTGGAATGCGTTGCCATTGGAAACTCCATTTTCCGGGGTTCTTGGCTCCCCGCACTAAAGGATATGTTTCCATGTGTGTTGCGTGATTAGGCACAGGGAGGTTTCTGGGGACGGAGCACGGCCAAGGCTGCAAACTCAAACCACATGCCCAAGACTGTAAAAGAATAAGAGCAACATAAAAGTGAAACGTATGCAATTTGTACCAGCTTTTGATTTGAGGGAGTAAGGGGATTGTAAAATGACTATCAAAGAGTGGACACACCCGATGGTTTGAGAATAACACTGGGAAGTAGTCCAATACTGATGTTATACTATGCTATTGCTCTGTATGTACAGCTGAAAAATGGGGGCACAGTGAGATAGATTTTCAGTGCAAGTACACAAAGTCTTTATTACAGTCTGTGGTTTTAGGCTGTGATTGTGCTATAGGAACGTCATCAACCATTGAGTCAATATTTGCACTTTGTTTTGTTTTAAGCCACAGTAAAGGTATATAGAGACAAGCAGGTGATGGACCCTCTACCAGAAATGCACCTTTAAGGTCATTTTCACACATGTTTGTGCGCTCTATGGACTGAGCCCAGTGCACACTAGATTTAGTGAGCCACGTGAGAGTCTGAACCATCTGAACATTAAACTTATTTCTATGACAGCACACTTCAAGCGGACAGTGGTCTTTTCTTTCACCCGTGGATGAACATAAAGACATACGTGCTTGTGATAGCAGAGAATGGGCTTTTTTAACTACACACAGACAGACCCAGACTCATTTGGTCAGACAGACCCAGACTCACCTGGGCAGACAGACTGAAGCTCACCTGTGCAGACAGACACAGACTAACCTGCACAGACAGACCCAGACTCATTTGGTCAGAAACAGACCCAGGCTCACCTGCTCAGACAGAAAGACCTAGATTCACTTGTGCAGACAGACCCAGACTCAACTGTGCAGACAGACTCAGGCTCACCTGCGCAGAAAGACAGACCCAGATTTACCTGCGGAGACAGACCATGACTCATCTGCGCAGACAGACCCAGACTCACCTGCGCAGAGAGACCATGACTCACCTGCAGATAGACCCAGACTCATCTGTGCAGACAGGAAGCAGGCAGAAACGTGACGCTGTTCAGTTGATCAAATTTCCTTATTCATCAAAAAAAATGTGATCTGAGCACTTTTTTTTCCTGACCTACCTAGAGCAGTGCACTGTAAAGACATGACATAACTGAGTTTATTGTAGTGTCAACAAGTTATTTGAGGAAAATAATCAAAAGCTGCCCTACACATTGGCCTCAAAATGTCAGAGGATCTTTATCGGCTGCTGTGGAATTTACATCGAATTAAACCCTCATTGGTCCAGCTCTAGTTCATTTGCACAATACATTAAAATTTGACTAAACCCAACTAAACCTCGATTAGACACGGCCAAACAACAGTCTACATCAGGACAATACTTGGATCCAGGCCCGTTTGATAGAAATTTGGGGGCCCAGGGCAAGAAGCCTCACATGGGCCTCCCTCTAATGCAAATTAAGAGGAAGAGAATCAAATCCTGGGCTCCTAAAACCCTGGGCCCTGGGACAGCTAACCCTTGGATCCAAACCAGTACCAGTCTGAATGCAGTCTTAACATCCCAGTTTTGTGAAACACGTCTATTAAAGTTTAATAAATTGGAGAATAAAGTGTGGAGAAGGAAGAAAAATATACCCTCATAAAAATAAAAAGTCATGTTGACAGAATTCAGGCATCAGTAGTATAGTAGTGTAGTAATTTCCCTGCTACTACTTCTTCCACTACTATATGTAAATTATCCTTTATAGTCCTTATCGTCATTTGCATTTTAATCAGTCCTATTAATAGTAAAAATATAAAATAATAATAATGTTTTGCTGTTCTGCTCTATTTTATTTGATTTAAAGGGCCCGTATTACAGACGGAGTTCTTTTCTCAAACAGAAAACACCCTGTTCCACCTTGTGATGTCATTGTGGCAATACAGGAAGTGCTCCACTGTGTTTTAAAACTTTATACACCTTCATTAGAATCATTTGGATAATTTCATATGGAAGCCAAGAGGGGTCACAACAAACGCAAACGCCGCAACAAATACAAATGCGACAACACAACAAAAAGCCACGACAAACCAAAAAAGCCACAACGGAAATGACCGCAGGACTCTATTTTAATGCAAACGCCGCAACAAATACAAACCCCAGAACATAAATGCAAATGCCACAACACATTAAAAAGCCACAACGGAAGTGACCGCAGGACTCTGTTTTCTGATGGACCGATCAAACGTGAAAAGTAAAGGAACGGAGAAGTTGGAAACGTAAGTAAAAGTAATTTATTGATTTATCATTATTAATTTCACATTTTAGTTCTTCTTCTTCACTTGCCGCTTGATCGGTCCGTCGGAAAATAGAGTCCCGCGGTCACTTCCGTTGTGGCTTTTTAATGTGTTGTGGCTTTTTTAATGTGTTGCGGCATTTGCGTTTGTGTTGTGCCATTTGTATTTGTTGCGGCGCTTGCATTAAAATAGAGTCCCGCGGTCACTTCCGTTGTGGCTTTTTTTGGTGTGTTGTGGCTTTTTGTTGTGTTGTCGCATTTGTATTTGTTGCGGCGTTTGCGTTTGTTGTGACCCCTCTCGGCTTCCGTAATTTCAGCCCTGGAATTGTCAATCTGAACAAAAGGTAAAAGGAGCTGTTAACTTAAACTACCACTTCATGACATCGCAAAGTGGAACAGAGCATTTTGAATATTTTAGATGTAGACAGACTAAAAGTGTTACTCAAACATGTGTGAATGAAACAAAACACAACTCCAAGCATGTTTTTGATGTGGTTACAACATATATAAAATATAACATTAAAGCTCACAAGAGTCAATATTGCGTTAATGTACGTGCCAGACATTCTCTTTCTTCATAGTAGCTCCACCATTTCTTTTGAAACTCTTAACCCACACCCTTTAGAACAACAGTTATGATAAAACTATGATGACACATTCACTTGTAATTCATGCTTAAGGAATTTGCTGTTTCCTTTTTGCGATGAAACCTATATCCTGGAGACACTAAAAATACAACAGCAGCTTGTCCTTTGCCACAGCCCTGACTATCGCAAGCCTCATGTGGTTTGACTCACCAGAATGGCACTGTCCACACTTTTCTCTGTAATAAGTTTAGCATCTGTAAGCTCCTAGGGCTATGCAAAGGCAGCAATTTCTTCTCCTCAGTGTTTTCAGAGCTTTGACATATCCTTTTTCGGATTTTCTTAAACAAGATTTGGAGTTTTGCAGCCGGATTTAAACTTTGAACTTCGACTTAGGGGGAAAATTAAAGTCTGTCTGTGCTTCTTGGGGGGTTGCATGGGCTAAAAGCAGGAAATGTAAAAGTTTGACTGGAAAAGGAAGGGGGCGGAGTTGCGACTTGAAGTGCCGGGGGGCTACGCAGATGATGACTGATGGTCCTCAAGCTAGCCGAAACAGCTAAAAGTAAATATTTCTCTACAATGTAAATACAAATGCCCAAATGATAGATTCCTGTGTCAATGTAAAGAAATGGAGCCTCTTTCTTCTCTGAAGAGCTGTCAGTAAACCACCCCAGTGAAAATACTGCTTTGACTTCACTTTATTTATAGTATTTATTTAAAGGTCCCATGTTACACTATATTCTAATCTGTTTAATAATGTCGTTTCCACATCAAAAACAGACCAGGAGTTGTTTGTTTCATTCACAAATGTTTAACACACAATCCTGCATATTTAGGCTGAATTCTTCTCTCAGACAGAAAACATTCCAACATCCAAATTGAGATATCATGTTGTACAGGAAGTTTTTGAACTCCATATACCTTCTATATATACTACATAATTTGAATTAAATCTAAAACTAGTCTGTGTAGTCTAGTCTGGATTTAAATATGCACCAACATTTTAAGAACGACCTTAGTTTAGTTTCCCTGGTTAGTTGTTGTTGCCGAAAACAATGGCTACAGTAAAATACACACTCTAAATCTGATTATAATGAGATTTCTGGAGTTAGAAGATTATTATAATAACATATAAACAGCAAAATCATCTCATTCTCTTTCTTTTCTGATCTTGGTCCCTCTCATTACTCATAGCTGACTTTGTGGTTTACGTGTCATTTAAATCATCGCGAAAAATCCAGAAATCAGACACAAATAAATGTTGGTGTGCATGAGAACACAGCCAACGTCAACTGTTATGTGTTTGTTTGTAAGGAGTCTGCAGACAGATCTGCCTGACTCTGTGTTTACCGCACAGCGTTTTGTGTTAGTTATTGTCTGGGTGCAGTCAGAGGTTAGACATTAAAGGTGCATTACGTAACATTTCAAGTAGAGGGTCTGCCACCTGTTTGTCTCCATGAAAATGTTATTGCTTTGTCTAGAATGTTCCACAAAGGGTAAATTTATCTTTCAGGCGGGAGATAAGCAGGTTACAGCACGACACGACATTACAAATCAGATCTGTGGAGAGTCGCGCCTATTCACAGAAGAAATTACTGTATTTTTGAGCAATAGAAACACAAGTAATGAATAAATGCTGGATGGCTGTGTTTAATGTCATACTATGGAACATTCTAGACAAAGAAATAACATCTCCATTTAGAGTTGGAAGTGGACCTGGCAACAGAAAAGTTGCACAGTGCACCTTTAACCTTTAGACCTATGGTTAGAGACAGAGGTGGGACCAAGTCGTTGTTTTGCAAGTCTCAAATAAGTCTCAAGTCTTTGACCTTGAGTTCGAGTCAAGTCCCAAGTCAAATACAGGCAAGTCCAAGTCGAGTCTCGAGTCACTGGCCCATAAATCCAAGTCCAAGTTGTCTGCTTTGAGCTTCAAGTCTTTTCACATCTTTGAACCAAAGTAGCTAAGATTTTTGCAATTTATATGAATTTTAAGAGAAACTGTACTTTAAAAATCATAGTATATTTATATATGAGTATTTATAAGTATATAAGAGTTGTAGAAATGCAAATGTTTCCTTTTTAAGTGTCTTGACAAGATCTTAGTGTGAATCATTACAGTCAGAATAGAATAGAATTCAGATTTAAAAGTGCTTCTGTCAAGTCCCAAGTCTTGGTCCATTTGATCAATTCTCAAGTCATAAAAATAGTGACTCAGATCTAGAGTCTTTAACCATGTTGTAATTGTTTTCTCCATCTAGAGTTATTCTTGCATAATGAGTAATCATTTTTCTCCTGCATTATGTTACAAAACTACAGCATCATACTAGACCAGTGGTTCTGAAACTGTGCTCCAAGCTCGTTCAGGTAGTACGTGAATTCCTCTGCAGTTCAAATATTGTCATATTTTGAATACATTTTAATCCACATTTTGTCTTCCTTTAGGTTAGTCCTTGTTTAGAATGAGATTGAGAGAAAAGTTCTGTTTTATATGTATTTATTTACTTCATTTTTAATTTTGAAACTAAGCAAACAAAACCAAAATTAAACCAAACCAAAACAAAAACACTCACACATTCAACACGTGCACAAAACTACACAAAAAACACTGGATAAGAATAGTCCTGCTTTAGCTCTTGTTTAGATCTTCTTAAATGGTCAAATATTCTTTTAAAAGTGACTTAAAGGTTGTTAAAATGCCATCTTTCTCCCATATAGCTCCACTCACACTGATATACTGAATAGTGAATCGTCTCTGTGCTGTGTGTTCCAGATGAGGGTGACTCAAGAGCAGAGGCTGCTGAATCACAGAATAATAACATCGTTCTTCGGGATTACCAGATGGAAGTGGCCGAGCCTGCTCTGGAGGGGAAAAACATCATCATATGTCTCCCCACGGGCAGCGGGAAAACCAGAGTGGCCGTGTACATCACCAAAGAACATTTGGACCAGAGGAAGAGGCAAAAACTCCCAGCCAAAGTCATAGTCCTGGTCAATAAGGTAAAGTGTATAAGCACAAGTCTACACCTCATGGGTTTATATGCAACATTTTGAGAAAAGATTTTGTTTTCAATAGTTGAAAATAGTCTGTATCATTCTATTTTCTGATCGATGTTATAATGTTGGTTCCTCATCAAAAACAGACCTGAAGTTGTGTTTTGTTTCATTCACATTAGTTTAACACAGAAGGCCTTTAAAACCCTATAACTCCAAATTAAACTGATGTTAGGGCTTATATTTCGCAAAATGGATTCTTGTGGCTTTAAGCAGTTGCGTTTTGGTTCATTCACATATGTTTGAGTCATCATGGATTATTAGGCTTTCTACATTTCCAAATCTTAAAATACCCCTTGTGTCAGAGGGACAGAATTTTCAGTCATTCTCCCACCCACACCCACAAAGAATTGTAATTTTCAGTCCCACTCCTGGCCGCATCTGTGATATTTTGTCCCGATTCTGCCCTCGAATCCTGCAAGATGAGGGCGTTTGCTTTCGTAAACTCTATCAAACACGGAGAAGCAGAAAGGAATTGTCTAAAATGTGCACAAGATTAGACTACGTCCACAAGTTTAGGCTGCTTAAAATGTTTTTATTAATGCCAAATAAAATATCCAGCACTGAAATTATGCATGATGGGACTTTGCAGGACCGCATTGTCTACCTTGTGTGTTCCACCTTGTGATGCCATGTTGTGGTAACTTTTCAATTTAGCAGCTCCCTTTTACCTTTTGTTCAATAGAGATGGGCAATTCCAGGACTGAAATCATCCAAATTATTCTAGTCAAGGTTCTTGGAGTTTAAAAACACAGCGAAGCACCTGTATCACCATATGACATCACAAGGTGGGACAGAGTGTTTGAAGAACTAAATATGCAGGGTTTGCGTGTAAAACATGAAACAAAACACAACTCTAGGTATGTTTGTGATGAAAAAACAACTTTATAACATAGGTCAGAAAATAGCCTAATATTGGGTGAAATATTATGGACTCGATAAAAAATGTTCCTGAATTTTTATCGTTAAGAGTAACAAAATACATCTCCTAATTTAATTCAGAAATTTAACTCAATATCTTTATGCAAAATCTCAACATAAACTTACCAAAAATAACTTATCAGGCAATATATATATATCAGAGGTGGGGACTTGCAAGTCGTGACTTCAACAAGTCAGACTTAAGTCACTATTTTTAGGACTTGAGATAAAATGGACTAAGACTTAGGACTCGACTTGGATTTGAAGGTCAGTGACTTGGGACTTAAGGCCTGTGACTTGAGAAGACTTGAGAAACACTTTTAAAATCCAAATTCGTTCTATTCTGACCATAATTATTCACTCTAACATCTTGTCAAGACATTTCAAAAGGAAACATTTGCATTTCTACAACTCTTATAAACTCTATAAATACTCATACATAAATATACTATGATTTTTTTAAGTTCAATTTATCTTAAAATTTATATAAATTGCAAAAATCTAAGCAATATTTGGTACTTTGGTTTAAAGACTTGAAGCTCAAAGCAGACAACTTGGACTTGACTTGGACTTATGGGCCAGTGACTCGAGACTTGACTTAGACTTGCCTGTATTTGACTTTGGACTTGACTCGGACTTGAAATCAAAGACTTGAGACTCACTTGAGATTTGCAAAACGATGACTTGGTCCCACCTCTGACATATATATACATATACAACAAAGAAAAATACTCCAGTACTGTTCAAAAGTTCATTAAAAAGTACAGATTCCTGCTCTCACATGCTGTGAAATTCACATACCAAACAATTGTACTTTACTTTACTCCACTTGTCACATGAACCCAAAGTCCTCCCCCGATCTTTCACTGCACATATAGGTCAACGCGCCTCAAATTACACACTATTGGGTTGCTCTTTGTACCGATTTGGCCCGGTCTTTTTCCATGTATTTTTTCCCTTCTAGGATTAAACATTCTCTCTCTTGCACATTTGGTTGCAATAAAAGTAGGATATTCCAAACAAAGGGGTAGGGCCAGTCTTTGAGTCACAGCAAATGGGTGTTTAACTATAATACGACCGACCAATGATGTGCCAAGAAAGTAAATATGCCCAAAGCTCTTTCTCATGCCTCAAGGATAATTATACAGTGGCATGGGCTGTAACTGAAGCTGTAGTTCTGGGATATATGCAGAGAATGTGTAAAGCTCCAGTCAAATGAAGCTCACGAGGCTAGCGGTTACAGAAGTGAATTTGGAGCCAGGTCAATATTGGGAATTGGAATGTATTTGTGGACAAAATCATGAAATAAAAGTGCGGGTTAATAGGAACTAGGGCTGAACGATTTTAAGAAAAAATTTTATTGCGATTTTTCTGACAGATATTGCGATTTCAATTTCATCCATGATTTTTTTAAAGTCAAGTTTTAGTGCACGTGAACATTTGCAAACATCACAGAAACTTTCATCATATCAGAATCCTGTACCGACAATGTGACGCTGGTCAGTTTGCATACATTTGCTTAAGTTCTACAGAAACAAAACTTAAAACCACATGCTTAAATTGCATAAACTATAACTGCTGAAAAAAAAAAAACAGCTCGCTCCTTGTGCGCTGATGCAGTTCAGCTTCTGTCGGACTAAAGGACACGACTCAGTGGAATATGAGTGTTCTTTCTGTGACAGAGGATGTGCTGATAATGGTGAGTCTGTTCTGTGCTTCTATCGCGTTGGAGATTTACACGAACACCAGGTTTAAATCCTCACCTCTTGCGTTCTGGCGGTGAATTACTTTGTGGTGCCTACACCTTGACGCAGATCCATAAATCAAAATCCACGGTGAGAAGATGACAGCGTCAGCGTGCACTGAGTCGACGCAGAACTAAACTTCACCCTTAAAACCGGGCTTTAGGAGCACTGCTTTGACGCTCCCAAAATTGTGTTATTTGAGATTGCTATTTTCCGTCCAAAATGATAGATCGTTCAGCCCTAATACGAACATTTAAAGACCAAAGTAGACCAAGAAGTAACTACAGAGAGAGGGGTGACTGTGTTTCCATGTAAAGTCAATTGGAGCCAGAGTCAATGGAGCTGGAACAGCCCCCATGCTCACTTCCTATTTGTAACATGGTGACTAGTGGGTTAGCTTTGCCCATTTAACTATACAGTCTGTGGGTATATGCTAGTCCAGTTAAGTCTACTTTGCAGTGACATCATGCTGGGGTGTTCTATATGTATGTGTATGGTGGAATGTTTATCAGTTGCCAGGGATGTAACAGTAACCGAAATATCATATCGCATTGTCAAAAGTCTCACAATAATATCGTCGGCTGTCACAATATTTTGAATTACAAAATCCTTTGCTTAAATGCATGTTTTTATAGTAGCAATGCCTAATAAACATTGGGAACTACATATCCCATGATGCATTTCAGCACAGACAACATGAAGTTATATGATTTTTACTTGAATTCTTGAGATTATGATGGAAATAATTCACACCAGAATCTAAAAAGGAAAAAAGTGTCCTATCTACAATTATATCAGCCTCTCCAAAATATTTCAGCAAATATCGTATCGTGAGATGCATATCCTGATAATATCGTACTGAGAGATTTAGATATCTTTACATCCCTAGTATATGCTGGATACTGGACACAAAAATGCGTCATAAAGTCTTAAATGATTGTACAAGAATGTTGCTCACATCCAACCAGAAAGTAAAATTATAAACAATAGACAACAATAAAAAGAGTAGATTTAGTCTTTAGTTCCATCCTTTAGTTTGACTGACTTTTTAGCAAAAATAAGAAAAAAGTGTTCTTAGTAAAATACAAGCTTTTTTTAAAAACATGGTAATTTAGACATGGTCCTCAGGGGGAGATCTTTTTCGGTCAAGCTGGGGGACTCCACCTCTGCATTGCATTGTGGAGTTCCCCAGGGTTAAATTCTTGGTCCAGTTTTGCGTTCCTTGTATTTTCTCCCTCTAGGCGCATTTTTTAAGAAACATAACATCTCATCTCATTTTTATGCAGATGGCTCGCAACTTCACTTTAAGGACAAGGGCTGCACAGTTTTGGTAAAAATATGAAATTCTGAAGTGTTGTGATTCGATTTTTGCTTTATGTTTAAAAAGTAGATTCTGTTTTAAGTTGCATTTACATTTAAAACAACTCCAGGAACATGAACATTTGACAAAAGACTGAAATATGAACTGATAAACTAACCCAAGAATCCCATGTATTTCAGAACATGTTTGTAGAGGTCTAAACTACAGATACCAGAACATTTTCAAGAAAGACACTGTGTTCTGTCCTCCGTAGATGTCATTATATCTTCTAAATTACTGCAGCCATCGCAATTTGAAACTCAGCTTGTGGTTTTGATTTGATAACGATTCATTGTGCAACTCTAAGGGCAGAAAAGGGCCCCTGACACCGCTTATGAATTGCAGATGATGTCAGGGCTTTTTGGCCCAAAGTTTTCTGTATCTTAAAAGTGCATTGTGCAACTTTTCTGGTGGAGGGTCCATCACTTGCTTCTATCCATGGAGATGTTATTGCTTCACCTGGAATGTTCCATGGTATGAGATTAAACACCTCTATCTAGCTCTTAATCATTACGGGTGTTTCTATTGCTCTGTAAAGTGTGAATAGGGGTGACTCTCCACAGATCTGGCCTGTAATGTAGCCTATAGTTGTTTCCCATGAGATAGATAAGCTTAATCTCTGCTGTGGAACTTTCTAGACAAAGCAATAACATCTCCATGAAGACAAGCAGGTGCGGGATCCTCCACCAGAAAAGCTGAAATTGTGCGGTTTTGGTCCACTGATCCTGTTCTTTACTCAGGCTCCTTTAAAGATCATGTCTGTCCCTCTGACACCTTGGTGTTACCATGGACAGGGCTTTTAAAAGAGGAGCTAAACACATAAACAAATGTCAAACTCCAAATAGACACGAAAACTTCCAGCCTTCAGTCCTGACCAAGATTAGCTCAAGATCTGCCCGGTCCCAGTGCTCCTGACAGGTTGTCTCTGTGTCATTGAAGAATGATCTGGTCAAATGCAGAGGACCCATTTCCATATAGGGAACATAAAGTGTATCTTAATCATACCTCAACCTTTAAAAATGTATGGGTCTTAGATTCTGGTGTTGCCAGAAAAATCTTTTTTTTTTTTTTTGTTCTAATGTATTAAATTGCAGGGCTGTTGTTAAAGGGTTATTTACCATATTTTTCGGATGATAAGTTGCTCCAGAATATAAGTCGCACCAGCCAAAAAATGCGTAATGAAGAAGAAAAAACATATTTAAGTTGTACTTTTGGGGGAAATTTATTTAATAAAATCAGAGACCAGGAACCGAAATTTCATCTTGAAAGGCAAGTTATAGTAATAACAATAGAACAAACAACAACAGACTGTTAATGTCACATATGAACAGTCCTTCAGGTAACTATAGCATAAACAACAGAACAGAACAAGTTTACCAAACTCTCCATCTCACTCCAAATCACTAAATCCACTGAATTCTTCATCCTCGGTGTCACTTCTGAGCACCTCTGTGACCTCCAGAGGTAAACAGAGCACCGCTTCCTCTTCTGTGTAGCTGTTGTCAGACTCTGCATCAGTTCCAGTTAGAATTATTCCGGCCTTTCTGAATCCTGACAGGATGGTTTCAGTTGTCACTGAAGTCACTTAAATTTTAAATTTTCAGTGTTACAGCAGTAATGGTGCAATTGACTGACATGATACAAACAGGACAGCGGCTCTTTCTGTAGGAGACATGTGCAGTAGAGTGATGTGACAGTGGTACAGAATAGTAGGAGCAGATACTGACACAGAAGACTAGAGCTTCTCGAGGCTGTCAGTGTGAACGTTTTAATATATAAGTCCCAGGAAACACCTACACTATGAAGAAAAGTGTGACTTACAGTCCAAAAAATACAGTACTTACAAAGTTGGGCCCACAGTATAAGAAAAAACACTGTTTCTAAAGTAGGTCACAATAATTTAATCAATTGTGAATCTCTACTCTAGAATTAGTTGTAAACCAAACATCTAATTAAATCAAAATGTGTTCCCGTCACTGGCTCAAATTAATTTTGTATTGAGAAACTGCCACCCCTCTCCCTGAGTCGCATTCTTTTGGTCTTAAAATGTTCATATTAACCCACTCTACATGATCCTGGTGTTTTTATTTTGCTGTTTTGTCTGTCTATGGTAACACCAAATCAAAACATGGCCTTTACAAACATCGCTAGTGTTTATAATAATAATAATAATAATATGATATTGCATTGGAATTACAATTATGTCTTTTTTCCACACATTTTTCCACATTCAAACTGGTATTCAGAGGTGGAATTCTTACTTAAGGACACACAAATGCAATCCCAGTCACAGGAATCAAACCACCAACCCTTCTCCCTGTGCTGTAGGTGCCTTTGGTTGAGCAGCTCTATTCAGCCGAGTTCCTGAAATTCCTGAAGCCTCCATACAAAGTGGAGCGAGTCAGCGGAAACTCCGAGCTCAAGATCTCTTTCCCAGAGATCGTGAAGAGGAGCGACGTGGTGGTGTGTACGGCTCAGATCCTCGAGAACGCCTTAGAGAGGGACGTGAGCGGAGAGGACGAGGGAGTGAATTTAAGCGGTGAGTTATGTTAAGTACACGGCAAATACACTGTCAAATACTTTCAAGTACTTACAGCTCGTTTTGTTGATATAAATGTTACGCAAATGAATTCACAGCTTAAAGCAACACTGTGGAACTGGAGGTATTAGGGATGTAAGAATATCCAAATCTCTCGGTACGATAAATTCACGATATTCATCTCACTATTGCGATATTTTGTGGAGCCGAACAAAACTGTTAATTCTACTTTTTCCTCTTAAAATGCCTTGACAAGACTTAATCCAAAGAACTAAGACATTAAAGTGCTTAGAATTGTTATTTCTTCATGTAGTCTACATTGAAATGGAGCAAAAGATCATGGTCTATGTCAGGGGTGGGCAAACTACAGCCCGCCGAACTTGAATAATAATTTTTGGTGTTTTAAAAGTAATTTCTATAAATAGTAAATACCGTGGGACTTGAAAGACAGATATTTTGTTGTAATGCTTTGTAATGATTTTCAATTAAGGGATATTTCAATATGTTTTCTCCATATCCCATGTTATTTTTTTCTCTTATGAGGTGGATTACCAAAATACTCCATCCATTTCCTCCCGGTCCAGCCCTTCCGTCAAATTTTAGAACCCTTTGTGGTCCATGAGTCAAAAAGTTTGCCCACTCCTGGTCTATGTAGTTCCATCTGTGTTTTTTTAGCTATTACTGCACCATAACTCTTAATTTAAGCAAAAAGACTTGTAATTCGATATATTGTGACGGTCCACGATATTATTGTGAGAACTTTGACGAAACGATATCACGGTATTTTTGTTATTGTCACATCTCTAGGAGGTGTGATTCAATGGAAATAGAAAGTTAAAACCACACTTCGGCACATTCTCCGTGGAGACAGATATGTTTTATGGAATATTGTGAAAGATTATAGCCAAAAGTACCACAAGGCCAACGAAGAGTCATGTTTGTGAACGTGTAAGGATGTGTTTTTCTGCAGTTCAGTGCAATAGAAACATCAAAAGGAAAAGACATACTTATTTTAGTATATTTTTTGTCAAAAACATTACACTGTGGGGCTTTAATTTTAATACAAGAAAATAAAGAAAACGAAAATAAGAATAAGAAAAAACAAAAAAGAAAAAAAGATTAAGAATACGAAAAAAAAATTGAAAAAAAAATGAAATCAAAAAATCAAAAATGAAAAAAAAAAAAAAAAAAAACAGGTAACGATTTGTTTTTTCAGTTTTCGTTTTTGTGTTTAAATGAATAATGGAAAAAACAGGTAACGACCGTTTCCAGTTTACGTGACTTAAACTGCGATGCTGGACTTTTGATTATGATTATGATTATGAACTGAACCAGGACTAAACCAGGACTAAACCAGGAACCAGGAACCAGACTGGGACTGAGAGTGGGACTTAGGCTGGGACCAGCCAAGGAGCAGACTGTGATTGAGACCAGGACCAGACCGGGACTGAGACCAGGACCAGACTAGGACAGAGGATGGGACAGAGACCAGGACTAGACCATGATTGAGACCGTGACTGAGACCATGACTAAGACCAGGAATGAGACCGGGACCAGACCGTGATTGAGACGGGGATCAGACCAGGACTGAGACCGGACCAGACCAGGACTAGACCATGATTGAGACCGTGACTGAGACCATGACTGAGACCAGGAATGAGACCGGGACCAGACCGTGATCGAGACCGGGACCAGACCAGGACCAGATCAGGACTGAGACCGGACCAGACCAGGACTGAGACCGGGACCAGACCAGGACCAGACCATGATTGAGACCGTGACTGAGACCATGACTGAGACCATGACTAAGACCAGGAATGAGACCGGGACCAGACCGTGATCGAGACCGGGACCAGACCAGGACCAGACCAGGACTGAGACCGGACCAGACCAGGACTGAGACCGGGACCAGACCGGGACTGAGACCGGGACCAGACCGGGACTAGATCGGGACCAGACCAAGACCCGACTGGGACTGAGACCAGGACCAGACCAGGACTGAGACCGAGACCAAACCAGGACCAGACCAGGACTGGGACTGGGACTGAAAACGGGTTAGTACTGGTTTAGTCCTGGTTCAGTCCTGATTTAGTCCTGATTCAGTCCATATGCGGCTTAAAAGTCCATCATCACAGTCACGGAAACGGGAAATGGCCATTATCCGTGTTTTCCATTTTGGTTTTGGAGACAAACAATGAAGAAAATAGTTGTTTTTAATTTTCTTACTTTCGGTTTTATATTAAAAACGAATGAACGAAAGATGCACAGATTTATAAACTTACTTCATCCTATTTCTTAAAGTTCATCTGGCAACTGTCACATTTAGGGTTGAATAATGGACCCACTTTTTAAAGCCATTGGAAAAATACTTTATTTCATTTCTGCTGACAGAGAAGACAAGGATTTTTGTGCCTGTTTTATTTCATGTGACTCGGCCCATGGATTACTCTGACAAGCTAATAAATCCTTAATAACACTTTTTTGGGTCAAGTCAACGGGAAAATTAATACTTATATAAGAGAGAAACGGGCATTATAAAGTCTCATTTGACGTCACGCGCCGAGCATTGAATTACAGAGCGCGACAACGCAACAATATTCTATTTTAAATCACTTTCCTTAGTTACAATGACGTAATACACGAACACGAACGACTCCCGTGACAGCTCTTTGAACGTGTGCCTTCTCCCGTCCCCAGTGGTACCTGACAGAGGAACATATGCTGTTTGCTGAAATGTCTCAGAGCCTTTTTATTTTTTTTCCCCCTTCGCAAAGTACTTTCCAGGGCGCGCGTCTGTTCAAGCCATCAGCGTGTGGTTAGGCTAATCCACCAGAGACCTGCTATCACCCACACTACATCAAACTGCCACTCTCCCCGTACTCTGTCCCTCCAGGGCTGCAGTCATGTAAACCTGTATTGACACGTGTCGTCAATTATGGAGCGATTGTGCAAAGATGCCGCAACGGATTCTGGGAAATTCTTGGTTTCTACAAGGAATTGCATACATTTTTTCAGTCCGCTCAGTCCGCTCCCTTGTTCCAGTTTGGGAGGTTTTTGTGTCAGATGCCCTGTTTCTGGCAGGAGTTGCATACATTTTTTTCGTTTAGTCTGCTTCCGTATTGCATTGAAGTGTGAACTGGTAATTGTGTGGTAATTTGGGAGGTTTTTTTTGCACCAGATGCCCTGTTTCTGGGAGGAATTGCATAAATTTTTTTTGTTTAGTCTACTTCCTTATGCCATTGAAGTGTGAACTGTGTAGGACTTTGGGATTTTTTTTGCGTCAGATGCCCTGTCTCTAGCAAGAATCACATATTTTTTTTGTCTCAGTCTGCTTCCTTATTCCGTTGAAGTGTGAACTGGTAATTGTGTGGTCATTTGGAAGCTTTTTTTGAGTCAGATGCCCTGTCTGTAGCAGGAACAGCAAATATTTCTTTCCGTTTGGTCTGTTCCTTTATCCAATGAAGTGTGAACTGGTAGTTGCGTGGTAACTTGGGCGTTTTTTTGCGTCAGATGCCGTGTTTCTGGCAGGATTTGCATACATTTTTTCGTTCAGTCTGCTTCCTTATTCCATTGAAGTTTGAACTGTGTGGTACTTTGGGAGTTTTTTGTGTCAGATGCCCTGTTTCTAGCAGGAATTGCATATTTTTTTATGTAATAATCTGAGCTGGAGGGCCGTATGTAGCTCTGTGTGAAATTCACATTTTTCACTGAAATATCCAAACTGAAAATCCACAAGTGTTGAAACTTATCATTTTGTTTGAAAACCGGTCTATAAAAATCCGTGTATCATTCATTCTTTTGTTTTTCAATATAAAACCAAAAATAAGAAAACAAAAAGACAACTGTTTTCTTCATTATTTGTCTCCAAAACCAAAATGAAAAAAATGGATAACGATCGTTAACGACCATATTTTTTAGTTTCAGTCTGCTCCCTTATTCCACTGAAGTGTGAACAGGTAGTTGCGTGATAATTTGGGAGTTTTTTTGCATCAGATGCCCTGTCTCTGGCAGGAAATGCATACATTTTTTTCATTTAGTCTGCTTCCTTATTCCATTGAAGTTTGAACGTTGCATTGTAATTTGGGATTTTTTTGTGTCAGATGCCCTGTCTCTACAGCCTGATTCATCCAGCCGGTTTTACTTCGTGTCACTTCGTACAAACCGCCTGACCTTGCAGCCTTAGATTTTGTTTGCTTGAGAGTAGGTGGGTACTTTTTATCATTTAAACAATCACTGCTATTTGGTCGTGACGTATGTAATGCGCTGCTAACGGGGCTAACTGGTATATTAATCTTTTTCCAAATCCCGTAGGAAGAAGGGCAATAACGTCTTTGCCCTTGATTAAATTCACCAAACATTCTCTTTGTTCCGGGTTTAAATCCTCGATCTTGGGAATCATTGACAACACTGAATATATGGCTCTTCACTGATTGGCTGGTGCCTGAACTTGCACTTTCAGAGTTTTTTGCAAATCGTCTAGTGTATTCTGATTCCTGACCTAGTTGCTGGAGAGAAATTAAATTGAGCGGAGGCACTAGGTGGTGCCAGCCTGACTAATGTCTCTAGCAGGAACAGCAGATATTTCTTTCCATTTGGTCTGTTCCCTCATTCCAATGAAGTGTGAACTGGTAGTTGCATGGTAATTTGGGAGTTTTTTGTGCCAGATGCCCTGTCTCTTGCAAATTTTAAAATACAGGTGTAGTGCCTTGTCAAGATGCAAGGAAATGTGGAAAAGTTTGAACCTTTGTCCCTTTGGTCAGAGGGCGAATGCTTAACCCTCTCTGCCACAGTCACTTTTTATATATATAATGGTATATCACATGTTTTTACAATTGTGTCAGGTTAGCTTCTATTTGCTGGGTGATCTCACAAACTTCAATTTATGTTCAACTTCGGACATACAGACATTTAAAGGTCTTAGCCTCAAATCTGAATAACATTTCTGTTTTTTGTTTTGTGTACTTCTTACTATGTAACAATCAGGGGACAGATTTTTGCCCCACATCTGTCCCACATCTGAAAGCCACCAATACTTTTGCAATCTGGTGAAATCATCCATGGGGTACTTAGCAACAGGAAATTACACATAAATACATGAATAAAAAAATAACAACACCCTCCTAAAATAAGGCTGCGGTCAGAGTGTAGGCCTCAATGCTCAATTTGGATTTTTTGTGAAATCAGATTTTTTTGTGGTTTCATTTCCACGGCCGCTTCATTTGTTTGAGTCTTTAGCCTCCTTGTATTTGGCTTGCAGGCTCTTTATTTTTTGTTGACATTGGAGCCAGGACTAACTGTAGCCGCGCTCAACCATTTTTTTGGCAATCATTTCAAAAAGCGCCCGGTTCCAATAAGACCCCTCCAATTTGGCCTGAATACAGCAATCCACCCCAATATTAATAAACTCGCTAACCTCGCTTTCCCTCTAATGACGAGACTCCGAGCCTGACGTGTAGGTGGGATGAATGTGACCTGGCCGTTCAGACTGAAGTCACATGTCAAACGATCTGATATGTATTGGTTTGAGGAGCACATATTCAAGTGGTCTGAGTCGCATTTGGAAAAATCTGATCTGTGGTGTTCAGACTGTCATTAAAATATCAGATACAGGTCACATAGGGGCGAAAAAATCGGATTAGGGTCACTTCAGGCTGCAGTCTGAATGTAGCCAAGTCATGTTTCAGGAAACAGAAAAACTGCACCAACCTAATATAATCTTCTTCTTCTTTGCCTTGTGTCTTGAGCCATTTTAAACACGACTTGGGGACATGTGTCACAGGTAAACAGTCTGTATTCATTTTCAGATTTTAAGATTTACACAAAATAGGAGGTGCTCAGTCCCCCTCCGAGAGAGGTGCCAGGTGCCCAGCTTTACTATGGAGGGGCTCTGAGTATGGACGTAAAACGATGTTATATGAAATTGTACTGGACAAAAATACAAACAGCTATTAAATAGCGTGATGTATGCATTTATCAGGCTTGTATTATGATCTATTAAATAGGAGCAAATGTGGTTATTTCAATAAAATGGCCCAAGTCAGACTCTTGGCATAGGTCAATAGATGATTTGTAAATGTCTCGTGATCTGTTCCACTGCGGAATTGTACCAGAAGTGGGTATTTTTGGAGGGCATTGATAATTAAACACTAAAATAACTGTATATATTTCTGTTTTGTTTCTAGACCTGTCGCTGATCGTGATAGATGAGTGTCACCACACACAGAAAGGAGGCGTGTACAACCACATCATGACGCGCTTCCTGGCCCAAAAGCACAAGAACAAGAAGCTGGAGAAGGAGCACAAGAAGCCCAAGCCCCTCCCTCAGATTCTGGGCCTGACCGCTTCACCGGGAGTGGGCGGGGCTACCAAGATGTCCAAGACCGAGGAGCACATTCTGAGAGTGCGTAACCATGCCTCCCCCAGTGTCTGTAACTACATTTTGGTTATCATGGTTAATTTTCAGGATAATGCCCTTTTTATCATGTTCAAAGTTTCTATTTATGACAAAACTTGAGACTGAATGAGATTGCCCAGAGCTTTGTAAATGTAATTTTAATGGATGAGAACCTTAGTGTCAAGTAGTAGTTTCAAACTCAATTTCAATTTCAAGAAAATTCTCCATCCACAATGATACACACACTGGTAACTGAGTGTAATTTTCAACATCACAGTTTCTGTATTAGCCCCATGTGGTCTTATACTTATATAGTTTTGAGATACATCTATTCTAGACAATCCAGGTGTCATTTGTTCATTCGTTTTTCAAAATAAAACAAAAAATAAGACTTGATTTTTCAGTTTTCGATTTTGTGTTTAAATGAATAATGGAAAAACGGATAACAACCGTGCCGGACTTTTGCGCCTCATATGGACTGAACCCAGCACTGAACCAGGACTAAAACAGGACTAAACCAGATCTATACCAGGACTGAACCAAGACTGAATGTCAGGATAGGCCTGGAGATGCGCCCGCATTCACTGTTGGGTGATCAGGACTGAGACCTGGACTAGACCAGGACCAGACCGGGACCAGACCGGGACCAGACTGGGACTGAGACCGGGATCAGACTAGAACTGAGACCGGAACCAAACTGGGACTAGACCAGAACTGAGACCAGAACTAGACTAGGACAGAGACTGGGACCAGACCAGGACCAGACCAGGACTGAGACTAGTTTAGACCTGGTTTACTCCTGGTTTAGTTTGGGATCAGTCCGTACGCGGCGCAAAAATCCGGCATCGCAGTTTAAGTCACTGAAACAGGAAACGGTTGTTATCAATTTTTTCCATTATTCATTTAAACACAAAATCAAAAACTGAAAAAAAAAAAAAAAAAAACAAATCAATATCCATTTTTTTCATTTTGGTTTTGGAGACAAATAGTGAAGAAAATAGTTGTTTTTAAATTTAAAAATTTTTGGTTTTATTTTGAAAAACGAATAAATGAATGATACACGGATTCTAGACCTTTCTACGACTCTAAAACGAAAATGTTCAGTGTCAAAACTTGACACTGAAATTAGTATCTTGTGTAAATACTAGTTTCAATTTGATTATTACCTAGGAATTACTTGACAATCCGACCAGGGGCATTTAGTTTTGTCCGATAAAATAATCACACCAAAACTATTCCACACAGTTGTTTCTTTATTATGGTTCAAGATTGGGCCGTAGATTTGGTGTGGTACAGGGCCTTTTATTAGTTATATATTTATTCTGCCACTTTCTAGCAACAAATGTGAAAAAGTATTTAAATTAAAGTAAGAGTATTACCGTTTTATTCTCGTCATTGTAGATCTGTGCTAATTTGGACGCCTCCACCATCACGACCGCTGATCTGGGCGCGCACAGAAAAGAATCAGAAAAAAAAGTCGAATCCATTGAAGCCCGAAAGGCGGTAAGGTTTTTATGATTAATCTGAATAACATAAAACACCACAGAAATTTTAATCCGACCTGTCTTTAGGATCCTTTTGGTGACGTCATCAAGAAAATAATGAGCCAGATCCATGAACACGCCGAACTGTACCCTGCACACGAATGCGGAACTCAGACGTACGAGCAGTGGGTGGTTCAGACAGAGAGAGATGGTAAAGCATTTCTGATGTTTATAGCGCTCAACCGTAGACTGTTTTTATAGCAAACATGTTCCGAATAAGAAGTAAGCAGGGCGCTGGCTCTTATAAATCCTGGTTATCTAATTAAATGTTGAGTCAGTTAATTTTGGTGAACTAAATCTGCATTCAAACCGGCGTGTCAAGGCGTCCAGTTTACATGCAAAGTTTATGTGGACATGTTCAGGATGTAGCCTCTTATTGTAGTTTTGCTGACGTTCTTGGGGATGGGATGTGAGCGCTGTGTTATGTTGTGTTGTTGGGGCTGGCCGTGAGCGGTGGATCAGGTTGTGCTGCTGCGTAAACTTGGGTAAACTTGCATAAAACTGCGCTGTTTCTGTTTTGTTATAATACTATATAGTAGAGCCCGACCGATATGGATTTTGCTGTGGCCGATATGAAACCAATATAATGGGAGTTGGAGCTGCCGATATAATCACCGATATATTTAGTGATGTAAAAATTCACTGTAAATGTTGAATTGTTTAAAAAACTTAGGTTTGGCTCTGGTGGATTTTAAATTGGGTTTATTTAGGCAACATTTATTGTTATTCTGCCTCTTTACATCATATTTACAGACAGTAGGTTGACTTAATGGCATTTTTGCATCACATTCTAGACACTAGTGATGGGTATTCCAGTTCTTTTTAGAGAACCGGCTCTTTTGGCTCGGCTCACTAAAAGCTGCTGGTTCTTTTGGCTCCCAAGTGGCTCTTCAGATTGTTTTGTTGCAAGCAGGACTAAAGCACGTCTAAAGCAGGACTGAATCAGGACTGAACCAGGTCTAAACCAGGACTGAAAAAGGACTAAACCGGGACTTATTTATTTTATCCTAAACTACAGTCAAATATGCTCTTTTTGTTTATTTTAATTTTTTTTAATCCTACGTACACGCACATTTCTCAAAGTTTCATTTTTAGCCGCTGCTGCTGTCAAACCACGAATCTGCATGCGGCGTGAAGAGAAAAAAAGTGAGAGAAAGAGAAAACACGGCTCCCAATAAGGATCAGGCTCCCGTCGTTCCCTTTCAAAGAGCCGGTTCTAAGAGTCATTTCGTTCGCGACGGACCCATCAACTAGTAAAGAAAGTAGCGCTATTAGCCTTTAGCCGTAAATACGTGCGCGCCGCGGTAATTAATTATATGTGCAAATGTCATAATTCACACGTCTATTCACAGCTCATTTACATATCAGTGCAGGTCCAGTAACAAATATACGGCCAATATAGTCACTTTAGAACAGACCAATAGAAAACAGTCTGTTTATGTGCGGGAGCTACAGCAGCTAACCCATAACAAATGACAAAAACTAGCTTCAGAGTCGACATATTTCCAACACTCACCGCTCATACAGGCTCCTCCTCACATCACAAATCTGCACTAATAAATGTCCTTTTAATCCAGACTCAAACCGATTGTCCGTAAAAAGAATATAATCTCAGTGTTTGGATCTGTGTCTGCAGGTGTAAACAAACACACGTGAGTGACGCGACTCTGTGGTGTGTTCAGGGACAGTACGGACACACACAGACAAATGACTCCGTAGATAAATACTGATGTGGAGTCCACATATTAGGACATTTATCTGTCTGTAAATTGGATTAAATGAACAGAATGTAGAGAGTCTAAGCTTTATAACGAGGTATAACATGCCCACGTGAAATATCGGCCCCTATCAGCAAGCATATCGGCCGATAGCCGATATGCCTAAAGTTGCCCATATCAGCCGATAATATCGGCCAACCGATATATCGGTCGGGCTCTACTATATAGCCTATATATAATACATATATTAATAATATATATTTATAATTTTGGCCTTGGCACCCCCCAAAAAAATTATACCACCAGCCGCCACTGCCTCCAATGTATTTATTTATTTTTTGCTATAGTTAATTTACTTAAAGGTAAAAACACGTACAAAACATTTTTTTTATATACATCTATATAAATTCAGGTTTTAAGGGGCTATTATTTGAATCTTTCAAAAAGTCTATGGGAAAAAATTATGAGAAATTTACGTCCAGAGCAGACTCTGAAGTAGACTAGACTGTTGATACTGATATTGGTTAAATCCATATTTCATCTTTTTTAATGTTTTCGACTGCAGCGGTGAAAGAAGGTAACGAGAAGCTGCGTGACTGTGCGGAGCACCTGAAGCAGTACAACACCGGGCTGCAGATGAGCAACACCATCAGAATGTGTGACGCCTTCAGTTTCCTCAACTCCTTTTACGAAGACGAGAGGAAAAAGAAGACATCTCCAGACGGGGAGGAAATCAACACCACTGACACTGAGAAATTCCTCTTTGCACTGTTTGAAGGTATGGTACAGATCAGGTCTGTGGAGAGGCGGGCTTGTTTAAAATAAGAAAGCGTGTTTTTGAGTAATGGAAAGAAAAAGATAGAGAAGTTTAACCCAATATTGTGGAACATTCCTGGCAAAATAACAGCTCCTTTGATGTTTTTGAGCAATGAAAAAAAAAAAGGATAGAGAAGTTCAGTGCGGTACTGTTACTATCTAATTTCATTGTCTGAGATTGTCTCCTTATAAACATAAACATTGCACTACTGTAAGATGAAACATGTTTTAAGCCCACACACTTTCATCATTCTATTCATCTCAGCATTGCAGTGGCTTTCACTGTTATTATCAAACAATTATACAAATTAGCTCAATTTAGTAGAGTTGCCTTTTCATTATGGTTCATCCCAGGTTTGGGGTTTCAGACACTCATCCAGCTGTAATCCCTGAAGGTAAACGCGAAGACTTAAAACACATTTTCCATACAGTGAAATTGTAGTAGTAGTTTTATTCGGTCATTTTGCAGCACTACAAAACTAAACTAAACAAAACAGACTACAACCCCATGGATCATGACCGAAAGTGTTTAGGCTCATATTGCCAAACCCTTTTACACAATGACAGAATTCCAAGAAAGAAAGCCATCGTATAAAGAGCAAGTTTGCATTTACAATTTCACTAACGACTTGCTGTATGTATAAGAGACAAAATATAAATTAAAACAAACAAAATTTAATGCATAATTCATTAATTCCAGAGCTCTGTATCTTTCAAAACATAACACTTTATTCTCTTTTTTTAAAGGCTTCTACAGTGTTAGACTTTTTTTAAATCATCACTGAGATTGTTTCACACACTAACCCCTCAATCACTTTTTTTTTTTTGAGCCTGCGATTGGTTAAATTAAAAAAAGTACCCGCCTTCCATCGAGGGAATGAATCCTAATGCTGCGAGGCTGATGAATCAGGACCCCAGCGTCACTGAAAAGAATCAGTGCAGTGCCTTTTTGCGCCTTAATTATAATTCCTCACTCGTTATTATTGTACAGGTAACAAAGGCAAGCTGATGGAGCACGCTAAAAATCCTGAGTACGAGAATGCCAGTCTGTCCAAGCTCCGGACCACAATCCTCCAGGAGTTCAGCCGCAGAGACAACGCCAGAGGGATCATCTTCACCAAGACACGTCGCAGTGCTATAGCCCTCGTCCAGTGGGTCCAGGACAACCCCAAGTTTGGTGATCTGATCGTGAATGCAGCCTATCTCATCGGTGGAGGAGACCAGAGTGACGTGAAGCCTATGACATCTGTGGGTATTTTATTTTTATTTAAAGATCGCAAAAATACTACGCAGAATTCACTCTCATGAACTTTAAATCATGTTATAATGCTGTTACCTTATCAAAACATGCCTGGAGTTGTGTTTTGTTTCATTCACACATGTTTGAGTAATCCTTTATTATTAGTCTCACTGCATCTGCAAAGCTCAAAATGCTTTTTCCACCTTGTGATGTCATGAAGCTGTAGTTTTCAAGTTAACAGCTCCATTTACCTTTTATTCAAGAGAAACTGGCAATTCCAGAGCTGAAATCAAATAATTCTACTGAAAGTGCATGGAGTTGAAAAATACAGTGAAGTGTAGAAGAAATGAGTCGGGGTGTCCACAAATATTGAAATATTGATATATCGTATTGTTTAATGTGATGATATATCGCCAAGAGTATTTTTTGACTCAGTTATTTATTTTTTTTAACAGTTATGTTGCTTATTTAGAGGAAGGAAAGTCATTTATGCAACACATCTGAATTTTTGATGATTAAAATTGGAGTGTTTTATATGAATTTTGCACAAAAAGTGGTTTAACAAAGACTTTTAGCATCACAACCATGATTTAGTCTTTATTTTTTATTGAAGCGTATCGAATCGATTTGAAATATATCGTATTGAATCGAAAGCTGACAGTATCGAGGTATGTATCGTATCGGCAACTTCTTAATGATACTCAGCCCTAGAAGTCAGTGTTCTCTTTTTAAGAGAACTAAGAGACTAGAACTAGAGTCTAAATATGCAGGGTTTGTGTGTTAAACATGTGGGAATGAAGCAAAAGGAAACAACATTATAACACAGACCTGAACGTAATATGAGACCTTTAATTATTATCTGTTTCCATTTCCAGGCAGAGCAAAAGGATGTGTTGAAGAAGTTTGGCAACGGTGAGATCAATTTGCTGATAGCTACAACTGTGGCGGAAGAAGGCTTGGACATCCCAAAGTGTAACTTTGTCATTCGATATGGCCTTGTCACCAACGAGATCTCAATGATTCAGGCAAGTTTAAGTCAAGTATCAGGGAATCAAAAAAGCTACTGTCAGTTAATTCTCGGCTACATTAGATTTAGACTTAGACAAACTTTATTGGGCCACAAGGAAAATTACTTGGACACAGTAGCTCACACATCACAAGATATTATAATAACAAAGAGGAAAATATAAATGGTAATAATAAATGCTAAATAAGTAACAAAAATAGAGAATGGTGTCAAATAAGGCATAATTATATAAATGTAAATATACAGTAGAAGTATGAATAAAATAAAATAGATATAAGTAATAAACGTATCTCTATCTATATATAAGAGGTCGTAAGGAGAACAGTGCAAAGATGATATGATGATTGACAGGACATAGGGTTATCTGTTACATAAAGGTGAGTTGTTGTACAGTTGTAGGGAGTATTATAGTATGAATGTAGTCCTGTATCTCTCACTGTTTGAGCAGAGCTGTAGGAGCCTGTTGGAGATGAGCTCCTCTGTCCCTCTATAGTCTGGTGCAGTGGGTGAGTTGTTGTACAGTTGTAGGGAGTATTATCTGTCCATCTGTAGTCTGGTGCAGTGGGTAAGATGGAGATGTTCAGATGTTCATATGAGGTCCTATGTCCAAAATTCTGAACTGTCTCTTTTCCCCATTTCCTTGTGAGCCAGAGTGTTGGAGACGTGTGGAGACACTTTTTTAAATATTCCATCCAGTCCTTGTATTTGCAGAGGTCACTGGTGCTAGGCTAGTGCATGTCAATGGCCATAGTTATCCTGCCACTAAAAACAGTCTTAACCACTCCACAAAACACCCGAAGCAAATCTATTATTACACCAGACTGTCCAAGTAAATGTCTGTGTTGATGTTTAAAAAAAAAACTAACCTTACATTGCATGAAAAAGCTTGTTGAGGGACTATTTTCTCATATATCAGTCATCTGCTGCCAAGCTTTCTGTCAGGAAGTACAACTCGATGCTGCTCAGACATAAATCCTTCAAATACAAGGTTGGTTTTACTTCTAAAATTATTCTATCAACACAGACATTTACATCGACAGTCTGGTGTAATAACAGATTTACTTTGGGTGTTTTGTGGAGTGGGTAAGGCTGTTTTTAGTGGCAGGATAACTATGGCCATTGACATGCACTAGCCTAGCACCAGCGACCTCTGTAAATACAAGAACTGGATGGAATATTTTAAAAAGTGTCTCCAGACATCTCCAACATTCTGGCTCACTAGGAAATGAGGTCCTATGTCCAAAATTCTGAACTGTCCATTTAATTTACATTTCATTGTCCCCATTTAAGGGAAATCTGTAGTATTTGACCCATCCTGCAGTACCACTGGGGCAAGATATCAGTAAGCAGCACTCTAAATGACCCATCTTCATACCTTGGTCAAGACTACCTTAGCTGGAGGATGATTTTGTAGGTTATAGGTTGCTATAGCTTGTCAGACACATCAAGGGGAAAGTGTCTCTTGTTTATCCTAACATGGTAATATTATATAACATGGTAAGATTAAATTTCATGTGTCCTGACTGGTCCCTTTAGGCCCGTGGACGAGGAAGAGCAGAGGACAGCACCTACACGCTGGTCGAGATCGAAGGTTCCAACGTGGCCGAAAAAGAAACAGTCAATGAATATCGTATCAACATGATGAACAAAGCCATCACAAAGATAAGAGGCATGAACCCCAACGACTACGAAAAACGGGTAAGGGCATCCACGGATTTTTACCATTCTTTATTATTGTTTTAAAGCTGCATTGTGTAACTTTTTTGGTAGAGGATCCGTCACATGTTTTTCTTCATGGAGATGTTACTGCTTTGTCTGGAATGTTTCACAGTACGGCATTAAACCAGGAGACTAAACCAGACCAAGTTACAGGTCAGATCTGTGGAGAGGCAGCTCCTCACAGTCAGAATGCCTGTTTTTCAAGGTATTTTTGAGCTATAAAACCACCTGTAACTGAATAAATGTAAGGTAGAGCTGTTTAATGTCATATTGTGGAACATTCAAAGACATATCCATAGAAACAAGTAGGTGACGGACCACCAGCTAAAAAGTTACACAGTGCACTGCCTAACATTCCTAGTGGAGGATCTGCTACATGCTTGTCTCCATGGAAATGTTATTGCTTGGTCTAGAGCAGGGGTCTTCAACGTTTTTTTGAGGCCAGGGACCCCCAAACTGATCAGCTGAGCAGGGATCCACTACTGTATAATTGGCTTACAAATGTGTTTTATTTTAAATTGGGCCTAGTGCCGTGTATAAACAGCTACTCTTTTATTGTACATTCAATACTAGAGGGATATTCCATTAAAGTCGCTTAAAAAGTTCAGGCTTATCCTAAAATCCTGAGCTGCTTCTGATCTAAGGAGCAAGAAGAAAACATGACTTCCCCCTTCTCTCCTGTTCTCCTCCTCCTCTCCTGTTCGCTCCCCCCCTCTCCCAGTCACTCCCCTACGCAGCCAGCTTCCTCTCCCGGTCGCTCCGTGGACAGAGAGGAGGCGGGCTGCGGACTCCGGAGCCTGGTTAATACGCCCGAAGTTGCCTCACCCCTTCCAGACGCGCGGTAGTACATGCAGAGTTTACATTCCGCTGTGCATAAAAGTGAAACTGTAATGTAACAGGGGAAGGGACCAGGAGCCAACCCACCAAATGCTACGTCAGCAGTTTTGCGAGGATTCAAGTGGGGCCCATCGCAAGCTCTTGGTACCCTATGCGCTGTACGTAATGTAATGTGCGTAATGGGTAGCTAAGGTATAAGAAAGGATCAAATGTGCATCAAAGTGTTTGTGGTTTGACAAGGGAATGAAGAGAGAGAGAGACAGATGTGATGAAAGAACGAACAGACGGAACCGACTGAAAACCAGTTCATCCTCATCCTTCAAAAATTAAGAAATATTAAAAAAATTATAATAAAAAATGTCAAATCAGCCAGACATATCACAACCCCTGTGTAGTACCTCCAGGGCCCCCTGTTGAAGACTGCTGGTCTAGAATGTTCCGCTGTATAGATTAAACTTATCTGTCACGAGTTCAAGTTCAGATCTGTGGTGAGTCACCCCAAATCAGAGAAGGAAGTGTATTTTTGAGCACTAGAAACACCCATAAAGAATATAGTATTTTCTGCACTATAGGGCGCACTGGATTATAAGACGCTCTGTCATAGAATGGTCGATTTTCGAAGGTTTTTTCACAAATAAACCGTACAGGACTTTAAATGAAACACAACAGTTGGATGGGTTAGTCGGACTTTGTTTGGTGCGTTCACGGTGACTCTGGGCTTTGTTCAATTGTGGCGTGTAGGGAGGGTGCTGTCTGGGACCGCTGGATTGTCGGCGTGTTCGCAGTGACTCAGTTGTTCAGTTGTGTCTAGAAGTGGCACATTGCACTCGCTTTTTTGGTTCGTTCCTCCGTTCCGTTCCTTGTTTGCGTGGAGTGATGAGTGTGTCTGTGGGTGTTTTTCGCTGTGCGGTCGCTGTCTGCTCTGTGTGTGTTTGCGTGTTCTGCTGGTGGTGCGGCTTTGTAGTTTACTGAAGTCGTGCTGGGACACTCGAGTGGATTCGTTTATAGGGCGCTCTGGATTGCGGGGCGCGCAGTCGTTTTTTGTTGGGGTTAGAGGCTTAAGAGCACGCCCTAGAGAATCCTAGGTTAAGCAATAACATCACCATGAAGATAAAAGTTACACAGTGCACCTTTAATAATTTTGTAACTAAATTATTTGTGTTTAGATACTGGAGTTCCAGATTCAGGCCATAATGGAGGAAAGACTGAGAGTGAAGAAGAGTAAACAAAAAAACATCAGCAACTGCAGCCCCTCCGAACTCAAGTTAGCCTGTCGAAAATGTAACACCGCTGCCTGCACCGGAGATGACATCGAAATCATTGAAAACATGCACCGAGTCAATCTTTCAACAGAATTTAGGTAATACATCACCATTCACAATATTATAGATGTTTTTATTAAAGGGCCCATTACACTCTTTTCTGATCTACAGTATGTTATAATGTTGTTCCCTCCTTTTGTTTCTGCAGTAAACTTTTCATGGTTAAAGAAAACAACACCCTTCGAGAGAGGCATCTGGATTATGAGACCAATGGTTCGATTGCTTGCCATGAATGTGGAAGTGTAAGTTAATTTCACAAATACATGCAGTGCAGTGAAGTTCATGTACCACCCAGCAATACAAACACATACATTAAATACAGAGAGGAGGGAAGCGTTAGCTCCTCGTATTTTGTAGTATTTGTAGTATTGTTTATATAAATAGAACAGCTACATTGTTGTCCTGTATTCAGCAGTGTCTGTCGGTCATACTTTATGTGATAAGACTGTGCAGGGCGTGCCACTAAAACAAACACGAGTAAATAAAACAAATGGCTGGGACAGGTATGACGGCTGCCGGCCTTCCCAACGCCATCTTGCTCTAGTATAGAGTAGTTACACTGCAAAAACTAAAATCATGTTAACAAAGTTTAATCATGATTTGAGTACATTTCACTTGACAAGTAAAGTTATCTACCCAGGCTGGTGCCACCTAGTGCCGCTGCTCAATTTCATTTCTCTCCAGCGACTAGGTCAGGAATCAGAATGCACTAAACGGTTTGCAAGAACCCTGGAAGTTGTAGACCGCACACTGGCCAGTCAGCGAAGAGCTGTGAAGCCATGACTGTGTCCCAGTGGTACAGCACAACAGTAAACAAAGTGGTCAAGATGGATGTAGACAAAGACATACATTCTGTGTTGGCAACGATTCCCAAGATTGAGGATTTAAAGTCGGAACAAAGAGAATATTCGGTGAATTTTATCAAGGGGAAAGACTCATTGCCTTTCTTCCTACGGGATTTAGCACATTACACCAGTCACAACCAAATAGCAGCGATAGGCTAAATAATAAAAAAGTACCCGCCTACCGTAGAGCAAATGAATCTTAATGCTGCGAGGTCAGATGGTTTGCATGAAGTGAAACCGGCTGATGAATCAGGCTACAAGTTATCTGCCAATGATACAAGACTTTTTGCACTTAAAATAATACATCTTGCTACACTTAAGATAAGAAAAACTTTGTACTTTGTACTCTTTGTACTTAATTAAGAAACAAAATGATAATGTTTCTTGAATTAAGAAAAACACACTTATTCCATTGGTAGAAAATTTTACTTGTCAAGTTGAATCGAAGTAAAATGTTCTTAATTTAAGACATTTTACTTACCTAGATATTGCTTTTTGCAGTGTGTCTATTCCCATGGAACAAAAACTACTTCAGCATCTTTTCTGTCAAAGGTGCACTGTGTAACTTCTCTGGAGGGGCGTACAACGTGTTTGTCTCCATGGAGATGTCAATGCTTTGGTTTAATTTGTCCACAGTATGGCATCAAACTAATCTGTCTTACATTTATTCAACTACAGGTCATACTTTATGTGATAAGACATAAAGAATGACTTGTAGTTTTTATTGCTCAAAAATATCTTAAAAACCATGAATTCTTGCTGTGAATGGGGTCGCCTCTCCACAAATCTAACCTGTAATTTGGCTTGCAAGTCTCCATGGAGATTCATAAGTTTATGAACATACTGTGGAACATTCTAGCCATTTCATTATATAAGTTATGAAATCAAATGCTAGAATAGTGTGACTCATGTCTCATAAAACTGTAAATTCTGAAATAAACTGAATGTTATTTTTTTGCAGCTGTGGGGTTCGATGATGCACTACCGGGGGATCGACTGTCCCTGTCTCCACGTGAAGAACTTCGCGGTGACACTCAACGGGATGAAGATCAGCAAGTGCGCAAAGTGGAGTGAGCTACCTGTGAAGTTCCGCGCTTTCGACTACGCTCTGTATGCTTCTCAGTTAGCCTCAGATGAAGAGGAGGAAGAGGAGGATGAGGACGAGGAAGAAGAAGAGATTGACTAATGCTGACAGTTAGATCATGCAATGTCAGACTTTACGACTTTGAAAATAGAAAGAGAATCATATTTTTCAACAATGATCTAACTCACGCTGCATGAAACCGATGCTGGATGCAAATTAAAGGTACATTGCGCAACTTTTCTGGTGGAGGATCCGTCAAATGCTTTTCTTTATGAAGATGTTACTGCTTTGTCTGGGATGTTTCACAGCAGGGGCGGCGCTACCATTAGGCAAAGTTGGCAGCTGCCTTAGGGCCCCCAAATCTAGAGGGGCCCCCAACCAATTTCCCTCAGTGCCACTAAAAACCATAAGAAAAATAATAATAATCACAGGTAATGGATGTAAAAAAAAAAAAAATAAAAAAAAATTGTACTAACAAAAACTAAAACTACTTTAAGTCCTGGCTAGTCGGCTTCATGACTAATAAGACAAGTTTCCAATCCACCATAATTCAAATAAATAGAAATGTGTATGTCTCAAGAACAATGGGGAAAAACAGACAAAAAATATATTTTAAAAAACTAAACGAAACAAAAAATGGTGCATCATAGTGAGGGCCCTAAACTCAAGCTTGCCTAGGGCCCCCAAATTGCTAACTATGCCACTGTTTCGTGCATTCTATCTTAATGGAGACCAAACCAGACCAAGTTACAGGTCAGATCTGCGGAGAGACGACCCCGTTCACAGTCAGTCCTGTTTTTCTAGGTATTTTTGAGCTATAAATCCACCTGTAATTGAATAAATGTAAAGTAGAGCTGTTTAATATCATACTGTGGAACATTCTAGACAGAGCAATGGCATCGCCATAGAAACAAGCAGGTGATGGATGGACCCTCCACCAGAAAAGTTACATAATGCACCTTTTAAATAGAAAGTGTCATATTTTTCATCAACAGTGATTTAACTCATGGATCACACTACTAAACTGATTCTATGTGGAAATTAAAAATATATATGAGCCTATCATATTGACATTAAAGTTGCACTGTGCTTGCTTATGGAATGTTCCACAGTATGGCATTAAACTTACAGCATCTGCCTTATTTTACTATGCAAAGGCTCTCTATAAATCTGCCCGGCAACTTGTCTCCATTGTGATTTATTTAGTAGTTTATTTCCAAAGCAATTACATCTCCATGGAGACAAGTTGATGGCAAACACCACCAGAAAAGTTACACAGTGCACCTTTAAACCATTATAGTTATATTTTAATTGATTTTCCAAGTTTTGAACGTGCCTTTAGTTTTTTTTCTAATTTACATGACCATTTATGTGGACATGTTAACCTTTTTCTTGGTCTTTAATCTACAATCTTTATGATTATTATTAGAGTTTACATATTATTATAGATCTCATGTTTACTCTTCAGGCCTCTTCTGTTGTGGCCCTGGGTGGATTTTATGTCATAATGAACTACTGTTAGTGGTGGCGGTTATGTTTTGAATAAGTTTTGTTGCTGCTAAACAAAAGAGTGAAGGTGGACATATAAAACTGCACTGGTGTTTCAAAGTGCGTGTATTTTAGACAGTGGTGGATGAAGTACTCAATTTTGTTACTTAAGTAAAAGTACAGATACAAGGGCAAAAGATTAGTCAAGTAAAAGTAAAAGTATCACATGAAAAAATTTGCTTAAGTAAAACTATCGATGTAGTTCCTGTATTTTGCAGAGATTTTTAGAATAATTAAAGCATCAAAGGTAATGATTTTGATAATGAATTTAGCAGATTTTAATTAATCTTGCTCAGGGGTGTCAAACTCGAATTCACAGAGGGCCAAAATTAAAAACTGTAACTAAGTCATGGGCCAAACTAAATATTTATTGAAAAAAAATTCAACAACATCTGCATGTTTTCTCTTCTTTCGAGATATGTAATGTTAAACCTTTTCTTATTAAAAATAAATGTTTAATAATAGTTTTTCTTAAACACTGAATCCAGAACAAGCAAAATATAAAATAATAACAGAATTTTAAACAAATATCTCTTTAGTCTATCTGTAAACGGCGGGCAGCTCTAATAGATATTTGATATGATTTCACGGGCCAAATATAATTATATCGCAGGCCAAATTTGGCCCAGGGCCTGAGTTTGACATGTCTGCTCTAGCTGCTTTTGTGTAACTGGTTTGCTCAAAGTTACACAAATGAAATGCATTAAAAATAAGTCATTTCAGCAGGTCTCAAACCATAAAGAAAAGTACGTGTGATTAAAACTAAAATGTACTTAAAGGTGCATTGTATATTTTTTTCTGGAGGGTCCATCAAATGTTTTTTGTGGAGATGTTACAGCTTTGTCTGTAATGTTTCACAATATGGCATTAAGCCTTTCTATCTTCATGGAGATCAAACCAAAATCAAGTTACAGGTCAGATCTGTGGAGAGGCAACCCTGCTCACAGTCAGAATACCTGTTTTTCTAGGTATTTTTTAATGAATATAAGGTAGAGGTTCTTAATGTCATACTGTGGAACATTCAAGCAGAGAAGTGACATATCCATAGAAACAAGCAGGTGACTCACTCGCAACCAAAAAGTCACACAATGCACCTTTAAGTAAAGTACACATACCTACAAATTTTACTTTTATTTTTGTACTTCGTTACCTTCCACCACTGATTTTAGACACGTATTTTATTGTATGCTGTGGTGATGTTTGTACGTATCATGCACTAATCTATACTGAAAGTATAAAATGTAACTGTGATTGAATGGTGATCATGAAAATAAACGCGGCCTACGACTCGGGTCTCTTGGTGATTGTGTCGACTGAGCCACCACAGCCCCTCGGGTCCCCCTGTCAACAACACGCACACGTAACAGGTGCGCCATTTTCTCCCATTGAGCCCAGCTGTTGGCAGTGACTCACCTTATTCTAGTCATTCCTATTTTGGGACGTTTATTTGTCATTTATTTCCTTATGTATACACCTACGACCGGTTTGCGCACATAGTATGGTTCACTTAAAGTAGAGTAGGTCCAAACTTGCCCTGGTTTGGTCCTGGTTTGAGGCCAGATTACTCCTGATAGACTCAAAGTATGGTCCTGTTCTTGTGTTTAGTCTTGTCTTGTCCAGGCTAAGATCCAAACTGAATCCAACAGCAGTTTTGTCTGAATTTTGAAGTCCTTGCCCAACCCTTATAGACAAATTAGAAGCCTACAGATCAAAAAGGCGGGAGGATTAATCAGCAGTACACAGTTGCATAGTATCCCTAAATAGCCGTAGCAATGCGGTCAGTCCATAGATGTCCCCGTTCTGCTGACTTGGAGGAGTTTTCCTTGTGCTTTCGCCTGCGCTCTGGAATGCAACAGCAGCAGCAGCAGCAGGAGCAGCGGGATGTGCGGGACACTTTTACAGGACTCATAAACCCGGAGCGCGTGTGCTGAGAACCATCCGGGCTTAGTCATGTTTTTACCATCAGGCTAATTAACGGAGCCTTTATTTTATCGCGAGACTATGATTAAAAGTTCTAAAATTCCAGTAAAAGTTTGCGTGCGCACGGGACACTTGTGAAGTCTGGGGTTGGCCGCGCGTCCTACCGTCGCTGAATGTCGAGGAACTCATCTCCAACATGGTCAGTAGTTACAAAATTACAACAATTACACAAGTCTGACTCTGTAAAAGCATGCTAACAGCGTATTAAAGTGTAAATAAAGGGTGCAGGATGATTTTAGTGCGTTTTTCTGCTTGGTGTCACCTCACAGGGCTACAGCAAGGTGCTGTGGTGGGTGATCGGGGCGGCTGTCGTCATCACGCTAATAACTATTCCAGCTATATTTGAACAGTAAGATTTTTTTCTATATTCACTGTTGTCCTTTCGCTGCCACTCTCACTTACCCCTTTCCGTGTTTGACCTGTCTAACCGGTGTACTGCGTGTCATATTCAATCTCATCTAGGTCATTTATTCTGTCTTTCTTGCTATTTTCATTTAACTATTTGGATAAAGTGACTGTCCTTCAAACTTGTTATAGGCCTTGTTATTTGTTATTTGATTTTGTTTTATCTCTTTAGTTTTATTTTAAACTAAAGAGAGACAGTTCATTAACTTGGCAGACTAACTTACAAATCTCTCACTTTGAAATAGCGCCCCCTTGTGTCTGAAACACTCCTGTGGCACTGTCTTGGATACAGAGTAAAAGCTAAACATTTAATCAGTTATAGGCAGTGTTGGGGAGTAACAGATTACATGTACCGGAGTTAAGTAATCAGAGTACAAATTATGAGTAACTGTATTCGGTTACAGTTACTGTTTCAGTGAGTGGTAATTAGATTACAGTTACTTTGTTGAAATAAATGGATTACACGTCAATATTTTCCTGTTTTTCCTTTATTTTCCTGTTTCTAAACCAGGTCTAAAACCAGGTCTAAAACAGGATTTAACAGGACTAAACCAGGACTAAAACCAAGTCTAAATCGGATGTAAACCAGGTCTAAACCAGGACTAAACCAGGACTAAACCAGGATTTAACAGGACTAAACCATGCCGCGTGGACCGTGTCTCCTCCTCTTCTATCCATAATATTTTTTAATACAGTTAAGTAAAGTCTGGGCTTTTTATTGTCTTTAAGCAGACAAAACTTCTTATGTGAAAATATCCGAGTCTTTGCTTCTCTACAGCAAATCAGGTAATCCAAAATATTCAGATTACGTTACTCCCCTTAAGTACCTTAATGGATTCCGTTACAAACTACATTTTGGTGTATGTAATCTGTAATCTGTAGGGGAATACATTTTAAAAGTCACCTTCCCAGCACTGGTTATAGGTTTGATCAGTCTGCTTGCTTTTGAGTTTAAAGGTAGATTTTTGCACAGAAAGACAAATAAAAGAACAGCTTCACTTTCAGCCATTTTACTAGGCTACAATAAATACACGCCTTGGTATTTCGCGTTAATAAGTGTGTTTTTATATTACTTAAAATGTTTTATAAGCTGCTTGAATTACCTTAAAGGTGAATTGTGTAACTTTTCTGGTGGAGCGTCTTCCATTTGCTTGTCTCATGGTGATGTTATTGCTTTGCCTGGGATGGTCCACAGTATGGGCTCACTTCTCCACTGATCTGACCTGTAACTGGCCCCGGTGATGTGGCCTGTCTGTCTCCATGGAGATCAGATCTGGGTATCATTCAGAAGTTGTTGATCCGATACATACCTCGATACATAAGCCATAATACATAATACTTATCTCGAAACAGTGCACTTTTGATTCGATACGATCATTTTCAAGTTGATTCGATACGGTTCAGTAAAAAATAAAGGCTAAATCACTGCGGTGATACTAAAAGTCTTTAAACATTTTAATCATCAGAACAGTGAAAATGTCAAATGTGTTGCACAAACGAGTTTCCTTCCTCTAAACAAGCAACAAAACTGTAGCCCTCTCCTCCTCCTCTCTCTTCCTCCTCTCTGCTCCTACTTTCTTCTCCTACTCTCACTGAGATTCTCCTCCTCTCTCCATCTCTCTCTCCTCCTCCTCCTCCTCTCCTCTTCTCCTTTTCCTCCTCCTCCTCCTCTCTCCACCTCTCTGTGCCCTCTCCTCCTCTCTCTCTTCTCCTCCTCCCTCCTCCTCTCCTTCTCCACCTCCTCTCTCCAGCTCTCTGTCCCCCCTCCTCTCTCTCTCCTCCTCCTTCTCTTCTCTCCAACTCTCTGTCCTCTCTCCTCCTCTATCTCTCCTCCTCCTCTCTCCTCCTCTTCTCTCCAACTCTCTGTCCCCTCTCCTCCTCTCTCCTTCTCCTCTTCCTCCTCTTCCTCCTCTTCTCTTCAGCTCTCTGTCCCCTCTCCTCCTCTCTCTCTTCTCCTCCTCCTCCTCCCTCCTCCTCTCCTTCTCCACCTCCTCTCTCCAGCTCTCTGTCCCCCCTCCTCTCTCTCTCCTCCTCCTTCTCTTTTCTCCAACTCTCTGTCCTCTCTCCTCCTCTCTCTCTCCTCCTCCTCCTCTCTCTCTGCCCCTCCTCCTCTTCTTCTCCTCCTCTATCTCTCCTCCTCCTCTTCTTCTCCTCCTCTCTCCTCTCCTCCTCCTCCTCTCTCTCTGCCCCTCCTCCCTCTTCTTCTCCTCCTCTATCTCTCCTCCTCCTCTTCTTCTCCTCCTCTCTCTCCTCCTCTCTCCTCTCTTCTCTGCCCCTCCCTCCTCTCTTCTCCTCCTCTCTCTCTCCTCCTCTCCTCCTCTCTTCCTTCCTCTCTCTCTCTCCTCCTCCTCTCTCTCTCTCTCCTCTCTCTCTCTCTCCTCCTTCTCTCCTCCTACTCCTCTTCTCTCCAACTCTCTGTCCCCTCTCCTCCTCTCTCCTTCTCCTCTTCCTCCTCTTCTCTCAGCTCTCTGTCCCCTCTCCTTCTCTCTCTCTTCTCATCCTCCTCTCTCCTCCTCCTCCTCCTCCTCCTCTCCTCCCCCCTCCTCCTCTCCTCCTCTCTCTCTCCTCCTCCTCCTCTCTCTCTGCCCCTCCTCCTCTTCTTCTCCTCCTCTCTCTCTCCTCCTACTCCTCTTCTCTCCAGCTCTCTGTCCCCTCTCCTCCTCTCTCTCCTCCTCCTCCTCCTCTTCTCTCACTTCTCCTCCTCCTCTCTCCTTCTCCTCCTCCTCCTCCTCCTCCTCTCCTCATCACTCTCTCCCTCCTTGATCTCAATTCACTCCTAAAACTCAAATTGTTTGTTTGTCGTTTTAGAAAGTGCTCCCAAAAAGCTCTTTTCCATCGAGGATTATTTTAACGACACTATCCGATGGAAGTCCTACAGCATGCATTGGATATCAGGTACACGGGACACTTTCTTTGTCCTAGTTTACAGTACAGTCACTTTTCTGGTGGAAGGTCCGTCAACTGCTTTTCTTCATGGAGATGTTATTGCTTTATCTGGAAAGTTCCACAGTACGGCATTAAACGAGTACAAGTTATAAGTCAGAATTCATGTTTTTCTTGGTATTTTCGAGCTACAAAACCACCTGTAATTGAATAAATGTAACGTAGAGCTGTTTAATGTCACGCCGTCTAACTAACATTCCAGTTAGAGCAATAACGTATCCATAGAAACAAGCAGGTGACGGACCCCCACCCAAAAAGTTACGTAGTGCATCTTTAACTTGATGTCTTTTCTACTTGCAGATAATGAGTATTTGCACAGATTAAATGATGGAAACTACATGCGTTACAATTTAGAAACAAAAGAGGAGTCCCTTTATATCAGCAACACAACATTTGTAATAAAAACTATTCAAAAATCTAATGTTGAATTTAAATAAGTTTCATAATAATCTTTAAATAATGTATGTTTTCATTTTAGGCACAAGTAGACGCCACTGACTACATGTTGTCTGGGGACTACAACTACGTAGCACTTGAGAGTAATTACACCAAGGTTAGTATTTTGTAAAAGTTTGAGTTTTCTACACAAATATTACGTGTATTTTATTAATATTTCTGGTCCTTTGTCAGAAATGGAGGCATTCTTACTCCGCTTCTTACACCATCTTCAACAGGGAAACAAAGTAAGTGATTTTGATTTCATTTTGTCAACACATTTTCATGAATTTAGGTCACATGTTGCAAATCTTTAGGCATGGAAATGATTTAGGTCGTCTTTTCCACAAGGGGATATTTATTATGAATATAAGTGTGCAAATATATCGAAATGTCAATATATCGTATCGTTTAATGTGATGATACAGTATCGATATCGTGGGCTGCTGTATTGATATATCCCCAGGAGTATTTTTTGGTATATTTTACTAAATTATTTTGTTACAGCTACAGTTTTGTTGCTTGTTCAGTGGAAGGAAAATTGTTTACGCGACACTTTTGACATTTTCACTGTTTTGAGGATTAAAATGTTTGTGTTTCATATGAACTTTGCACAGGAAGTGGTTTAACAAAGACTTTAAGTATCACAGCCATGATTTAGCCTTTGTTTTTTATTGAACTGTATCAAATTGATTTGAAATATATCGTATCGAATCGAAAGTGTGCTGTATCGAGATATGTATCGTATCGGCAATTTCTTAATGATACTCAGCTTTAATTATGAAGCCACAAAAAAATAGTTAAACCGGCTACAGTCCCCGCTCTCATCCCGTGCCTTGCTGCGGTAAAAACACACTCCAGTCTAGTTCAAGGCACACGTACAAAACCAGTGCGAGGCGTTCCAGTGCACCTAGTAAAAATAAGAATGTTCAGAAGTTAATGTCAATGTCACTATAAAAACCATAGGGAGTGTCAGTGAACATCAAAATAATGTTTACAGCAATTCACAACAATTATGTATAACTGGAAATGAATTAATCACGTCTCTCACATGCATTTTTGTTGATTTTCTTTTCTTTTTTTACACACAGTTCATTTGTCACACCTGAGGATCTTCCCTCTTTCGTCCAGTACTTCTTTTGGAGTACAGTAGCAAACAAATTTGTGAGTTTTTATTTCGAATTTGCTTATAATGTTTTATGGTTACTATGACAACATATTCCTCACTGTGCAATGTCCCACAGGCCTATGTTTCAGATTACAACGTGTTTCTAAAGACGTCCGTGAGCGCTGACGCTGTTCAAGTGACGTTTAATGGGAAAGAGAACGAGATCTCAAATGGGATTCCTGACTGGACATATGAGGGTCAGTAAAAAATACTCCATAATGTTCATTCTTAAAAATATTTGCCAAGAAAAAGGTGAAAAAGACAATATAATTTCTGTACAGTACAGTGCAAACATAATAATTAAATGTTATTTTAAATTTACAGTATAAAATAATGGACTTTTCTGTTTCAGAGGAGGTGTTTGCGTCAAATGGAGCACTGTGGTGGTCGACCAACTCTCTGTATCTGACATATGCAGAGTTCAATGACTCCCTGGTCCACAGGATTGAGTACAGCTGGTACGGGTCTGAGCAGTATCCTGAGACTGTGTCTGTGCCGTACCCAAAGGTAAAGACACAACTGTTATGGTGACATTTCAACTACTGTGTCAAAATACTATATTTGACAAAAAGACATTTAAGTGAGACTTAATATACAAAATTTATGAAACTCAAATTATTTTTAGATCACAAGTAAGATGGGAAGTTTGGGAGTTTCAGAATTCTTCATTCCACTTGAGATGCTATTGCTCTGCCCTGCATGTTCAACCATATATTTTAAACTTGTCTGTCCAATATTTATTACACTACAGGTGTTGTTGCAAAAATACCTTATACCAGACATTATTACTGAGCGCAACTCGCCACTCCACAGATCTGACCTGTAACTTGACCTGGAGGTGTCAAATGCTTGTCTTAATGGAGACTGACCTTTTTTTTTTTTTACCTGGTCCCTGAAGGGTTGACCAGGTTTTATATTCACCCTGTATGTGTGTGTGTCTGTCCACCTGCGATAATTCCGCCATTTATGGACCGATTGTCTCCAAATTTGGTACGTGGGTCAAGCCCCCGTGCCTGATACTGCAAAAAAGGTTTGGTGACGATCCGAGGTCATTTGAGGTCACACAGGTCAATTGAATGGTCACGCTATTGTTGTGGCAAAATTTATATATCTGTCTTGAAGATAAATAATGAATCCATTTGCGAAGCCCGATGAGTTTTTGGAATATAGACCAAGGTTTATTCTTGTTACAGCAGATATGGACAGGGCCTAGGCCTGTTTCGGCCAAAGCCCAACAGCCTCTCGCCCTGTCTCCCCTATGTCCCTTCCCATCTCCCTCCCCAGAGCATTTGAGCTCTGAGTATTTATACAGAAATACAAGTTACATACATATCAAAGCAGAGTGACTTTGGTTTCAGAGGCTGGTGCTAAATTAACATACAGTTGAGGACAACAAAGGGCTTCCTGAAGGCGGAGACAGTTGTGCCTGATGAACCTTTACACATGTTAATAACTGGTCTGGGTTTCAGGTAGAAATCACTTTAATTTACACAAGACAAATTGAGAGAAATCTTTCCACAATCTAAATTTCTATCACACTATTATAAAGGATAGGCAATTTCGGCAATTTCTGAACCATCTGCGGGCTAAAATATTCACCCAATCATCACACAAGTTGGCACACACATAACCGGGATATGGGCTGGACTCCTCATAAGCTGCATCCGGGGTGATGAACTGCCCCCACCGATGCCTCATGGGGGACCAGGTTGCCATCTCTGATTGTGCTGTTTTGTTTTTTTGTTGTTGTTTTTTTGTAACTAAAACTCTAGGGACCCGAGGCAGATAAACTTCATGCTGTGTTGTTAAGTATAATAAAGTAATATTTTATATGGCCTGTCTATCCCATCCCTGTTTTTTATAAAATAAGTGTGAGTGTGTGACATTGTGTGTGTTTGTACAGGTGTGTATGAGTGTGTATGTTAAATCATAGAAATTACATTTGTAGGAAATGGAGGAAGGTGGACCAGGGTGATTGTGGTGCTGTTGTGCTGACAACGGTGGTAGATGTGTATTCCAGAGAGATATAGTCTCAAGTCAACGAGCAGTTTTTTTCCAATGTGCCAGATGTATGCTATGCCTTGATTTCCAGTTCATGAGGATCGTTTTCTTGGCGATAGTTAGGGCCACAGGAGAAATTTATGATATGTGTTATCTATTGTGATTATTGAAAGGTCACCTAGAAAGCAGAGTGAGGTGGACATGGGGAGACTGACAATTTAACGACAAGGGTACAAGTTGTGTATTCGTTTTCATGGTTTGATTCAAAGCAAGTAGTGTACAGTCAGTTTTTAATTATAAGAGAGGGGTATTATGCAAAATAGATTTTTTTTTTAGCTTTATACCATGTTATAATGTCTTTGTATTATCAAAAACATGCGTGAAGAGGTTTAAATGTCATCCATGCATGTTTGAGTAATTTAGCGATCTCTCCTGCGCCTGATTCGAACCTTTCTTACGGTTAGCTGTTCTATGCTCATCCCACAAGCTTAAAAATACAAAAGCATAATACAAAACTTTACACAACATCTTGACAAACCTGACGCTATGTGCAGTAGTTTCATTAGTGGGATGCAAGTGTCGTGAAAGCTCTTTGAACGAGGAGTGACGTAGCGCAGAGAGCAAAAGGAGGGGTTGCTCAGAGGGTCAAAAATAAAATTGAAACGTATTAATGCTTTGTTTTCAGTGAATATAACATTTTCAAAGCAATTAAAAGTAACAAGGTGGTCTAAAAATGTTATGTGTTGCAGTTAATACCTCATAGAATTAAAATACCCCTTTTAAATCCTCCAGTAGTTGAATTCACAGATGTTATTTTGTCCCTTGCTCAGTATCGTTCTTTATTATGATTATTTGTGTACCAGATTACATTTCTTACTCTGTTTCTCCAGGCGGGTTCCATCCTCCCCACAGTGCGTCTCTACGTGGTGGACACCTCTAACCCTTCTCGACGCTGGCCGCTCGTGGCCCCGGCGTCCGTGATATCCGTGTGAGTGTTTTTACGTTTCACTTCTTCTCCTTCGTCTGTTTAGCCGCGATGTGAGGAGGAGGAGGTGGAGTTTTTTATTTTCTTTGGCGAAACTCCTTGTCATTTCTCATCTCGTCTTTGCAGCGATCACATTTTGTGCTCGGTGACCTGGGTGACAGACCAGCGCGTGGCTGTGCAGTGGATGACCCGAAAACAGAATTATGTGATTGTACAGTTCTATGAGTTTGATGGAAGAAGCTGGGTGGAAAAGCAGGTAGAGTTTTTATTTGTATTTATTTATTTTATTTTACTTTTTAAAAATATAAAATAGAATCAAAATTTTTATTTAAAAAAGTTTAAAGCAGACCCATTATGCAAAATTGACTTTTCTTACCATGTTATATTTGTTTCCCTTTACCATTTGCTCACCCAAAGTGATTTGTGGCTGTTTGAATAATCTTTAATAGACCTTTTTCACAATGGCCGAAAGTGCCACTATGTAGGGTAAATATTACTCCCAGTGAATGCTTTTCTATGGCAAAATATCTGTGTCTCATGTATTTTCAGCTTCATAAATCTGCCCCATCACCAAATCTTCATCCAACAAGGTCGACAAAGGACACATTCTGTCCATGAAGAATTTATCCACAGCTATAAGAAAGACGAAAACATAAAGGCGAACAACAACGAGCATTAGTGAACTACTCCTGAGGAAAACTAACATTATGGTCATAAATAAAACATGAGCAACTTGTAAACTCAGACTGATTCTACTATTAAAACTAAAATTTGATTTCATGATGTAGGTATTGGCATAGACAGAGACATTTGTGCAGTTTAAATGCGAGACATGTAATCTGTGAACATCTGTAGTGTTTGAACTGCAAAATCTCACTGACTATGCCAATATCTACATCATGAAATCAATTTTTTATTTTAATCCTAGAGTCAGTCTGAGTTCAAATGTTACTTATGTTTTATTCTTTTTCCTCTTTCTTTCACTTTGCTCAGGAGTAGTTCACTAATACTAGTCGTTGTTCACCTTTAAGTTTTCGTCTTTCTTACCTTGATAGTTGTAGATTAATTCTTCATGGACAGACATATGTTCTTTGTCGACCTTGTTGGATGAAGATTTATGAAGCTGGTGCAAAATACGCAAGACATTTCCACAGCTATTTTGACTTAGAAAAGCATTAATCTGAAGTCCCGCAAACCTACAGCGGAGCAAAAATTTTGCCGATCAGTGCCTGTTTTCAGTGCCACTTTATTTTCAGTGATATGCATATAATTCAGCAGCGTCACATAGTAATTTTAATGCAACTGAAAAAAAGTAATCTATTCACTAGTGTGATCTGCAGCTGTTCATAGGAGGGGTGTTGTGGAAAAATTATATATCTCTGATGACAAATAATTAATCCATTTGCAAAGCCTGATGCGTTTTTTGAATACAGACCAAGGTTTATTCTTGATACAGCAGATATGGACAGGGTCTCGCTCTGAGCTCTGACTATTTACTGTATACAGAAATACAAGTTACATACTGTACATAGCAAAGCAGAGTGACTTCTTTCACTTTAACATACATTTGAGGACAGGTTGTACAGCAAAGGGCTTACTGAGCGCTGCTGAGCCTTTGCACATTAATGACTGGTCTGTGGTAGAAATCACATTCATTTACACAAAGACGCTGAGAGAAATCTTACCACAATGTAAATTTCCATCACAGGGGCCAACAGTGGGCACCGCTTCGTTGTGATGACGTCATCTCCCTTTGGGCACTACAGTTTTCTAACGCAGAAGTCGCAGTCTTGTTTCTTTTACTAAGTCTTTTGAGATTAATATTGCAATTTAAAATGTGTAAATTATGACGCAAAAGTCCACATGCGTCACTGATTATAAGTATGTGGCAGGCTCAATCACAAAAAAACAAAAAAAAAAAGTGTTTCTGGCACAAAAGTAGATCTGCTAATATGTCTTTTTCAATTTTTTGACTTAAACTTGAACTTCATACATGCTTTTTTCATACTACTTTCACTATTTATCTCTATGTAGGCCTTCTGTATATTCCTTTACCACAACTCAACATATATATTTTTTGTTTTTTTTAGAAATTTGAACAAAGTAGCAAGACTGGCTGGGTTGGCCGTGTAAGTTTTTCACAAACAAGATTCGAAAAACATATATTCACATCATGCTTTAACTCATATTTTAATTGTTTACAGTATGTTCCACTACCTCTTTTCTTTGCCGAAGATAAGCTGAGTTTCTACAAAGTGATGAGTGACAGTCACGGATACAAACACATTCATTACGTTAAAGATGTAAGTGCCATTTCTCCATATGAAATACTACTAAATATAAAAGACTTCATGTAATACGCTGTGTCTTCATTAAGGGCAAAGCCACGCCCATAACCTCAGGAGAGTGGGAGGTGACCTATATCAACAAATTAACCAAAGACGCCATGTGAGGGATCATGCATATCTGCTGTTTTAAATCATTAAAGTTGTAAATTGAATATTGTTTGAATATGATGTCTGTAAATGACTGTCACGTTTCATTTGTGTACAGATATTTTGTGAGTAATCAGCATGAATCCACACCAGTCAAGGTTAATCAGTACAGGTATGTCTCTTTGTTTATTCGTCTATACAGGCTGAAGAAATGCATGTAAGATTTTGATTTAAAACTTCATGAACTTCCCCGTGTCCTCAGATAAATTTTACTGATAACAATTCTAATGCTGATTTATTCTGAGCTACAAACATTTTTTACATGATTTTCCATTTGTTTCTGTTATAATACATAAGACATTTGGAAAGATGCGATTACAACTTCCCAGGCCCAGTTTTTTTTTCATCTAAATGTCATTTTAGTGTTTTGTTATGTTCGGCTAAACAACAATTAAAACCATACCTCAGTTTTCATTATCTCGCCACAACTCCAAGCGCTCTGGGTACAAGACGAGTGCGCCAAATTCAAGATGATTCCAAACAGCACATACGTATGCAGGCTTCATTTTACCGCTGATCAAATTTACTATCACTGTCGGTTTTAATAGATCCATGTTAGGTGAGCGCAGTGGCAGTAACTACACCGAAAGTTGTAATCGCATCTTTCCTTTTTTTTTTTTTTTTATAATTTTATTTGCAAACTACATACATTACAAAAAAGTGGAACATTTGGAACACAATTGGAAAACATTACGATCAAAGATTACATACAAGTAAGGACAAAGGTGACAGTGTGGACATTATGTGTGTATGTGTGTGTGCATGGGGAGGTAGACAGGCTATTCGGATGATTTACTGCTAACCTGTTTTATTACTAGTTAATTTGAGTATTGAAAATAAGTGAAGTATGTATTGGAGCTTTGCCTCAGATCCCCACTCAAGTAAAGCATCTTTCCAAATTCTTCCTGGTTTGAGACGTAAGCGTGAATAGAGCCTATTTGGGGTTTTTGGTTCTCAAGACAATCATCCAATCAAAAAGCAGAATGAGCCTCACATGAGTCTCTCATTTGGGTTGCCAGTTTCAATGCTGAAATCGTGTTGGTTTAAACCTAAAATGTTTCTCTCTGATCTGAATGGTCACAACTAAACCCCAGCACCAGCATCCAGTCATGAACCAGTGCAGCATCAGCAGCTCAGTGGGTGAATTTTGGAGTTTCTGAGCTTTTACATGAGGCCTGCCCTGTCCATATACTGAAATATAATGAGAAAACTTGTATTTGTGCATTTGTAGGTTTAGGCACTGGCAACCAGGGCTGGGTATCATTAAGAAGTTTCCGATACGATACATACCTCAATACATAAGTCACAATACCAATACTCAATACAGTGCATTTTCGGTTCAATACGATATATTTCAAATTGATTCAGTACGGTTTAATAAATAATAAAGGCTAAATGATGGCTGTGATACTAAAAGTCTCTGTTTAACCATGTCTTGTGCAGTGCAAGTTTATATGAAACACACCTATTTTATTAATCAAAACTGTGAAAATGTCAAATGTGATAAGTTTCCTTCCTTTAAACAAGCAACAAAACTGTAGCTGTAACAAAATAATTTAGTAAAATATACCAAAAAATACTCTTGGCGATATATCGATACAGTAGCCCATGATATTGATACTGTATCATCACATTAAACGATGTGATACATTGATATTTTGATGTTTTTGCACACCCCTACTTTTAAACCAACAGGAGTAAAGGCTGCATACATTTAAAGAGGAAGGTCAGAATTTAATATTTTATTTTCAGTTGTCATTCAAACTCTGTTACCGCAAAAACAAAAACACAAAAGCACAACAATGTACAAATTTGCATGTTTCTGATTTAGATATTTCCTTCAAAAATAGTGAATCGCCCATCATGGTATGCAGATTCAAACCCCATATTCAAACATGTGAATGCAACTTATTGTCCAGGTATATTATGTAATCTGGGTAACTGTGAGACAACAAAAACATACATTAGATTAAAAAAAATACTTTAGTAAATCACACAAAAATAATAACATGCCATGCTGGAAATCTAGAAAAATCTATGTCATAAACCATAAGGATAATATTATGTTTCAGGATCAGGATTAGCTCTGGTTCCCACTCAGCTCCGGAGTGCCTGTCCTGTGCCGTGCGCCCGGAGAGGTGCCAGAACAACGCCGCATACTTTAGTTATGACGCCTCGTACTACAGACTGGACTGCACCGGTCAGTTTGACACATAACACCTGTCATACCTTTTGTATAATCTGATTCTGAGCTCTGTAGTTATTCTCGGATCCCCTGGTGGGTTATTGTGTAATGAGCTGTGTTTGTGTTTGTGTTTGAGCAGGACCTGGGCTGCCCCTCTACACGCTGGTGGACAATAGAGGAGCAGGTGTGGGTAAGCGCCGCGGCCACATGCCTCTGCCACACGCCTCTGCCACACTGCTGGAAGATTAAAGGGCTCATGTTCTGCTATTTTCAGATCTGTGTTACAATGTTGTTTCCTCATCACAAACATACCTGCAGTTTTGTTTTGTTTCATTCACACACTTTGTCCCACCTTGTGATATCATGTGGTAATACAGGAAGTTTCAGCCCTGGAATTTATTATTTATACCAAACAAAAAGTAAAAGGTAGCTGAAAACTACCATTTCGTGACATCCCAGGGAGGAACACAGCATTTTGAGCTTTGGAAATTTACACAGACTAATAATAAAGTCAAAAATGAAAACTCAAACATGTGTGAAAGAAACGAAAACAGAACTAAAAGTATGTTTTGATGAGATAAAAACATTATATGACTGAAAGCTCACAAGAGTTGATTTTTGCGTAATAGGACCTTCAAAAGAACTGTATGTAAAATTTCAATTTCACTTCTATTTTATTTACTTTATTTCATAAACATGACCTAAGTGTGTCCCCAGATATTCAGGAAAGATGAATTTCTGTCCTGCGAATGTAACTTTTTAGCACCAGTACCTGCTCAAATGAGGATCTAGTTTCAATAATTTATTCAGTATTGCAATTATTTAGTTAGTATTTTCAGTACTTTTATTTATTTATTTAGTATTTAGTATCAGTTAGTATCTAGTTACATTAGATACATAAATACATTATGACACCAAAGCTCTCTTAATATTCTTGTAATGTACTTTTCATCAGGCAAATGTGGGTGAATTCAGTTATTATTATATTTATATTATGACAGAATGTAGCGATCATGTCATTTACGTGCTGTTAATATGATTCCTTTTTCTCAGAGCTCTCTGTTCTCGAAGACAACAAAGAACTGGAAAATATGCTCTCAGACTTCCAAATGCCAACTATGAAGTACGGCACGTTCAAAGTAGCTGGATTTGGTGAGATATTTTTAAGGAGTTTTAAAATTTTGGTTAGAATGATATTACATACTATATAATGTAATTTAGAAGGCTTTGAGTATCCTGTATGGTGATATACAAACACATTATCATTATTATAAAACTAACTCTTAACATTTTTGCCTACAGATCTTTGGTATCAAATGATGCTACCACCAAATTTCAAGAAGTCCAAAAAATATCCTCTTCTAATTGACGTGTGAGTATAAAAGTAATTTCTAACTTATACAAATACTATAGAATTCTTTTGCACTTTTTGGTTTTCAGATTCTAGTTTCAAGAGCCAGTTTTTGTCACAGTTCTGCCTTTTGTTTACATGTTTTCCCCAGTCCGGCTCCGTTTCCCAGTCTGTTCCGGTCCTCCTTTTGCTTCCTCCCTCCTTTTCCTATAGCTGCCTCTCATTCCCTAATCATCCCAGGATAGTCTATATCTACTCCCGCTGTCTTTGCTTGATTGTTGACCTGTCAAGAGAGACACTCAAGCTCTCTGTCTGAAACTCTGAATCTGATATCTGTGGTTTGCAATTTGTGCAGTTCTGTATTATTCCCTGTTTGTTGTACCTGTTTCTGAGTTTGTTCCCAGCCCAGTTTCTACTTAGAGTATTTCCCAGTTTTGGAGGATATTTTAGTTCACATATAAATATTCCTTTGTTGTTTTTCAGTCTGATTTATCTGTTAAAGGACACTTTCTGTTTCAGAATTTTGTTTGCGAGTTCGCTTTGTGTTGCATTTGAGTCCACTTTACCTGCGTGATAGTTTTCCCTTTGTGGTCAGATCATCTTTTGAAAGAATATCTAATAGTAAAATCTACACTCTGAATTGTTGAACCTCACTATTAGGGATGCTCCAGTCTTGATCCTGGAATTGGATATTGGTGCAGATTTGGGGAAATTAGCTGGACTGGGTATCAGCTCCATCCTGGTTTTGCCTTTAATTGGATGTAATAAGATTTACAGTTTACTGAGAAATGTAGGCCCAGAATATCTCATGTTTGAACTTGTATTCAGACAAAGCTGTTTAGTAGTTACTTACAGAATAAATGACAGTTACATGACAGAGATAGAGACGTTTTGTAATAAGATGTATTTTGAGGGGGTAAATACTTATCACAGTGCCTATAGTGATTATATTTGTGATTCTTAAAGCCAAAGTATTATTATCGTATTGTATTGCTGGATCAAAACATCTTTACACAATAGTAAAACATGAGTCATCCTGTACACAACTGCTTCCATGTATTTGAGCAAATATTCTCTTGCCTCAGTACAGATATGCAGTATTATATAAACAGCTCCTAAGGTCAAAATAAATCTTTTGCATGCTGTCTTCATCTTACTATAAAGCTCTTAACTGTCAGAGAATCAGGAAATGCACATTAGCAGGCTAGTTGTTGTTAGATTTCCTGTCACAGCAAAACTTCTCACTGGTCTCTTAGGCTACGTTTATCTGATGACGAGTGATTTTGGGAGGAAATCTGCATACAGTGATGTAAAAGTGTGTGGAATTTGATTGGGTACGCATGCCAGATGGCTAGGCAGTGACACTAGTTGTCAGGTGATGTTTTTGACATAAACACGTACGCGGCATGAGCAGACCTGATCAGAGTTTTGCGTCTTGGGCAGTGTAGATGAAAATACTACAGCGGAGCATGTTCAACTTTTCCTCTCTGGAGGGTGGTTTCAGATTTTTGTGTTTTTAAGCCCCGAAAACGCCATCACCGTCTTAACGGAAGGCACTTCTGATAAAATATTTTGTCGTTTTTACCCGCAAGCGTTCTCGTGTAAACAGGCCCTTAGAGTTATGAAAGTGCTTATAAACCCATGGCGATGAATGCAAAAGTTACATAAGGAATAACTTTAGACTTCTGCAAACTGTTTTAAATGGACTACATCTGTTTTCCACATTTTTAAAACAATAAAAATCAGATAAGCAATCTCACAGACCTATAGAATATTGTGATAAAGTGTCCTGTGCTGTTGTATCCAGGTACGGGGGCCCCTGCAGTCAGACCGTGTCCTACCGTTTCAAACTGAGCTGGGCCACGTACCTCACGAGCACCCACGACATCATCTACGCCAGCTTCGACGGGCGAGGAAGCGGTTACCAAGGAGACGAAATCCTTCACTCCATCTACCACAGGCTCGGGACGTATGAAGTGGAAGATCAGCTCTTCGCAATAAAGTAAATTAAATGGAAAAAGTCCAGTTAGGGTGTGTTTCCGTAGCAGATTCTTAAGTCGGTCATGCATTTGTAATTGATTAATACTACTCTATACAACATATTTTCACTCAAACTCACTTTTTGACACTTTTTATGCATAGGTAGAGGCAGTAATCACAAAAATATTAAACATAAACCACTTTAAAACATTATAAAATTCTTGTTTGAGTTTGAGTAATCTGTATTCTCTTGAATTTAAGACTCAAATCTTCTTGTTTTCCCCCATCCTCCATATACGCCCACTGCTCTGTTCTGTTCTTATTTAGTACTTCAAATTTTTTTCCTAAGAATCAGTAGAAAATTGGAGTGTTGCGTTGCCGTTTTGGGACTAATGTAAAAGTATGTCATTTATTAAAACTATATACCAAATAAAAGCATAATATGTGCTCTTTAAACTGTTAAAAATCTTCAGAGTTTCACTCTCTTTTAAACTTTGAGAAACAGATTTCAAATGTTATTAAAATTAACTTTTTTCAGCTAGGACAAATTGCCAAATTAAAACCAATCCTAACACGCAATAACTTTGAAACAATCATACACGCTTTTGTAACAAATAGATTGAACTACTGCCGTGCTCTATATTCAGGCCTCCCTCAACAGGTTACAGTTAGTCTAAAATGCTGCTGCCAGACTGCTCACCGGGTCCAAAAAGAGAGACCATATTACAGCCATCCTAGCCCAAATCCACTGGTTACCTGTTAAATACAGAATTGATTTTAAAATTGTATTATTTGTTTTTAAATCACGTAACTCACTCGCACTACAGTACATCACTGATCTTTTAACCCCACACACAGCCTCCCAGTCTCTCAGGTCGAAAACTTTCTCAACCTACTGTCCATCCCACCGTCCGACCTCAAGACCAGGGGAGGCCGAGCTTTCTTTGTTGGAATGCTCTCCCTCATCACCTGAGACCTTGCTCCTCCCTACCTCACTTTAAAACTCTTCTATAAACAATTTTTTTCAAGATGGCATTCAACAGCCCATGAGCTCTACTTAAAACTATTATCTTTGTAATAGTAACGCTATATAAATAAAATTACTTGATTTGACTTGTATGGTAACTGTATGGTAAATGTTGTATCTCTGTGTTGTAGAAAATTCATTGACATGGGTTTTGTGGATAAAGACAGAGTGGCCATGTGGGGATGGGTGAGTTAGTCTGTTAGTCTGTAGTCTTAAACCCTGTTGGTTTTGTATTATTTCAGTCTTAAACCTGATGTTTTGGTTTGTTTTAGTCTTATGGAGGGTACGTCACTGCGATGGCGCTGGGATCTGGCAGTGGGCTCCTCAAGTGTGGGATCTCAGTGGCCCCAGTGTCTGACTGGGAATACTACGGTGTGTATAATCACAGTAAAGAGTGGTTTCTGAACGTGCACAAATATCTGCTCAAAATCAGACTGTATGGCAGCCGAATATTGTTAGTTATTAAATACACACTGGTACTGAATTACAAGTGCTTAAAGGCACAACTATGTCCTGTCCTGCCAGAAGCGTCTTATGTTCTAACTTCTAAACCATTCTTAAACATTTGCAATATGAGAGGCAAATTTGATTATAAAATTATTCATAAAAAAATACTTTGACATTAACAGTTTATAATTATGGCCTGATTAAAACAGTTCAAAAACTTTACATTACACAAAAATACATTACTGTGTTTTTTGTTTTTTTTTTTGCGTAGTCCATATTATAAGTATGAGTGGAGAATATTAGTTTAGTTTTTACCACCGGCCTAATTGTTCTTATTTGTATGCAACATGCACTTGAACGAACCAGAACATTCCAACTGGCCCTAAAATGCAGAGACTTCCAGGAAATACTTTAGTTATATATTAACTCAGATTGTCTATATGTCAACGTACTGGGCAAAATTATAGGAAATGTTAACAAACCTAGAATTATGGGTAACACTTTATTATATTAGTCTTAATTCAGAATTAACTACTTGTATATTAAGAATGATTCAGGCTTAGTGTTAGAAAGCCTGAATTATTAATTAAAGTTGCACTATGTAAGTCCTAAGGTTCAGGGGCCACTACTTGCTTGTCTTCATGGATATGTTATTTCTGTGCATGGACTGGTCCACAGCAGGGCATTACACTTTGCTTTTATTATATTATTAAGTGTTTTATACCTCAAAAATACCTTTAAAATATTAATTCTGACCATTAACTTCACTGTGACATGACAAATTTATTTCCACACTGTGGAGTAATCAAGGAAAAACAGTAATATCTCAATGGAGACAAGCAGGTGGTGGATCCTCCATCAGAAAAGTTACACAGTGCATCTTTAAAGCCACTGTAAGTAACTTTTTAGCCAAAAAAAACAAATAGAAAGAAATAAAATCATGACTCTTTTTTCCTTTTTTTCTCATTTTGGTCATTTTTATTGCACTGAAAAATAGATTTTAAAAAAAAGAACAAACAAAAAACGTGTCCTTACTGTGAGCAGGCTTGCATCTCCACAAACCTGACTCTTACTTAGCCTAGAGGAGGGTCTGTTCCTGCTTTGTTTTCATGGAAATGTTGTTCTTGTGGCTGTAATATTCCACAGTATGTCATAAAACTTATCTACCACCACGGAGAATGTTCCAAAGTTTGGGTTTAACTTTTCAAGAAATAGACCTTTTTCACAACAGCCAGGAGTGCTGTGATGTAGGTTAAACGTCACTTACATTAATGCAAAATATCTGTGGAAATGTCTCGTGTATTTTCCACCAGCTTCATGAATCTGCCCCATTATCAAATCTTCAACCAACAAGGTCGACAAAGAAAGACGAAAACTTAAAGGCGAATAACGACTAACATTAGTGAACTACTCCTGAGCAAAACTAACATTATGGTCATGAATAAAACATAAGTAATAAGTCATTTGTTAATAAGTAACTTGTGAACTTGACTGATTCTACAATTAAAATTAAAATCGATTTCATGATGTAGATATTGGCATAGACAGAGAGATTTGTGCAGTTTAAATGCTACAGATGTTCACAGATTACATGTCTCACATTTAAACTGCACAAATCTCTCTATGTTGATATCGACATCATGAAATCGATTTTTAATTTTAATTGTAATATAAGTCAGGGTTAACAAGTTACTGATGTTTTATTCATGACCATAATGTTAGTTTTGCTCAGGAGTAGTTCACTAATGCGTCGTCATTGTTCACCTTTACGTTTTCGTCTTTCTTACATTGATTCTTCATGGACAGAATATTTCCTTTGTCGACCTTGTTGATTGAAGATTTGGTGACGGGGCAGATTTATGAAGCTGGTGGAAAATATGTGAGACATTTCCACAGATATTTCGCCATAGAAAAGCATTAACGTGAAGTGACATTTATTCTACATCGCGGCATTCTCCAGAAAGTTACACAATGCACCTTTAGTCTTTCTTCAAGCTGTGCAACTGAAAACAACCCATACTACAACACTGTATTACTTTGCTTTTTGATACTGATCATATATTTATTGATATATGATTTTATTTGTGAATTGACAGACGCCGTGTACACCGAGCGCTACATGGGCACTCCCAAAGAGAACCCGGACGGTTACAGAGTAAAGTCAGCCATTTTGTGCCTCTACATCTGAAAACTTCCATTACTGCCCTAACTCTGCGTATTTGCACAGAACGGGAGCGTGATCGAGCGAGCAAAGAACTTCAAAAACGTGGACTTCCTGTTGATTCACGGCACAGCGGACGGTACGTGCCGACTTCCCCCCGTCTCGCCACACTTTAGACATGTGGTAGCCGAGTGACCGAAGTTGTCCGTAGCTTTTGTTTGCTCAATGCTAATTTGACTTTTACGCCTGGATCACGTAGTCAGCTCACTCTGTCTCTCTCTTCCCCCAGATAATGTCCACTTCCAGCAGGCCGCGCAGATCTCCAAGGCTCTGGTGGATGAACAAGTGGACTTTGAAGCTATGGTAAATATTGGCTCAAGGAAGTGCTTCTTGTATTGACTTTAATGGTGTTGGCTGAATGGACGACGGGCATATAGGCCTGTCATGATTACGGGTGTACAGAAATACTGAAATATTGAGATATCGTATCGCCTAAAGTGATGATACAGTATCAATATCATGGGCTGCTGTATGGATATATCACTAAGAGTATTTTATTGTATATTTTACTAAATTATTTTGTTACACCACCACAGTTTTGTTGTTTGTTTAGACCAGGGGTGTCAAACTGAAATTCACAGAGGGCCAAAATTAAAAACTGGGACTAAGTCGTGGGCCAAACTAGATATTTATTGAAAAATTTCCACAACATCTGCATGTTTTCTCTCCTTTCGTGATATGTAATGTTAAAACTTTTCTTATTAAAATAAATGTTTAATAATAGTTTTGCTTAAACATTGAATCCAGAACAAGCATAATATAAAATAATAACATTTTAAATAAATAATGTCTCTATAGCCAATCTGCAACCGACGGGCCTGCTCTAATACATATTTGATATGAGCCCGTGGGCCAAATATAAGCATATCGCTGGCCAAATTTGGCCCCCGGGCCTGAGTTTGACATGTCTGGTTTAGAGAAAGGAAACTTGTTTATGCGACACATTTGACATTTGACAGTTTTGATAATTAAATATTCCATTATTTTTGAATTGAATTGAATCGTTTTGAAATATATCATATTAAATCAAAAGTGCACATTGTATCGTGGCCTATGTATTGAGGCATGTATCGTATCGACAACTTCTTAATGACACACAGCCCAAGTCACAATTAGGGGTGTGCAAAAATATCAAAATATTGATATATTGTATCATTTAATGTGACGATACAGTATGAATATCGTGGGCTGCTGTATCGATGTATCGCCAAGACTATTTTTTGGTATATTTTACTAAATAATTTTGTTACAGCGCTACAGTTTTGTGGCTTGTTTGGAGGAAGGAAACTCGTTTATGCAACACATTTGACATTTTCACTGTTTTGATGATTAAAATGTTTGTGCTTCATATCAACTTTGCACAAGAAGTGATTTAACAAAGACTTTTAGTATCACAGCCACCATTTATTGAACTGTATCGAATCAATTTGAAATATATCGTATCGAATCAAAAGTGCACTGTATCGAGATATATATCGTAAATTTAGACATAGGCACACTCCCAATGATAATATAGACTATTACTACTACTTAGTACCACTGACACGCTAACCCTAAAGCAGGATTATCCCAGTAAACCTTTGTCAAATTGAACCATGTATTAAAAAACAAAAATTAAAAAGTGAATTCTTGGGATTATGACGGAAATGATTCATACCAAAATCTTATCAAGGTATTTTAAAAGCAAAAAAGTGTCATATCTACAATTATATCAGCCTCTCCAAAATATCAAAATATAGTACTGTGAGATGTGGATATTGTTACATCTCTAAGAAAAAGGTACACATGATTTTTACTTTGCCTGAAAAAGTACTGTTCTTTCTGTGTTATATTAAATGATAAATCGATATAGTAATTTTCGTGGCAGGCCTGCGTGTATTTGTTTGAGATGCTGTTGATGTTTTTTAAATCATGTTTTGTGGGTTTTTTTGTTTTTTTTAGTGGTACACCGACAAGAACCACTTACTACGGGGATCAGCCTACCGCCATGTTTACACTCTCATGAGCCACTTCCTGAGAAAATGCTTTGCCAATCCTCAGAAGTAGATGTGTGGAAATTCATGAATGAAGACTCTTGAACTGTTTTTGAATATTTTAAAGATTTTTTTGTATGCTTATTTTTATGTCATGAATAATGTAAAAGCTGCCATTATGTAATTCTTCCACTAAAGATTTGTGTCGTAGTTAACTGGGAGTTAAAGGGCCCGTGTTACACTATTTTCTGATCTATGTTATAATGTTGTTTCCTCATCAGGTGTTTTGTTTTATTTACACACAAACTCTACACTCTGTTCCACCTTGTGATGTCATGTGGTAATACAGGATATGCTCCACTGTGTTTTTAAACTCCACAGACCTGGAATTGAATACTTTACTTAAAGGAGATGATAACTTGAAAAATACCGCTTCATGATGTCACAAAGTAGAATGGAGCATTTTGAGCTTTTGAGGTAACAACATTATAACATGGCTTAAAGCTCACAAGAATACAGTTTTTTTTTAACCAGTTAATGTGTAATGTTTTTTAAGGAATAGCCGCTAACACCATATTTTATCATTTTAAAATATGATGTAATGAACACAGTTTTACCCAAAGTTTAAGGGAAAGTTCAGAATTTTGGACATAGGACCTCATTTCCTAGTGAGCCAGAGTGTTGGAGACGTGTGGAGACACTTTTTTAAAATATTCCATCCTGTCCTTGTATTTGCAGAGGTCACTGGTGCTAGGCTAGTGCATGTCAATGGCCATAGTTATCCTGCCACTAAAAACAGTCTTACCCACTCCACAAAACACCTGAAGCAAATCTATTATTACGCCAGACTGTCGATGTAAATGTCTGTGTTGATAGAATAATTTCAGAAGTAAAACCACCCTTGCATTTGAAGGATTTATGTCTGAGCAGCAGCAGCGAGTTGTACTTCCTGATAGAAAGTTCGGCAGCGGCGGACTGATATAGGAGAAAATAGTCCCTCAACATGCGACGATTCATGCGATGCAAGGTTAGTTTTATTTCAAACATTATTCTATCAACACAGACATTTACATCGACAGTCTGGTGTAATAATAGATTTGCTTCAGGTGTTTTGTGGAGTGGGTAAGACTGTTTTTAGTGGCAGGATAACTATGGCCATTGACATGCACTAGCCTAGCACCAGCGACCTCTGCAAATACAAGGACTGGATGGAATATTTAAAAAAGCATCTCCACACGTCTCCAACACTCTGGCTCACTAGGAAATAAGGCCCTATGTCCAAAATTCCGAACTGTCCCTTTAAATATCAGTTTAAAGGATTAGCTTATATTATTTTAACAGTTGTTACAAAGATCTGCCTTGTCAGAGGTCTCCATGTGCCCGTAGCCTATACTGCCACAACCACAAGTAATCTGACAACAATACAGAAAGATGTGCTCTGTAAATTTTCTAGTCTCCATGGAGATGCTATACTGTGCCTGGAGTGTTCCATAGTATAGCATTAAACTAATGTATCTTGCATTTATTCAATTATACACCGCAAAAAACTAAATCTAGTCAAGTACATATGACTTGAATTAAGAAAGTTTTATCATGATTTGAGTAAATTTTACCTGACAAGTAAAATTATCTGCCAGTGGAATAAGACTTTTTATACTTTTAACAGGAAAATACATCTTGCTACATTTAAAATAAGAAAAACAACAACTTTTTGCGCTTACAATAAGAAACAAAATCAAATGTTGCTTGAATTAAGAAAAACACACTTATTCCACTGGCAGATAATTTTACTTGTCAAGTTGAATTTACTCAAATAAAGTCAAATGTTCTTAATTTAAGTCATTTTAACTTAGCTAGATATTGTTGTTGTTTTAATTTTTTTTCTTTTCCCCATGCAGTGGTTCTTATTGCAAAAAAACAAAAACATGAAAAACCTTTATTCTGTATTCTGTGTGTGAGCAACCTCTCCACAGATCTGACCTGTAACTTGGCTTGGTTGCATCACTTTTATGGTAATAGATTTTTTATTTTTTTTTTTTTGCAATATTTTGGAAAACTAATCTACATGGAGACAGGAAGGTCACAGAGCCTCCATCAAAAAAGGGACACAGTACAGTTTTAAAGTTACAATGCACTGTTTGGCTTAATAAATCTTCTTTTGTTTTAATCCATTCATCTTTTTTTTATTTTCTTGTAACAAAAATGTTAAATATACAGCGTGTTCTTCATCTTTCAGCTTCATTTGTCGTATTTCCCGTCAAACAGAAGTCGATGTGTGAACGTGACACCTGCTCGTCCTATCAGTGTTTTTTTTTAGATGAAACCAAGTCAAACACGAGCTCCTCAGAACGGGCCTGATTAATGGATTGAAAGTAAAGGGCGGCGCGTGTGACGAGAGACAGTCACCTGGGACGGCCGTGCGCAGAGCCTATAAAATCCTGGAGACCATGAACGCACCACGAGACCACCCGGCAGCCACAGAAGAAGAGACCGCACCAGCCACTCACTGTACAGAGGAGAGACACAGGTGAGAGCAGCTTTTAAACACACAATTAATATTATTTTTAACTTAAATATTCATGTTTTTAATTTATTAGATTTTATTTATTTATTTTATTTGACTTTTTACTCATATTTTAACTTTTTTGAAAAATATTTTTACTTACATTTTTGTTTGTATTTTTATTATTTTATTTCAGACGCTGCAAAAATGAGAAGCACATACTCTTTGGCTGGACTCCTGCTCCTTGTTCTTGTCCAGTGCAGTTGGCAGATACCAGACCAGGACCAAAACTCCATGTAAGAATAATTGTATATATAAAAAAATTAAATAAAATGCAGTGTCTATTTCCTAGATTACATTTTATTGTCAAATTTTCTTTATACTGTGCTCCTGGACATAATTTTTAATCTGGAAAGTTTGTTTTAATTCTGAAAAAGTATGATTTGAAGTTATTAGACATGGAACAATTATTATATCAACATAAAAGTATAAGTATATCATGAAGAATTTCTGTAACTAACCTTAACTTGACATTAGTAGATTGTATTGACTTGTACTTATTTACTATTTTGCTTAAAGATGTATTGTGTAACTTTTCTCGTGGAGGGTCCGTCAAAGGCTTTTCTCAGTGGTTCAATCAGTTATTACTTTGCCTGGAATGTTTCGCAGTATGACATTAAACGTTTCTATCTACATGGAGACCAAACCGGACCAAGTTACAGGTCAGATCTGCGGAAAGGAAGTCAGAATATATGTTTTTCTCTGTATTTTTGAGCTATAAAAGCAACTGTAATTGAGTAAATGTAAGGCAGACCTGTTTAAAGTCATATTGCGGAACATTCCAGGCAGAGCAGTGACGTATCCATAGAAACAAGCCAAAACAAGCGACAGAACTCCATTGGAAACTGCGTCGTAAACCTCCCGCCTGTTCTCTGTGTGTATTTGCCAGGCTTTTAGTGGAAAACTCTGAACCAATGGAGAGCACCAACGTGAAGAGACATTCAGAGGGAACCTTCTCCAACGACTACAGCAAATACCTGGAGACGAGACGAGCGCAAGACTTTGTCCAGTGGCTCAAGAACTCCAAGAGGAACGGGTAAGGCCACGTGTCTCAAAAAGGTGGAATAACGGCTCCCATCAATGCATTTCGTGGTTGTGTCCATGTTGGCTCTTGCGTCTGCGTCTTTTGCGTATTCAAACGTACAGTGTCAAATAACGAAGAGAGAATTCTAATATGGAAGTGACATTTGGGCAAACGAAAGCTGTATGATGATTTTGTCAAGATATTACAAAATATACAACACATTTTTACTGACACTGACAAGAAAAGTCAATCAAATTTTTTAACTCGCATATAACTTGGATACAAATTGTTTTAAAAGTGAGTTCTAACCTGTAAACAACTGTAAACAATTGTACATTTTATACATAGCAAATTGCTTTATTTATATTTAAAGAATTTTTGCACTTCAAATTGCATTTTTAGAAATTTATGGGCTTTTCATTCTCAACTCAAAAGAAAATCAGATCAATACTAAAACTAGTATCAAAACTAGATACTCATTTGAGCAAGTAATAATACAAAAAAAATAACATCTATTGGACAAAAATGAACCTTTCCTGAATAGATTTAGAATGATCTTGAGCTGTATCAGAACAAATATAAGAGCAAATAGACTAAGATACGCACATGGACCACAGATATAAGACTGCACGGTAATAAAAAGGAAAGTATGATGATTTAAAGTTCAAAATTACATTCTACTGTCTCAATAAATAGAGTTTTTACATTATCATCATGGTATAAGAATCAGTACTGAGTATCAAGTCTATTCCTTAGTATCAAAATGAAGCTGGAAACACTATTCCTGACTAATTTATTATTCTTTTATTCTTTCATTTTTCTTCTGTATCGCTGTTCGTGCCCAGCCTTTTCAGACGCCACGCAGATGGTACATTCACCAGCGATGTGAGCTCCTACCTCCAGGACCAGGCTGCCAAAGAGTTTGTGTCCTGGCTCAAGACCGGCCGGGGCAGGCGAGAGTAGAACCCCCAACCCCGCCGCCACAATAAACCAGTACAGCTCTCTCTCTCTCGCTCTCTCTGTACACGCCATCTTCTGTCCAATCTTCTCTCGTTTCCCCCCTTTCAAATTATGATTTAAAGTTGCACCGTGTAACTTTTCATCCAATGTTTTTGTCTGTGGAGATGTTACTGCTTTGTCTGGAATGTTTCAAAGTATGGCATTAAACTTTTCTACCTTCATGGAGACCAAACCTGAGCAAGTTACAGGTCAGATCTGTGGAGAATCCCTGTTTTTATAGGTATTTTTAAGCTAAAAAACCACCTGTAATTGAGTAACTATAAGGTAGAGATTTTTAATGTCACACTGTGGAACATTCCAGACAGCGCGATGACGTCTCCATAGCAACAAGCAAATGAAAAGTTACATAATGCCGCTCTGATCCGCCATCATATTGTAAAACGTCACAATACCTTATGTTACATTCGTTTTCAACATATGGGATTCATTTTGTTCACTTAAGCGTATTGTAATCCTGTTTTATTTTTTTGTTTTTTTTTGTTTTTTTGCTTTCAACTTCTTCTCTTCTCCCTCCAGACATCATCTCAAATTGCAATCTGTAGATAATCTATACTATCTTTCTTATTCATAAAGTCATATTTAGTTTTCAATAAAGAAATGTGAATAATCCTGGACTCGTAACTTTTGCTGCAAACGACAATGAAGCAACAAACAAAGCTATTTAGGCTAATTGAAGTCGCATTATCCGTCGCAGAAACACCCTGCGGACATATGCCTCTGGGGGGGATTAGCGGAGGGTTTGCTTGCAGGTGACAGCACGATTCGCGTCACCTGTCAGAAACGAGAGCGGATCGGAACTGCCCATGTTGACAGGCGGCCAAGGCAGGGTTAGGCTTAATGAAAGACGGGGGAGTTGGCTGATCGGAGAACCCAGAGACGGGAGCTCGTAGTCGGGTCGGCGGTCTCTGGCTCATCCCTCCTGGCATCCAGACAAAATGATAATTCACCAGGGTCTGTGGCTGACATGCTCGGGGATGTGGCACCTCTCTCAGCTGTCAGTGCACATCAAACCATCTGCTCAGGAAGAAGAAGGGAGGAAATACAAGTAGGTGGTATGGAAAGAGAGAGGTCTGGGAGTTGAATTAAATGTATTTGATTTCGTGTGCTGGGTCAGAGCTATTACATTGAACGTATAGTTTAAAGAGCCTATATTGCGCTATTTTCTGACCTATGTTTTAATGTTTCCTCATCACAAACAGACCTGGAGTTAGGGCTGCTCGATTAAGGAAAAAATCTGTATCACGATTATTCAAACGATTATTTTTTAGTTACACAATGCATTTATTCAACATTTCTCTCTCTAAAAAAGAAATAAAACACTTTGTTATTGATAATTTATGCAAAACTTTGAAACTGAAGATAAATATAGGCAACAAATATGTACCTTAGAGCAGTTTTGTGATTAATAAAACATACTTTGAACATGAAATAAGGCATAGAAGAACATAAATGTATCCAAAATATCCTGCTGTTCTAAATATACTTATTTGCATTACTGGTCAAAAGTTTTAGAACACCCTAATTTTTCCAGGTATTTATTGCAATTTAAGTCGTCCAAGTCCAATGAAGAGCTTGAAATGGCACAAAGGTAAATACTGAGCAGCGAGAGGTTAAAAAAAAAGATAAAAGATACAAAACACAAGTCCAAGCTTTGCCAAAACTACCTCAGGAAAAAAGAACAAGATGGAAAACATGGAGTGTCCAGCACAGTCTCCAGACTTAAACCCCATTGATCTGATTTTGGACTGAACTGGAGAGAAGAGTGAAAACCAAAAAAACCTACAAGTGTCACACATTTATGGGAACTTCTGCAACAGACTCGGGAAGAACTTTCTGAAGAATATTTGATTTCTATCGTAAAAAGAACGAGCCATGAGTGTGTTCAGCTGTTATATCTGCCAAAGGTGGACACTTTCATGAATCAAACAGTTTAGAATATGTTTTGGTCAACAGTAAATGGTAAAAAAAAAATGGTAAAAGTGTGGTGTTCTAAAACATTTGACCAGTAGTGTATATAAAAAATATCCCAAAATAATCAGTTTTAAGCTTTATCGTTTCAACTTGAGTGTGAAGATCGTTTGAAACACAAATCGAAACCACGATCAAAATTCAGTTCATTGCGCAGCCTTACCTGGAGTTGTGTTTTGTTTCCTTCACACATTTAACACACAAACTCTGCATATTTAGGCTGAGTTCTTCTCTCTAAATAGAAAACGCTCTGTTCCACCTTGTGATGTCATGTGGAAGTGCTCCACTAGAATTATTTGGATCACTGCAGCCCTGGAGTTGCCGATCTTTACAAAACCAAAAAGTAAAATGTAGCTGTTAACTTGAAAACTACCTCTACATGACATCACAAGGTGGAACAGAGCATTTTGAGCTTTGCAGATGTAGACAGAGTAATAATAAAGTATTACTCAAACATGTGTGAACGAAACAACACAAGTCCAGATGTGTTTTTGAGGATTTTATGTACCAGCCTTGGTTAATCTCAATGTTTTATTTGACTAAATTCTGAGGAATATTTTCGCTTTCAAATGTAGGAACTCGATAATTCACATGATTGACAAAACTGAATAAATTACTGACATTTCAAGGGATTAAAAAAGCATATTCTCTGTGAAATATAAAACATAGGTGTTATCTTGAACATACTGGTATTTATTGCATTTTTTACATGATGGAAATAGTCACCATACATTATACACTTAACATAAATATAATAAATACTTTAAATTTACGTAATACAAAATACAACATCAGGGAAGATAGCACGGGTCGTATTATTGCGTGTAAAGCTGTGATTACGCTCATTTGATAATATCTATACAAATACTTTAACGTAATGCTTTTGGTTCATCTGGTTTAGTGTCGTCCAGTTCACACCTAAAGTGCTCCTTTCAGTCATACTTTACAATCACACGTTTTAAAACACTACATGTGAAAAGTAAAAATATGTATGTAGATTTGTGCAATATTGTCAAGTACTTCAAGACATTTACATAAAATAAATAAATAAATAAAAATGTGCGTGGCTGTAGCTTAAAGGTGCTCTATGTCACTTTTTGGTTGGAGGTCCATCGCATTTGCTCTGCCTGGAATGTTCCACAGTATGACATTAAACAGCTCTACCTGACATTTATTAAATTAGAGGTGGTTTTATAGTTCAAAAATGCTTTTCAGCGGTTTTGTCTCTCCACAGATCTGACCTGTAACTTGGTCTGGTTTAGTCTCCATGAAGATAAAAAGGCTCATTTCCATACTATGAAACATTCCAAACAAAGCAATAAGCATTTGATGGATCCTCCACCAGAAAAGTTACACAGTGCACCTTTAAGGGAGACAGTTTGTTCATTTTGCTAGTTTAATTTAACACAAGTTTTCTGGAAATTATTGAAAAAGTGTGAAGTTTAAACCCACATCAACACAGGACCTGTACAGGGACATACGCAGAACCACGTTTAGACTTCACATACAAACACTGTGCTCTGTCTGGTCGTACGCAGGAGCTGTCAGGAAAACTGCGGAGAAAGAGGAGAGAGAGATTTTAAACATCTTATCTTACACAAAATTGCCTCTTGTGAACTTTAGGTCATGTTATAATGCTGTTAACTCATCAAAAATAGACCTGGAATTGTGTTTTGTTTCATTCACACGTGTTTGAGTAATCTACATCAGACATGTCAAACTCAGGCCCGGGGACCAAATTCGACCAACAATATAATTATATTTGGCCAGCGAGATCATATCAAATATGTATTAGAGCTCGGCCGGCTACAGACAGACCATAGAGACATTATTCAAAATTTTGTTATTATTTTGTATTATACTTGTTATTGATTCAGTGTTTAAGCAAAACTATTATTAAACATTTGTTTTAATAAGAAAAGGTTTAACGTTACTTATATCGAAAGAAGGGAATTTGAGTTTGACACCCCCGGTCTACATCTTCACCTTGTGATGTCATGAAGTGGTAGTTTTCAAGTTAGCAGCTCCTTTTACCTTAAGTTTAGTAGAGATTGTCAATTCTAGGGCTGAAATGATCCAAATGATTCTAGTGAAGGTGTATGGAGTTTAAAAACACAGTGGAGCACTTCCTGTGTTACCACATGACATCACAAGGTGGAACAGGTTGTTTTCTGCTTAAGAGAAGAAATCAGCCTAAATAAGCAGGATTTGTGTGTTAAACATGTGTGAATGAAACAAAACACAACTCCAGGTCTGTTTTGGTGAAGTAAAAACATTCTAACATGACTTAAAGCTCAAAAGAGATAAACTGTACCTCTATTTGAGTATTTTTTATTTTACTTGAGGACATTTTTGACAACTCTAACCACCTCTGATTCAGTGCTATGGAGTGACTGATGATAGAAACTTAAAACTTATTGTGGCCGTATCTTGAACAAATGTGACCATCTGAAGTAGAGTCTGCGTCAAAATAGATGTAAGAATGATTCACTGTGAAAACTGTTGAGGGATGTGAAACAAACTCTCACACAATCTGTCTCCTCTTGTTATTTATCAAACATTATTCCTACATGAAAAGTTTGAACACTTTTTTGGTAGAAATTTCAAAATTAGATGAATGTTTAAAGTACACTATATCTCTTGGTGGGGGAGGACTTAACCTGCTTGTTACCATGGAGATGTTATTGCTTTGCCTCGAAGGTTCCACGGTATGCATTTTCTTAATTACAGGTGATTTTATTGCTGAAATGCTTCTCTCTATTATAGATTTAGAGTTATTTAAAGGGACAATGTATATTAATGAACATACAGTGTAAACATGCCAGGTACGTTTAATGCCATGCAGTGGAACATTCCAGGCAAAGTAAAAGATGATGAAAGGAAATGATGATGGAGAAAAAATATTAGTTTAAGTATAGTGACTAAAAATGTTTATTTAAAAATGGGAGAGAAAAACAGCGAGAGAGAGACAGAGAGAGACGAAATTTCAATTTTAGCTACTTTTGTTTTATTTGTTAACCAAATTTGTGTTTGTTTGTTTTTTTGTTTGTTTGTTTGTTTGGTGTTTTGTATTTGTTGTGTGTGTTGCTTTATGTTTTGTTTTTATGCTGATTATTGTATTTTGTTAATTGTTATATTCTGTTGTCCTTAATAAAAATATAAATAAATAAATAATAAAAAGAAGCATTCCAGGCAAAACAATAATATCTCCATGGAAACAAGCATGTAGCAGCCTCACCACATGGAAAATTGTATAATTCTTCTTAATAAAACTTTAGAACTTTACTGCACAAATTATGTTAGGCGTAGTGTCTCTTAAATTGAATTGTTAACTTCAAAACTACCACAACATGACATCACAAGCTGGAACAGAGCTTTGGAGATGCAGACTAATAATAAAGGATTACTCAACCGTTTGTAAATAAAACAAAACACAACTCTGAGCATGTTTTTGATGTTTTTGATGAGGTATTATTTCCTATTTGTGTGTTTTGTGTACAGATGCATCTCAGAATGGTTGATTTGACTAAAATATGAGGACTATAGCTTTCAAATATAACTTAAATAGCTTGATTTAAGTCACTTGATTGACAATGTGGAATAAATTAATAATATTTTAAGGGGTTTAAAAGGCATATTCTCTGTGAAATATACAACACTTTATATTAGGCACAGTGTTATCCACATAAAAAGTCTTACCATATAATATTGAGACTTTAAAGCATCTGTTCTTAGCTGTTCCACGTGTTTCCGAAGGAGCCTTTGGACATCTCGTCTGTGATGTTGATGACAGGGATTCCTCTGTTTGGAGAGAAATACAACGTTTTAAGCGTCTCAATATACAAAGAAGGACAAGAATCAGTAAGAAATGCAGTCAGGGCTCACTTGTAGCCGTCTAAAGGTACTTGTACAACTCCATCTTCTTCTGCCAAAATGCTCTGTTCCTCTTCCTCCTGCATAAACACAAAATTTAAAGTAAATTCTAAGTAAACAACTTAATATGTTTGTGGGCTATTAAAGGGATAGTCCAGAATTTTGGACATAGGACCTCATTTCCTAGTGAGCCAGAGTGTTGGAGACGTGTGGAGACACTTTTTTAAATATTCCATCCAGTCCTTGTATTTGCAGAGATCTTATCCACTCCACGAAACACCTTAAGTAAATCTATTAATATGCCAGACTGTTGACGTGTGTATAGAATAATGTTTGAAATAGTTTGAAATAAAACTAACCTTGCAGTACAACTCGCTGCTGTTACTCAGACATAAATCCTTTTTTTTTTTTTTTGACCTTATCTAACTTTTTTTATTTTTGTTTGCTGACTAACACACACATGGATAAACACAATAAAACTACACTAAACTTAACTAAAATTTTGGGGATTTGGGGGTTTGTTGGCTGGTTTAGTCAAATTTTCATCCTTCTTTAGTTCTCGTTTAGTCCTGGGTTGGTCCTGGGTAAGTCTTGGATTTAGTCCTGGTTAAGTCCTGTCTTTTGTCCTTGTTTAGTCCTGGGTTTGGTCCTTGTTTAGTCCTGGATGAGTCCTGGGTCAGTCCTGGGTTTAGTCGAATGCAAGGTTGGTTTTACTTCTAAAATTATTCTATTGACACAGACATTTACATCAATGGTCTGGTGTAATAATTGTTTTCTTTTGGTTGCTTTGTGGAGTGACTGTTTTTAGTGGCAGGCTGCCTAAGAAATGAGGTCCTATGTCCAAAATTCTGGACTGTCCCTTTAATTCAAATAACATATGGCCAAATGTAAAACTTGGTAGGTACTTTACAATATCATCACTATAAACGTATAATTATCACTAACATCACTATACATAAGCATTAAACATTGAGGAGCTGTGTGCACTCCGCGGAGACGTGTTCCTCCGCGAAGGAACATTCAAGACGTTTTACCTCGTCTGCATCTTCCAGCTTTTTCTTCTTGCTCTCTGGCATGAGGTCGTCCAGCCAGCTCAGCTCTCTCTTGGTAAAGATGCAGTCCATTAACTTCCTGATAAACACCAACGCTAAAACCTAACAAATCAAAAGAGATTACACACATGAGACAAAAAACATGGACACCCTTTAAAGGTTTGTGAACAAAAAAAATCAAAACGTGTATGTAAAATTTTATAATTGGTCTATAGGATATTGTGACGTCATCTGAACCCGTGCAGTGATGTTGATGAAGAGTTTTGTTACCATCATGGGAAACACGATGGCGGCTCTGGAGGTCTTGATGGTCCACAGCAGGACCAGGCAGCTCAGTTGGATGATGGTGAAGAGGTGAACTTTCCTCAGGGGAACGTGGCGAAGATAAATGAAGTCAGGCTGGTGCTTGGCTGGCATCCCGAACAGGGTCAGGCGGTCAAAAAACTGGAGAAAATAAAACAAATAACTAAATAAAAACATAAAATACATCTACATGTAAAGGCAACGTCATGATTGAAGAACTGTACTGATTATTTGAAAATTGGCCGTTAATACAAAAAAGCAATACTACTTTTTGGTATTATAATGTATGATATTAAAGTCTACTTATTTAATTTGTTGAGAATGAATAAATTATAGTTATTGAGATAAACTGGTTGATTCATTGATGTCAAGTTACAGGGAAAAACAGCCTAAAGGTGCAGCATGTCAGTTTTCTAGAGGCTTGTCAAGATATCAACGTTTGTGTGAAGATCTGTGAAAAGGTCAGTGCATTATTTATTTATTTATTTATTTGCAATTAAAACACCTGCAGGATAAGACTAACGCAATGCTGTGAACCATTCCAAACAGAGCAATAATGGAAAGAAATAGAAAGAAACAAACACCACAATAGAAAAGCTGCGTAATGCACCTTTAAAAATCCCAAACTAAATATGGACAGAACATTTTGATTGATGCAGTGATAACTTAGCGGTTCAGTATATTTACACCTCAGGAAATATATATAATAATATTTTTTCATGCTGAAGGTTCACTTCGAAATCATTAAAGATTGGCCTTCCAAATAGGGTAAAAACAAGAAGCAAGCAAGAAGCAATTAAATAACAATCAGGTGTTCTGCTAAACGCTGGAACACACTGGAGGCCAATTAACACTTTGTGTGGGCACCAGACGATGTGGAAGCCTCCCTCTTCAGGCTCATTCAGCCTGTGTGCACCAAGGAGGAAATACTACCAATACTGCACTTCTTAAAGGCATACTACCTCTTTGTAACGGCTAGAGGTTATATTTTTGGAAACATGCTGGTGTGTTTGAGAATGTTAAGATTACATTTATGATTAAAAAATAACTCCACTACCAAGGACCACGCTGCAACAACGGAATACGATAAAGATATTTATTGATGGTGGATAGATGCAATGGCTGGGGGGAGACTCTGGGGGTGGGGGCTTCATCTCCAATCCAAAATGGTCACCCAGCTGATTCGGAACACACCCCTCCCCCTTAAAGATGACATCTATGGGCTGAAGGATGGACGAGAGAGCTGACAGTGACGGTGTTGTCAGGATGGCCGTGTAAATAGGGCTTCTGGGTAATTGAAGGCGTGGTTGAGATAAGCTGTGGTTGGCAGGAGAGGAGGTTGAGGCGTAGCCAGGCTGGCGCCACCTAGTGCCTCCACTCAATTTAATTTCTCTCCAGCGACTAGGTCAGGAATTGGAATACACTAGACGGTTCGCAAAAACCCCGGAAGTGTGAGTTCGGGCACCAGCCAATCAGCAAAGAGCCATACATTCTGTGTTGGCAACGATTTCCGAGATCGAGGATTGAAAGCCGGAACAAAGAGAATGTTTGGTGAATTTTATCAAGGGGAAAGACGTTATTGCCCTTCTTCCTACGGGATTTGGGAAAAGCTTAATATACCAGTTAACCCCATTCGCGACACATTACATATGTCACGACCAAATAGCAGCGATTAGTTAAATGACAAAGAACCCCCTGTCATGTATGAATATGTTTGTGCTCTTTATCATGGGAATAAAATAAGAAAATAGAATAAAAAAGAACACATAAAAACACAAATAAAAGTATAAAAATAAAATATGGCAAAAAAAAATTTATTATTATAAAAAAAAATTTTTTTTCAGTTTTAAAGTGCTTTTTTTTGTCCACATAAGTCACAGTATAGTTCTTAGTTCCAGTTCTTTTTTTTTCCCACACACAAAAAACACATGAAAAAAAAATAAATAAATAAATAAATACATAAAATAAATGATTAAAAAATCATAATAAAATAAATAACATAATAATAACAATAATGATAATGACAATAAAAAGAAAAAAGAAATTCAATTTGTCAAAAGTTTGTTTTGGTTGAATACATTTCTTAAAAAAAATAATAATAATTTAATAAAAAATAGAATGCAATAAAATAAAAGTAAAGTACAGTACCTGGATGCCTCTAAGAGAAGACGCTCCCATGTATAGAAATACTCCATACAGCACCGGCATAGGGATGAACTGAAACACAGAACAGGCTTTATCAGTAAACATTAGCAGTCAAACCATATTAAACATTAAAAAACCCAGACCCAGACCTTGAGCACGGAGGTCATGAAGACGGAGCAGCCCATGAGCACAAAGATCATGAGGCCGGTGATGCGCTGTTCTCTGATGCCCAGAAACTTGGGCTGTTCCCCGGGGGCCGAACACTCCGACTCCAGCTTCAGACTGTTGACGTGGGTGATGGACAAGACCGTGGCCGCTACGAACCAGGGCAGCCCCATCAGAGAGCACACGCCCAGCATCACGCCGACCATCAGCAGGTCCAGGTGGTACCCGCAGCCTTTCTGAAATGGAATATAACACAACATTTTATAAGACTATTTGTTTCATTTTTATTAAAATTCAAGGTGTCCCAATCAAAAATCTATCCTTCAATGACATATTTTGACATGTTTTCATTGTTGGCTAGTTTTTTACTGTATCTACTTGTTTATATCTACGAAACACCACTTAAATATATTTTATTTAGCTCTTGGACAATGTTTTCTTTCAGGGTAAGGCAAGGAAAAAGTGTAAGAGGAAGGTACACTGCCCTACAAAGGCAGAACGCCGTAACATCATGTTTGGTCAAAAATGTGTTAATGTCATTTTTGTTTGTTTTTGAGACAACCTTTATCATGTGAATAAATATTGTGAAAAATACTGATCTCAAAATTGACCTTTGACCATTATTTGTCAGTTACTGTTCTCTGCCTTTATATCATGAGCCAAAAATAAGGAGTCATGCAAAGGCAAAAGGCAGTAACAGTGTATGTTTTGTTGGTGATTAATTCATAAATATATTTTATTTTTAAAATCCAACCTCTCGCCTCCTTCTTTTTGTTGTGGTATTTTGTGTATTTATTCACACTGTACATACTATACTGCAAAATGACTTGTGTGTCAAACTGTTTAACTGTGTAAGCGTTGCCGCACGATCCTGATAAACTAACACTAAACAGGAAATCCAAACCTCTTCTATATCATTTCAAACAAACACCATGATGACTCGACCTTGGCAAGGTGTTATATTGAGAGCTTGTGGCACGAGATCTTGTCCCATCCCCAGTACCTTGAGTTTGTGCTCCTTCCTGTTGATGATGACTGCGGTGATCTGCTGGTCCATGAAGATGAGGATGGTGCAGAGCAGAGCGGGGATCAGAGTGACCACAGCTGTCCACCAGGGGTTAGGCCCAATGGGGTTTATGAACCAGCCTCGATCATCTCTGGTGGGCTGGAAAATACACAAATAACATAAGACAAGATAATAAGATAATAAGAAAGTTGTTGACTTTACTGGGCTGAAAAAATATTTGTCATATGTGTGGTGAGAGACAACACAAATACATTATACTGTAAGTCATTGTTTCCTAAAGACTGGGTCATGACCTTCAGGTGGGTCTCAAGAGATTTTTTTTGGGGTCACCTTGTCACGATCTGCATGTTGGTCTGAAATATACAGTTCTGACACGAGAGAACTAGTGACTCGGAGAATCCTGCCTGCCTGCCCTGAACGAGTATTCCTGCAGCTAAAGTTGAGAAATGCTTGCTTGATTGTCCCAAAAGAAGGGTGATAAATCAGCAAAGGTCAGTGCACTTCAGGATACTTATGGATCCTTTTATTGCTGGATCAATTACTGATTTTCATTGTTTAAAATTTGAGTAATACTAATTGTTCAGTCAACAATAAAATATCCTCATTAATGTCCAATAATGGTTAAATCCACTTTTATTTTGTGATTTAGATATAATGTCTATTGACTTGGGTTGCAAAGGTTTGTGACTTTATGGCTTATATTTATGGAAAATATGGTTCCCCAGAAAAAAAGTTTGTGAAACACTGCTGTAAGTAATTAAACATAGTACATATGCTAATAATAAGAAAAACAATTAATTCAGTTCAAGTTTTTGTTTTGCTTTATAAAGGTGCATTATATGACTTTTCTAATGCTTGTCTCTAAAATGGATCTTACCTACCTTGCATTTATTCCCAGTATTTTATTACAAAAATAACTAACTAACTAACTAAATAAATAAATAAATACAATGGAAACATACATAAATACTGTGAGCAGGGTTGCCTCTCCATATATCTGATCTGTACTGTCATCTACTTGTCTAGACAGATATATTTCAATAGTGAAGAACAATCCAGGCAAGCAATAACATCCCCACGGAAACAAGAAAGCAAGAAAAGTTACACTACCGGTCAAAAGTTTTAGAACACCACACTTTTTCCAGTTTTTTACTGTTTACTGTTGACCAAAACGTATTCTAAACTTTTGATTCATGAAAGTGTCCACCTTTGGCAGATATAACAGCTGAACACACTCGTGGCTTGTTCTTTTTACAATAGAAATCAAATATTCGTCAGAAAGTTTTTCCCAAGTCTGTTGCAGAATTTCCCATAAATGTGTGACACTTGTAGGTTTCTTGGCATTCACTCTTCTGTCTAGTTCATCCCAAAACCAGCTTGATGGGGTTAAATCTGGAGACTGTGCTGGACACTCCATGTTTTCAAGTTTTACCATCTTGTTCTTTTTTCCTGAGGTAGTTTTGGCAGATCTTGGACTTGTGTTTTGTATCTTTTATCTTTTTTTTTAACCTCTGGCTGTTCAGTATTTACCTTTGTACCATTTCAAGCTCTTCATTGGACTTGCATGAATTGAATTGCAATAAATAACTGGAAAAATGAGGGTGTTCTCAAACTTTTAACCTTTAAGTTTTGTTTTACAGTATCTCACCTTGAATACACTTGGTACTTTTAGTTTAGGAGAGGGCACCCCCAGAGCGTAGTCGATCAGGACCATGGTCATGATGGTGATGAACACTGCAAAATCACTGATGATGGATCTCACCTAGAATGAAATCAAAGCGCAGTACTCATTTTGACCACTAGAGGTTGCCACGTTACCATGATTGTAGAAACACATGGAGGAACACAGGAACACTGACAAACGCTGTTCACTTGTTGACAGTAAGTACCTTGGTGGGAAAGTAGTTGCTGAACTTGAACTCTTTGAGGAAGGAGGACATGAAGACAGTGGAGAAGAAGAGGACCACGCACCAGAAGAGGACATCTGGCACGTAGGGTCCGTGGGGTCCACACGCGCTGCCCACAAACTCGCCTCTGTGTTTGAGGCAGCTCTGGACACACACACCAAGCTCAAATAATCCAAAACTTGTGAAAAAATTTGTTGTGTAATCCTGTATAATCCTGTCTACTCTTTAATCTCAGTCTCACTGCTCCATCTGATCTGTGAAGCGTGGCATTTGCGGTTGGAGTGTGTAGCTGTTGTAAAGTAACTGATTTCGTGTTTGTTGGATTAAGATTTTAAAAAAAGAGCGTAGCAATACACAAAAATAATGTGATACCGAACCACTCTTGAGAATGCAAATTTAAAGGGTTGATCCATGTTGTTGTAATAATGTTGTTTCCTCATCTCAGACAAACCTGGAGTTTTGTTTTGTTTCATTCACACATTTAACACACAAACCCTGCACATTTAGGCAACAAAAACACTAATACAAGAAGTGCGCCACTGCATTTGTAAACTCCATACACCATCACTAGAATCATTTCAATGATTTCAGCCCTGGAATTGCCAATCTCTACTGAACTAAAGGTAAAATGTAGTGGTTAACTACCACTACATGACATCACAAGGTGGAACAGAGCATTATGAGCTTTAGAGATGTAAAAAGATTAAAACAGTGGAGTGTTTTAAGTCATTTAAAATCTTAAAACCCACTTTTATTCTGTGGCTTTTAACACTGAGTCAGTTGTGTGGTCTTCTGTGTCTTTTTTTATTTTATTTATTTTACTTATTTATTGCTATTTTATGATTTTTATGTTTTTTGCTTTTATTTTGATTTTACTGGTTTTATTGTTTTAGGACTGGTATGACTGAATTTTAGCAATTTACCTTTTTTTTGTCTTCATTTTATGATCTCTGCGCAGCACTTTGAAAACTTCTTTGTCTGTAAACTGCACTATTGAAATAAAGTGGATTTGGATTTGGATAACAAACCAGCTTCACTCAGACATGTGTGAATGAAACAAAACACAACTCAAAGTTATGTGTTTTTGGAGGAAAAAGCATTATACCAGAGTTTAAAGCTCACAAGAATCCATTTAGTAAAATAAAGGACCATTAAGAGATAATGAGAGTTACTTTTAGGGAATTCTTTATAGTGAGTTATTGCTAGTAAGAACTACAACTTTTAACAGTTAGAGTCAATATATTCTTGTAATCAATACCAAAAATTTATACTATGTGACCACATTAAAGGCTCTGCACCCATTTTTTCCAAGCATTTGAGCAAAGCTTCTTTTACTCCAGTACAGATATATTGTATAAACTCTTGAGGTCAAAATAAGTCTGCTGCTTGCTGTGTGCATCTAACTATGAAGTGTTTTATTGTCCAATAATCAGGAACTGTGCATTAGCATGCTAGTTGTTGTTAGCTTTACTGTGACAGCAAAACCTCTGCTCTGGTCTGGAAGTTCTGAATGTTGTGAAAAGTGCTTATAAACTCAACACCATGAACAATTAGGGTGCTTAGAATAAGAGAAAAAATTGTTTTTGTTTATAGCCGGCTTTTCTGCACATGCGCAGTGGCTGGATGGCAAAAAGTCAGTGGGGCCACTCGTTTGTGTTGACAGTTGTGTTGCGTATGTCTGTCATGAAATAACTCGTCTTATTTTGAAGTAGATTTAGCATTTAAATGTTTTGACATGACTTCATCGTCTTACTCTAAGTCACTGAATGCTGAGGATCAAAAACTGTTAACAATGTTGATGTTGACTTGTTGATACGAATGCTTTCTGCCTACCAAAATGGCTGACGTGACATCATTGTGTTTTCTCGTATACAAAAGGTAAAAGAGGAATAACTTTGGACCTATTACTGAGATGGATGAGAGAGGGGGAGAGAGAAACGTTATTAGAATGGTTCTACAAAGTCAAATTAATGAAAAGTTATATAAAAATATAGTAAAGCTGAAGGTCTAAAAGTTGATGTATTCTTCTTCTACTGAACAGACCAGTGTTGGAAATGTATTTGCACTATGAGGAATTGTATTGCATTACTTCCTGGGACATGTACAGACTCGTTCCTTGGACATCGAGATTGTTTATGGTCTGGTTTGGGGATCTGGGATTGAAAAGTGGAAATTGGATCTAGTCTCCACTCGTTCCTTTTCATTAATTTATTTTTATTATTTATTTATTTTTTGTTTTTAGCATAGATTAAAATATCAGTACTTTTAGTCAGCAAAAGTGAGTGAAAAGTTCTAGTAGATGTGACTAGAATTAAACGTGTGAGAGACTTGTTTAAATCAGCTCACCTGTTGTAGCTCCATCTAAACCAGCTCATTCTGATCAGATTGTGTTAAATTATGTGATGTACCTTGACCTCCAGAGCCTCCCAGTAGATTTCTGACGCTGTGATGTTGTTGAGCTCCCAGTACTTGAGGGTGCCGTTGGACGGGTCAGTCGGCTCCACACAGGAACATCTGTGGACACACCCCACCATCTGGATCAATGAACCATCCATAGACTGAACTGTATATACTGTATATGGAACCATCACACATCTGTCATGGATTTACCCTCTTCAAAGGTCTAGTATACAGAGGACCTTGAGTGCCACGTTAAATTAACTAAAATTAAACAAGTAAATTAAAGTAAATTAATTAAATTAAACAAGTCCTTACAATAATATTTGATAAATAAAATAGAAAAAGCTTGACTTGAAAGATTATCAACTTCATTCATTTACAAATCCTTTTAGGGAAACCCTTCTCAAATTTTATGACTTTCTCTGATTATTTTCTCCAATGAGCTTGTCCTGGACGTCCTGGCTAAATTTCTATGCAAAAAGTGAGCAGACCCATAATGAGCTCTGTGATTGTTTAATACAGTTTGTGCTTTGATAGGCTGGAGCCTTGCGTGCTCTCTAGTTCACGCCAATAATGAGTTTCTGCAGCATCTTCCAGAGCTTTCTCCAGCGCTCTTGTGTTGGATCAGGCAGAACATCTGCTCCTGTGAGGAGTGCAGCTCAGTGCAGAGATCCCCCACTGCTGTTTTCTCTTTCACCAGAGTTGTTTTGATGGTTCTAGTTTCAGAGTTTAGTTTGTCGCTTGGGGCTCCAGCTGTCTCTCGATCCTTCTCCATCCTCATGGTGGAGGCACCCTCACATTCAGGCACACTGACAGAGACCAGAGGCACTTGACTCTGTGCTGTCTTTTGGAGCTCTTTGGTCTAGGTCTGGTTGTTCAGCTTTTGTTTCAGGTCTGAAAGTTCACAATGGGCGCTAGCAAGTTCCGGCTTCAACTTTACAGTATCGCTCCTCACATACACTAGTATACACCCATGGACCGCTACGGCATTGCTTCCCAAAGACTGGATTGCGACCCTCAGGTGGGTGACATTTTGGGTCGCCTTGTCACGATCTGCATGTAGGTCTGCAATATACAGTTCTGACACTGATATGCGTGTTGTGCTCTCCTCCTGCACCGCGGACTGGAACGCGCTCCAAAATGCAGACAGACCCACCTATCTCATTAGAAATGTCAAAATGTTAACACATGTTTTGCATAATTTCTAATCTTTTTGTAATTATTTTATTGACTATTTTGTTCCAATATTGCTGGTTCAACTGAATGTAGAAAAGAAAAAGAAATTGGCTACATTTAATGTCCAAATAGGCGACTTATGGATCCTTTTATTGCTGTTTCAATGACTGTTTTTCATTGTTTAAAACTTGAGTAATACTAATTGTTCAGAGAGACACGATCACTCAGTCAACAATAAAATATCCTCATTAATGTTCAATAATGGTCAAATCCACCTTTATTTTGTGATTTACAAATAATCTATTGTCTTGTGATGTGAAGGTTTGTGGCTTTTAAAATATGGGTCCCCAGAAAAAAAGTTTGGGAAACACTGCACTACGGAACCTACCTGGATGATTGAGGGATTACACAGATATGGCCACAATCAAGTTTCAAATTGTACTTTCGTGACGACACTACTCACGAGTACGTTGTGAGCTTGTCCAGGTTGTTGTTTTTGTTAAAGGGGAAGTGGTCTCCGAGGTGGATGAGTTTCTCCAGGGCCTCGTAGATGAAGATGATGCAGATGAGGGAGGCGAAGGCTTCCTCTGTGAACCTGGTGATGTAGCGCACGAGGGAGCTGGCGTCTGTGGCAACCAGGATGATGCAGAGGAAGGCCGTCCACAAGCCAATGCAGGTTCTCAGGGATAGATAGGACAAACCGTACTCTCTGTGGGGAAAATAGAAGGGAAGAAATGCGAGTTAAATGTAGTGGTACTCAATTTTGTAACTTAAAGATACACCGCTAAAACTATTCTGGTTGAGGGTCTGTTACCTACTTGTCTCCACGGAGCCTGGAATGTCCCATGGTATGACATTAAACATATCCATCTAGCATTTTTTCATTGCAAGTGTTTCTAAAAATACACCAAGTCCTTCTGTATATACACTAGGGATCCCTCTCCATAGATCTGAACTGTAATGTAGCGTAGTGCTGTAACCTGCTTGTATCCCCTGTGATAAATAGGTTTAATCTCTACTGTGAAACAATAACATTTTCATGGAGACAAGCAGGTTGCAGACCCTCCACTAGAAATGTTACACAGTGCACCTTTAAGTAAATCAACTTAAGTAAAAGTATTAAACTACCTACTACTTTTACTAGAAGGAAAAGTATTTCACACAGACTGAAAATTATTAAAGAGTAAAATGTGGGGATCTTGGCAACGATTCCTGAGATCGAGGATTTAAAGCCGAAACAAAGAGAATGTGGTGAATTTTATCAAGGGGAAAAACGTTATTGTCCTTCTTCCTACGGTATTTGGGAAAAGCTTAATTTACCAATTAGCCCCATTAGCAGCGCATTACATATGTCACGACCAAATAGCAGCGATTACTTAAATAAAAAAAGTTCCCGCATACCATTGAGTGAACAAATGCTAATGCTGAGAGGTCAGACGGTTTCCACGAAGTGAAACAGGAACTGTGCATTAGCATGGTAGTTGTTGTTAGCTTTACTGTGACAGCAAAACCTCCGCTTTGGCCTCTGAAAGTTGTGAAAAGTGCTTATAAACTCACCACCATGAACAATTAGGATGATTGGAATACAAAAGGTAAAAGAGGAATAACTTTGGACCCATTACGAAGATCGACGAGAGAGGAGCAGAGAGAAACGTTATTAGAATGGTCCTACAAAAACTATAAAGTCAAATTAATGAAAAGTTAAAATATGGTGAAAGCTGAAAGTCTAAAAGCTGAGGTATTCTTCTTCTACTGACTAGACCAGTGTTGGAAATGTATTTGCTCTACAAGAAATTGTATTGCATTAGTTGCTGGGACATGTACAGACGTGTTCCTTGGACATCGAGTTTGTTTATGGTCTGGTTTGGGGATCTGGGATTGAAAAGTGGAAATTGGATCTAGTCTCCACTCGTTCCTTTTCATTCATTTATTTTTATTATTATTTATTTATTTTTTGTTGTTTCTTGATAAAGAATCGTTGCCATTTTTTAAGCGAACTCGAACCTATTTCTTAATTTTTCTGGTGTATTTTATTTGTTCAAGGTTGAGCTCACCCAGGAACATTCTCAAAAATAACTTTTCAGCAGGTACAAAACATCGAAGACACATGTACATTTGCTTCTTTTCAGTCCAATTTAAAAATGAAGCGTAGAACAAGTACCTGCTACAAAAGTAAAAAGGTAAAAAGTATCCACTGTAAAATGTCCTTAGGTGAAGTACAGAAAAATTACTTAAAGGTACACCGTGTAACTTCTCTACTGTTCGTCTTAATGGAGATGCATTGCTTTAATAAGTAATTACAGATGATGTTTTGGCTCTAAATTATCCTGAAAAATAGGTATTCTTGCTGTGAGTGAGGTCGCCTCTTCACCGATCTCATCAGTATTTGTAACGTCAGCAGAACATTTATGGATACAAGTTACACACTGTTTAAGTATCCTTTTACTTTTGTCCTTTGTTACTTTCCACCACTGGTTTTATGTTTGTTTAAAACACAGACTAACATTAACATTTAGAAATAAGAAGGACAATGTGAAAAGAGAGCAGCTGTGTTAGAGATATTTGTGTCATCTGAACATAACCTATACCGATTACACTCCTGAATGGTGGATTAAATGGAGCTGGGGTCAGCAGGTTCAATATATATGATTGAAGTGTGCATTTCCTATAAAAAATATATATACGCAGTTGAGAATGTTGTACACGTACTGAGAGCTTAGACAAATCAACACAGTATAGTAGTATGTATTAGTGCAGTATATATATATATAATGAGGACTCAGAGTAAGGAGAGTAGAATAATCTGGTTTGTTATCATTAGAGGCCATTAGTTAAAGTGATTATTCAGGAACTGGCGTCTCTGTAAGTGGCACACTACACTATAATTGTCTCTGCACTTTGTTTTGTTTAGTTGTTTAAACCTATTACACGTGCATACTGTATTTCAACTGCAGAACTAACAAATGAGACTTCTGAAGTATAAACTATATAAGTAACACTCATTTCCTATAAATAAATAGTGTTTGAAGTTACGAATATAAGAGAAAATTTGTAAAATCTTCTCTTATATTGTTCCTTATGGAGAGGGACAGATCACAAAATAGTGGGATTCTGGGTAATGTAGTTATATCTGTAGAGTATACACTACCGGTCAAAAGTTTTAGAACACCACACTTTTTCCATTTTTTACTGTATACTGTTGATCTAAACTTTTGATTCATGAAAGTGTCCTCCTTTGGCAGATATAACAGCTGAACACACCTCGTTCTTTTTACAATAGAAATCAAATATTCTTCAGAAAGTTCTTCCCAAGTCTGTTGCAGAAGTTCCCATAAATGTGTGGCACTTGTAGGTTGCTTGGCTTTCACTTTTCTGTCCAATTCATCCCAAAACCAGCTCAATGAGGCTTAAGTCTGGAGACTGTGCTGGACACTTCATGTTTTCAAGTTTACCATCTTGTTCTTTTTTCCTGAGGTAGTTTTGGCAGAGCTTGGACTTCTGTTTTGTATCTTTTATCTTATTTTAAACTCTGGCTATTCAGTATTTACCTTTGAACCATTACAAGCTCTTCATTGGACTTGCACGACTTGAATTGCAATAAATAACTGGAAAAATGAGGGTGTTCTCAAACTTTTGACCGTAAGTGTAACTCAATTTCGATACTTAGGAATAGACCTGATTCTCAATACCGATTCCAGTACCTCTACGATAATCAAAAACTCTTTCTTAAAATGTGATTTTCAACATTAAATTGTAGTACTTTCTTTTATATACCATGTGGCCTCAGTCATCGAGGTAGGTTCCACAGTGGTCCATGGGCGTATACTAGTCTATGAAGTCTTATATTTGTTCTGATACAGCTCAAGATCATTCTAAAGCTATTCAGGGAAGGTTCATTTCTGTCCTGTGAATGTGGCTTTTTAGTTTTAATACCTGCTCAAATGAGTATCTAGTTTTAATAATAGTTTACTACTGATTAGAAACCTATAGTATATACAGAGAAATCAAATAAGCACATACTTGCAGAATTTGAATAATATCTTCTCAAAGACGAGCACTGGCCCTGTGCTGCCCAGGATAGTGAGGGGCTGCCCAGCAAACAGGGAGTAGGCGATCCCAGTGAGAGACGCTCCAAACAGTGACTCAATGGCACTCTGTACGCAAGAGGAAAAACACATATGATCTCGATGAGTGGAGGAAATGCATGGAAATAGACCAGCCAGTGAGAAAGTGTGTATTACTATGCGTCCTTCTGTAGCTTCGCCCAATAAGCCCCCGAAGGTGATGACCGGGGACATGCAGGCACAGTACAGGAACAGGAAGGAGGCCACGCACTGCAGACTGAACGCATCTGTGTAGTCCGAGAGATAGTGAGGAACCTTACGCTTGATGTCCAGGATCAGACCCCCAAACCACCTATGAGAAGAAAACAAAGGAAGAATTTAATAATAAAAATAAACATAATATCTTCGGTTTACATAGTGCTTTTCAAGACAGCCAAAGTGCTTCACAATAACACACACACAAGATTATATACAGCAGATAGCAGAGGTGGAACCAAGTCTTTGTTTTGCAAGTCTCAAATAAGTCTCAAGTCTTTGACCTCAAGTCTGAGTCAAGTCCCAAGTCAAATACAGGCAAGTCCAAGTCGAGTTTCGGGTCACTGGCCCATAAGTCCAAGTCAAGTCCAAGTTGTCTGCTTTGAGCTTCAAGTCATTTCAAATCTTTCAACCAAAGTACTAAATATAGCTTACATTTTTGCAATCTTTATGAATTTTAAACTAAATTGTACTTTAAAAAACATAGTATATTTATATATGAGTAGTTATAGAGTATATAAGGGTTTTAGAAATTAATTTAGTTAATTTTTCCGTTTTAAATGTCTTTACAAGATCTTAGTGTGAATCATTACGGTCAGAATAGAAAGAATTCAGATTTAAAAGTGTTTCTCAAGTCACAGGCCTGAAGTCCGAGCAAAGTCCCAAGTCACTGATGTTCGAGTCCCAAGTCTTAGTCCATTTTATCAAGTCAGGTCTCAAGTCCTAAAAATAGTGACTCAAGTCTGACTCGAGTCCAAGTCACGACCTGCAAGTCCCCACCTCTGGTATGTTTGACTTTTTGGGGCTATATGTTGGGTCCATTACATTTAAGGGAGAGTATTTCTTATTTCAAATTTCATAAACTTAACTGTATCTCCAGATATGAGGTAAACAGGTTAGAATCAAATATTGCTTTAACAAATGTAACGTTTCTGACCTGATCTTATTTACAAAAGAATTAGACATGATGCTCAAATTATTTATGTTGTTATTTGGTGTTTTGGTTCCCAAGACAATAATCCAACAGAAAGGAGAAAGGAGAATGACGCACATATGAGTCTCTCAATTGTGTTGTCAGTTCCTACAACTAAATCCAGTGGGTTAAAACCTTAAAAGGACTCATTCTGATCTGAATCATCACCACCTAAGCCCCATTACCTGTGTGTTCTCTAAATGCAGTGTGACCAAGCTTTCGTTGTGATTGTAATACCTTTTTTAAATGAGAAAGTGTGGATGAGAGTGTGGGCTGCACGCTTTTATAATTTCAGATAAGGACAGTGACCTTTAAACCTCTGCGGGCAATTTGGTTTCTTTTAACAGCAAAACAGAAAATCTACAAATGTTGAAACCATAGACTGTATAAAAACATGGACTAAGGGAACGCGATGTCACCCATAGCGTTCAGCTCCAGTCAAAGCTCACGATGTTTACAGTTATAGGAGAGAATTTCGAGCCAAGTCCCATTTTAGGAATGTATTAACAAACAAAACAGCAAAATAAAACCCCAGGATCACGTAGAGCGGGTTACATATTTTAGACCAAAATGACAAGGCTCACAGCAGCAGTTGCAGAGAGAGGAGCGACAATATTCTGATATTAAGTCAAATGGAGCCAGAGCTGGAAGGAGTCGAAAGCCCCCCCCATGAACACCTCCGATTTGGAACGTGGCGGCTACTGGGTTAGATATGTCCATTTATAGTCCATGGTTGCAACTTTTTTAGATGTTACCATATCAGTTTTGTGCTTATGTGTTTCAATAATGCAACACTTTTTTAATACATTATTATTTGTGCAAAGAAGACGACTTAATTCCATTATTTCAAGAGGAAAGTAAGTGCAGTAATAAATACATAGATGAACCATAAAAGAGCAGATAAAAAGCACATTTCACCAGAGAATTCAACCTGTTTCCATGATAATTTTTAAACTATAGGGCTAAAACAAATATAGACGTCACATGAACCCAACTTTATAATACGTATCTAATGAAGAGGGCAGGAGTTTCCACTGAACTGCAGTACTTTGCGTCGGAGGTGTGTCTGGGTTTGTCTAACGTGTTTTTTCTTGATTGCCTGGCGGTGCTGCTCTCCTGGACTTCAGATTAGTGTGAGATGTCTCTGTGATGGAAAAGCCGAGCTGATAATAGAGATCTGGAGGCAGGCGGTTTCCATAGAAACCACTTTCTGACTACCACACAAGTTTACCCAGAAATAGCAGGCCCACACCGGAGTGCAATTTTGGGAAAGGGGCTGATATAAAACCACTAGACCAAGCTGCTGAAATATTATTTGACATTAGATCACTTTATTAAATGCTATAATGATAATGATAAAGAGATTGTTGTAATGATATGTGATTAACACTTATTTTGAATATCATTTGGAATAAATACAGTGTTAAAGGGACAGTTTTTTGCAAATTTTGGATATAGTGCCTCATTTCCTAGTGAGCCAGAGTGTTGGAGAAGTGTGGAGACACTTTTTAAAATATTCCATCCAGTCCTTGTATTTGCAGAGGTCGCTGGTGCTAAGCTAGTGCATGTCAATGGCCATAGTTATCCTGCCACTAAAAACAGTCTTACCCACTCCACAAAACACCCGAGGCAAATCTATTATTACACCAGACTGTCGATGTAAATGTCTGTGTTGATAGAATAATGTTTGAAATAAAACTCACCTTGCATCGCATGAATCGTCGGATGTTGAGGGACTATTTTCTCATATATCAGTCCACCGCTGCCAAGCTTTCTCTATCAGGAAGTACAGTATTCAAAGGTAAGGTTGGTTTTACTTCTAAAATTATTCTATCAACACAGACATTTACATCGACACTCTGGTGTAATAATAGTTTTGCTTCGGGTGTTTTGTGGAGTGGGTAAGACTGTTTTTAGTGGCAGGAAAACTATGGCCATTGACATGCACTAGCCTAACACCAGTGACCTCTGCAAATACAAGGACTGGATGGAATATTTTAAAAAAGTGTCTCCACACGTCTCCAACACTCTGGCTCACTAGGAAATGAGGTCCTATGTCCAAAATTCTGGACTGTCAATTTAAAGGTGCAATATGTAACTTTTCAAGAGGAGTATTTGCCACCTGCTTGTCTCCATGGAGATATTAGGGCTCAACTGAATGCCCCATTTGATGGCATTAAACTTATCATATAGACAAGAAGATGACGCCACCAGGCCAAGTTACAGGTCCGATCTGTAGAGAGGCGACCCTGGACACATAAAAAATTTTTATTTTCCTAGACATTTCTGGGCAGTAAAACACCTATAAGTTTAATGCGACACTATGGAACATTCCAGGACAATTTATAACATATCCTTGCAGCGAAGCAAGAAACCAGAAAGTAACATAATGCCCCTTTAAAGCTATGTCTCCAGCTCCAGGGCATTCACCAGGTCATTCAATTCTCAATATTTCTTTTTTCAGACGAACCAAATATAACCGGAAATTGCAAACTGGGTATGACTGCCTGCTGCCTAGTGGAAAACTTAGCCATAAAAATATAATAATCATAAACAATGAACCACAACATGTCCCCACCTCCCAGTCCTCTGCAGTTCAGGACCCCCGTGGCCGTGGTCTGGCTCTTCCTCTCCCTCTGCTAATCCGTTTGCTAATATATTGCTTTTCTTTCTCTTTTCCTGTGAAACAAAAAGATGTACGATTAGGACATTTTATAAATCACCCTTTCACTGAGTTCAAAAGTGAAGTGTGATTTCCAGACCTGAGAGGGGACGTTTTTGGGGGGCTCAATTCGTATGGAGGGGTCCCATTCTCCTGGAGGCAGCACTGTCACCTGGTCAAGGAACTCGTCGATCCCAGCGATCAGGTCATTCCGGTCTTTAGCTTTATAGGCAACATCACTGAAAACCTGGAGGAAAACATAACACATACATGCTTTTGCTGCTGTCTGATAAAACAAAACAATATTTAATGAATAAAAGTAGGGTTAAGGACAAAAATGTTGTCCTCATTTTGACTAATAATGACAATTTTCAATTCAGTTTTTGTCTAATGGAAAACAAAAAAAATGCTTTCTATATTAACTTCCTGAACACTAAACACTTTTAATCACTGTCATTTAACACAAAAAACAGTCAAATTTGTCTGAAAGGTGCTCCAGACTACATCCTTTAACTACAAGAGAATTGACTGTAGACCTTTCAATTAAAAATATATTTCTGAATTTCACTCTTGATTAAAGGTGATTAAAGGTAATTGTGATATTGTATTGTCAAAAGTCTCACAATAATATCGTGGGCTGTCACAATATATCAAATTACAAGTTCCTTTGCTTAAATGCATGGTTTTATAGTAGCAACAGTTTATAAACATTAGAAACTACATATCCCATGATTCATTTCAGTGCAAACAACATAAAGAGAAATGTTTTTAATTGAATTCTTGAGACTATGACGGAAATAATTCACACCAAAATTCTGTCAAGGTATTTTAAAAGCAAAAAAGTATCTATCTACAATTATATTAGTTTCTCCAAAATATCGCAATAAATATCGTACCATGAGATGCATATCGTGATAATATCATAATGAGAGATTTGGATATTGTTACATTCCTAGTGCACTGTGTAACTTTTCTGGAAGATGTCCTTAGAGATATTAATGCTTTGGTTAAAATTGTCCACAGTATGGTATTAAATAATCTGTCTTGTCAAGTACAACTTGTTCAACTACGACTACTCAAAAATATCTTAAATATCTCGGGCCTCCACAAATCTAACCTGTCATTTGTCTTTGCAAGTCTCCATGGAGATTCATGAGTTTATGGCCATACTGTGGAGCATTCTAGGCACATCTCCATGGAGACAAGCAGGTGATGGACCCTCCAGCTGACAATTTACACAGTGCACCTTTCATATCCAAATAACTGCTGAGCCCTATGATGTTGTACCTCATCTGTCATGAGTGTTCCAATAGACCGCCCAATCTCCCGATACTGAGCTCCTCTCGCTGCTGGACCCAGAAGAATGAAAATAAACCTATGGACAAAAATAAAGAAAACAGCAGGAACACACTTGGTTAAAAAAAAATAAAAATACAAGGACTCACTATAGTTATATTTGCTATGGAATAATAACCTTGTGGCAATAGGGACTTCGGTCATTCCCACCAGGAGAACAGCGGGGCACAGCCGGACAAACGCCACCACAGGTTTGTTCAGAAAGTCCAGCTCTCCCACCAGAACGTTACAGGCCTCTGCTCCAACGGGAATCTTCTTCATGAAGTGGATCTGCACAAGGAGCACATAACACATAAAATTTAGCAAACAACTAAACCAGGCATGTCCAAACTATGGCCCGGGAACCAAATGCGGCCCTCATATCAATTATTCTTGGCCCTCAGGCTTCAGTGTGAATCGGCCCAAATTACCTTAAGTACTTTTTACTACAAGTTATGTGAAAATCTACCTTGAGAAAGCCAATATCTAATAATTACTGTGCTCCTTTGAGATTGTAGACTTGAGTAGAGGCCTGGTGGCTCATTCTAACATGATAAAAATGCACATATTTCAATGATTCACTGTACTGACCACCAGTCGATGGCTCTCGATCAGCTTCTGCTTCGTCTGTGTTTTGACATGTGGCCCTTAGGGAAAAAAGTTTGGACACCCCTGAGTTAAACATTAGACTTATGGATGCTTAAAATAATCAGTATTTTGTCAAGCTAAGGCAGGGGTCTCCAACCTGTAGCTCGGGAAGTACCAGTAGCTCTCCACCCGATTCGAAGTAACTCACCAAAAGATTTCAGATTTATACAACAACTGCTTATCACCAGTGTAAATGTATAATTTTGATACTGTGTGCACTAATAAATGGATAATGGTTTGTCTTTCAAAGGCATTTAACGGCACCATATCTAAGGCTTACTGTGGCTCTTGTATTTACTCATTTTTTTGTGTCATTTTAGTGTCTGTTTTGTAAAAGTAACTCACCGGTGGAAAAAGTTTGGAAAAGTTAGGCCTGGAGAGGAGTGCCTTCAGTGAAGAACTTTTGGCCTTGTAGGAGCTATTTTCTTATTTTGCGGATTCTAAAATTAGTTTATTATTTTTGTTTGTCACTTTACTAATTTAGTTTTGTTAATTTGCATAATATATTTTTGCTATGTTTATAATGTGTTTGCTAATTTGCTTGGTGTAATTTGGTATCATTTACCTTTAGCACCTTTTCTGTGTTTTGGTTTAATTTGCGTCTCCTCGGGGATAAAGGAGGGACACATAGACCAGAGTGCACCTGGGTTGGCCTATGTTTTTTTTTTTTTGATAGGAGAGAGCAAGAGTAAACCTTAAACATGTATCCTTGTTGTTTGCCTAAAAGGTGAATACATCTTGGAAATACAGCTCTGGTCATGGATACTGATTTGTTTTTTGCTTCACTGCGTAAACCACAAAACCATGGTATCCAAAAATGATTAATGAGTTTGCTGAGTTTGCTCCCCCCTTTTGTTGGTTACTTTTCTTTGACAAATAGTCACTACAGGTCTATTAGGCATGGTTTAGGTTGATGAAGAAGGAAAAATTTGTAGTAGTGTAAAATAGGTCATGAATTGCCCAGCAAGTCCAATATTTTTCATACAAAGGGACATCAGTCTGGTCACTGCTCCCTCTGTCGAGCCTCAAGCCAGATTCAGACATCAAATTTATTTATTTCAGTGTGTGTGAAATCGATCATTTACTAACAAAATCACATTTCTCCCATCTCAGATTAACAGAGATTGGATTGTATTGGAGAAGTCTGTATTCTGGATCTCAGGCAAATGAACAGCAACTTTTATGAACAAATGTTGGACAATTCATACAAAGAGCTCCTATCTTTGTGACAACTGCCATTTCCAGACACTACATTTCCCCATTTACACATACTAAAATAAACCTGTACTACATTGCATAAAAGAGCATCACAGAAGTAATAATTTGCTGGAGGTCTTATATTATACATACACAATTCGAGGTATGTTTGAGATGATGAAACAACATTATAACATAGATCAGAAAATAGTATTAATCAAAATAAACCTGTACAGCATAACATAAAAGAGCATTACAGAAATAATAATTGGTAAAGAGAAACACTCCAAAAGATTACATAAAAAGCCCAACTGTCTGACCTGTTTCATAACAAAGTAAACCAGCTCAGAAGCCGAATGCAGCTCAGAGCCACAGGGACAGATCCTCTTACATTTCGGAGCTGCTCGGCCCCTGACGCACATCGTAGAGCCGATTCTCCACATGACGAAGTGTTAATTTTTCAGTGATAATTACGTGACTTGACGAATCTTGACTGAGTGTTGTTTGTTCCTCTGGGGCATGACTTGCAAAAATGCAGCTGCTACTGTGTTGATATCCGTTTTCACAATTAAATTTAAAGGTATTAGGTAACTTTTCCGGTGGGAGGTCCGAAAAGCATCTTGTCTCCATGGAGATGTTATTGCTTTGTCAGGAATGTTCCACAGTATGGTGCCTATCTGAAAATATATATCTACTAGAGACAAGCAGGTGATAACAGAAGACAAAGAAAGAAAAACAAAACAAAAAACTGCAATGAATAAATGCAAGATGGATACCCATAATATCATACTGTGGAACATTGCAGCGAAAGCAGTAACATCTCCATGGAAACATAATGGTTGTCAAACTTTATATAAGCTGCATAGTACGTAAGTTTAGACCCTCCAGCTGAAAACTTATGTATTATACTTTAAAATAAATCAATCTGTTACTGTGACACCAGTGGCTCATTATGTTATCATTCACACATTTAATTGCATTATGATTCGTGTAGCATTCGTTCTTTTGAATTTCAATTAAGAACGAAAAACAGTAAGATGAGAAAACAGTTTATTTCATTCTTCTGTTTTAGCGTCAAAGAAAAAATGACCTCTATTTCCAATATTTAATTTAAAGTTTACTTCAAATAACACTAATCAAAAAACAGTCACCGTGTTTATTTTAATTTTGATAATTTATTTTCTCAGGTTTATATGCCTCGGAAGTTATGCTGGTCAGCGCAAATTCATTTCAGAGTTTATGGCTGTTCCTGTTTCTCGTCATGGAGTTCAACAATTACTTTCTAAGATGCGAAAGTAAACGCGTCTCTATAAAAGAAGAGGACGTGCTTGTCTACAAAATGGCAATGAAGTCCTTCTAACAGCAGAACTTCCGGAGAATAAAATATAATATAATATATATAATAATAATATAATAATTTAAATTAAATATTGGAAATAGAGGTCGAAATCGTTTTTTTTTTTTGTTTGACCCTAAAACAGAAAAATGAAAGAACAAACTGTTTTCTCATTTTAATGTTTTTCGTTCTTACTTGAAATTCAAAAGAACAAATGGTACACAGACCCAATATTTTTCTAAAATGACTGACTTTGGCATAAAAAAAAATTGTTGCCCAATGAGAGCTGACAAAATCCTGTATTTATCAAAATAAAATTGAAGAACGAAGTAAATACAGAGCAGTGGGCGTGTAACAGTGCCGCTGAAATAAGTAGTAAGTAATTTTCAAATACAACATCAGTCAGTAAATGGTGAGAGGAAAGAACTATAACATGGTTAAAGCTGATATAGCATAATAGATCTGCTTTAAAATATTTTCTTTTGTGACCACATTTGTTGGACAAATGTTAAAATCTGTGAAAATGTGTTTAATCACATTTTCAAAAACAAACAAATGCTTTTAGCCAATTGTGGTTTCCAAACAGACGATTATTGTTTAACTGTGATTACTTTGACTTCCACTTTAGTCAAACTACACGGTGCGATTTGTGGATAGGTGTTCTCCTCTTACAACATCACACTGCAAAAACAGCACTGTGTGGGTGGGTCGTGTAGCGGTTCACCATGTTCAAGCTAAATATAAACTCTGAATGAATATGTCAAATTACATTAACAGATAAATTCAGTCTATAGATTATAAAGGCCTAAATGGTAATGCTTTTGTTCTATGTGATAATCATCCGTGATAAATGACTTGTATATTTAACGCTGTGTTAATCCTAATCCCTCCTAGATTTTAGTAAGTTATAAAATACTGATGTCCTATTTAGTGTTGACACAAAACAGTTCAAACTCGATTTCAATACTAAGGAATAGACTTTATACCAATTCTGATACTATGATGATAATAAAAAACACTTTTTATTTAGACAACATAATTTCATTTTCAGCATTAAACTATAGTATTTTTTTATGTTACCGTCTGGTCTTATATCTGCATAATTCCTCTGTGGTCCAGGTACATTCCATGGGCGTATACTGTATTTTTTTGGACTATAAGTCACACTTTTTTTATGGTTTGTGTGGTCCTGCAACTTATATCTTAAAATTTTCACACTGACAGCCGTGAGAGGCTCTAAGCTTGTGTGTCAGTATCTGCTGCTCCTATTACTCCTGTACCACTGTCACTTGGCTCTACTGCGCATGTCTCCTGCAGAAAGAGCCTCTGTCCTGTCTGTATCATGTCAGTGGATCGCAACATTACTTCTGTACCACTGAAAATTTAAACTTTAAACAAACTTATAAAGACAACCGAAACTATCCTGTCGGGATTCAGAAAGACCGGAATAATTACCTCCGCCAAGGAGGTTATGTTTTTGCCGGCGTTTGTCTGTTTGTTTGTCTGTCTGTTTGTTTGTTTGTTTGTCTGTTAGCAACATAACTCAAAAAGTTATGGACCGATTTTGATGAAATTTTCAGGATTTGTTGGAAAAGTGAAAAGGAAGAACTGATTTCATTTTGGGGGTGATCTGGAAGAAATCCTGGATTCTGGATCACTTTGAAATTTTAGTTAACATTGTGGTAAATGGGGCCAAAAATTTTGTTTCTCAATATCTCTGTTAATTATTGACCAAACCCCATGAAATTTGACTCAGGGATGGACAATGGGATCCTCTTTCATATTCCAAAGGCTGATTCGGATCTGATCCAGAAGTCTGATTTTATCGCAATTTATATAAAAAATGGGGGTAGTCCTTGGCGGAGGTCTGCGCTCTCTGAGTGCTTTTCTAGTTCTAACTGGAACTGATACTGAGTCTGACGACAGCTACACAAAACAGGAAGCGGCGCTCTGTTTACCTTTGAGTTGCTCAGAAGTGACACAGAGAATGAAGAATTCTATGGATTTAGTGATTTTTCTTCTTTATTACGCATTTTTTGCTGGTGCGACTTATTCACTGGGGCGACTTATAGTCCGATACGGTACTAGTCTATGTGCTCTTATACTTGTTCTGACACAGCTCAGTCTAAATCTATTCATGAGAGGTTCACTTTTCTCCTGTGAATGTGACTTTTTAGTACTGATATCTGCTCAAATGAGTATCCAGTTCTAATGCACTGTGTAACTTTTTGGTTGGGTGTCCATCATCTGTTTATTTCTATGTACATATGTCATTGCTCTGTCTGGAATGTTCTACAGTATGTCATTAAAAAGCTTTACCTTACATTTATTCAATTACAGGTGGATTTAATGCTCAAAAATGCCTAGAAAAACAGGCATTGTGACTGTGAGCGGGGTTGCCTCTCCACAGATCTGACCTGTAATTTGGTCTGGTTTGGTCTCCACGAAGATAGAAAGGTGTAATGCCATACTGTGAAACATTCCAAAGCAATAACATCTGCACAGAGAAAAACATCTGACAAACCCTCCACCAGAAAAGTTACACAAAGCACCTGTAAGTATTTGGATCTGATTTTCGAACAATATTGTAAGTCATATTCAACATATATTTTAAAATAAGAAAAAGCAGATGCAGTGTATTCTGTACCTTACTCAGATCCAGACAGCTGTTCTCTCGGCTGACATCACCTTTCCCATCAGGCGCCGCTAACTGGAACTGTGAGGCCGACAACTGACCTGCACACACGTGAGAAAATGTACAAGAAATGAATTATACACAGTTATTCGAAATGTGATCTCATCTGTAACGTTACATCCTTAAAAATAGAGGAGTGAGATATACAGTCTACAACATAATATGGAAGTTGTTGTTTTAAAAGTATACACAAAAAAAGACTATTCTCTGTAATATTTGACATCACAAAAAGTGTAGTCTTCCAAAAATGAGAAGGATAAAGTGGCATTTCTGTACTTGTGTTTAATCTTTTGTGGGGATGTGATGCTAACTGTAAGCACTGCTCTGTCTGAGGCTCTGTAAGACTTTAATTTGAGCTTCCTTTTAACATAATCAATCAAATCAAACACCTAAACACCACCCACCATGAACACTTGTATTGACCCCAAGCTCGTGAAAATGTATTTCCATTTTGTATTTTTTCTTCAGTTTTCAGGCTATCTTTAAAAAATGTCAAAATGACCATCCTTACTTGCATACTTAAATACAGCGATATGGTCAGATTTATTTGTTGGAAACTATTTTATTTAGTATAAAACAATATGTGAAAACAGAAGATGTAATTAGAATTTTGTATAGACAGATATCCAATCAACCAGTTCTCCAAACTATATGACACAAACACACAACTCTCCCATTCGGATTACCATTCTCTTCAGATTACAATTCTCTTCAGATCACTATTCTTACCATTCTTGTCGAGTTGGAGCTCAGATGCGCGGCGGCCCATGTCGGCGAGTGAACGGACGATGGGCAGTCTGTTGGCCAGAGTCTTCTGTTTCTGATGGTGGTGCTGCTTCAGGAGCGTCTCTCTCACTTTGGCCCTGAGCTCGTCTCCCAGAGGAGCGTACAGCTCCTGGTGGTCCAGAACCATATCTGACAAAGACACGTGTCATGAGAAGTCTTGCTGCAACAAATGAATAAAAGAAATGCTCACAAACTCAGGCTAGAGTGAGTTTTGTGAGGATATACTAGGGCTAGACCATTAATCAAATTAATTCATAGTAAACAAACCAGAATTAATCATATTTATTTGATTAATTGTGTTTTTTAATAATTGAAATTTTGAAAAATTGCTAAATCGTGAAATCAAGGATTATTATAAAACACGTTTACACTTGACTTTCTTAATTGCAAAGCAGCTTATTGTGCAATTACAATTAGATTTCTATAGATGCTTGTATATGTAGCCTCAGTCCCCAACAGAAACCCAGACACAGAGAGAAACATGCAAACTCCACATGGAAACTTACAGTAGCAATGGAATTCTTACAATTTACCACTATAACATATACAATATATCCCTTTATATCTACTGTGATATTTCTATACACCAGTCAAATGTTTGGACACCTCCTCATTCAATGTTCTTTTTTTTCTTTATGCTTACTATAGTTTAGATACATACAGAAGACATCAAATCTATGATGCAATATAAAAGTAGCAAAGAAAAAAAAATTAATAACTCAACAATATTTTTTTTATATTTTATATTCATATCCTCAAAGAAGTCACCCTTTGTTTTGTCGATATTGCTACAAACCCTTGTCCTTGTCTCACTAAGTTTGTAGATGATGTCTCCTGAAATGGTGTTCACTTCACATATGTGTCATGTCAGGGTCAAAAGAGCAAAACAGATCAAAGCAAAGGGGGCTATTAAAAAAAGTTACTTATTACTTTTTCATATGTTTTGATGCTTTCAGTGAGAATCTGCAATGCAAATAATCATGGAAATAAGAAGCAATGAAAAAGTGGGTGCAAAGTTTTGGCTGGTGTGCATCTGTTTCATAATAAACCTCTCAGAAGCCAGATTGATGGTTGCTGCATTCTTGATTCAAGATTATGAGTTTGTGAACTCACAAATAGCACAGGAAATACTGCTACTGTGCAAGATAATTTCATAACCACAGTGAGATAAAAAAAAAAATGTCAACAAATCAAAAACATCTCCTCAAAAAAAAAAAAAATATCACAACCATCTCTATTGATTACTTCCACTAGTCTTCACACTTGTTACATTTACCACCCACTGTACAACTCCTTGAGCCAAAATAATTTCCAAACAACTAGAAACTATTTTTCAATTGACATCTGCATGGTTAAAAAAGACACACATTGTGCTTGAGTCTGCAGTATAATCTGTGACACCCGTGGATCATTATGTTCTAATTTGCTCTTTTTAAATCGCAATATTATTCTACAACCACATAATAAAAGAAATTAGATAACTGTGGTGCCAAATGGGAGCAGATGTCAGCTTAAATGCATCACAAAAAAGGGTTGTGAAATTGTCAGCACCTTGGACGGACAGCTGCAGGTCAGCTAGTCAGGAGTGGATTTTTTTTTTTTTTTTTCATTTTACCAAATGATGCTGATGCTGCTATTAGCCAGGCTGGCGCCACCTTGTGCCTCCGCTCAACTTAATTTCCCTCCAGGGAACAGGTCAGGAATCAGAATACACTAGACAGTTTGCAAGAACCCCGAAGTTGTAGACCACGCACCGGCCAATCAGTGAAGACCTGTGAAGCCATGACATCAAACTCAAGTGCCTGTCTGGGTCCCTTTTGTGGTACAGCACAACAGTAAACAAAGCGGTTGAGATGGATGTAGACGAAGCCATACATTCTGTGTTGGCAACGATTCCCGAGATCAAGGATTTAAAGCCGGAACAAAGAGAATATTTGGTGAATTTTATCAAGGGGAAAGACGTTGCCCTTCTTCCTACAGGATTTGGCGCATTACATATGTCACGACCAAATAGCAGCAATTGGTTAAATAAAAAAAGTACCTGCCTACAAATAAATCCTAATGCTGCCAGGTCAGCATTAGGATTTGGAAACCGTCTGATGAATCAGGCTTTGATCCTATATTATCGATTAAGAAAATAAAACTGGGGAAGTACAGAGCAGTGGGCATATGTGAGTGATGGTGAAAACAGAGGTTGACTTGCAAAATGGCGTATTGAAAATAAGTGATTAAAAGATTGCGCAGATACACAAATCATTCCAAATATAACTTTGAAAGGGTAAATGAAAAGTAGAAACAACCATAACAAAAGCTCTGAAAGGTTGATGGGTTGGGGTTACAAAACGTAGCATTTTTCTAAATTCTGAGAGCAAAACACCAGTCTCCCATTTTTTTTTTCTCTCAAGTTTCTTCTCAGTGTCTTTTTGAACATTTACCTGCTATCTCTTCAATGGTCCCAGCCCTCATGTCCAGCAGCACAGTGCCATTGATGATACAACTGCGGAGCTCGAACAGACTGTGCAGGGACAGAGTGGCCACGTAGGGCTTACTCCAGCGCTCCCCTCCATCCTCCACATCCTCCTCGAATTTGAGCCACCTGCGAAACACAAGTTAGATCTGCAGTGAGCCGGGGCCAGCAGACGGTACGCGGGCTCGCCATCTGTCCCAATGGTAATAAAAACTCTCAATCAACAGTCTAACGTTTAATATATCTGCTTTGGACTTGGTTTCACATCACTCATCTTTATGTTTAACTGTAAATAAAATATGTTGTATGATGCGATGCATTAATGGTATGATAGGTCTATTGATACTTTGCAGTGACAGCGCTGGGGGTGTTCTACATTTATTTCTACGGGTGTGGTGTTCAGCATTTATCAAGGTGGCACAAGACAAAAACGTTTTAAGATGGTACTCAAAAAAATTACAAAATGGGTTTAAACTACAAATTTTCAAGAACAGTGAAATACTTTTCTCCATGGAGATGTTATTGCATTGTCTGAGATGTTTCACAGTATGGCATTAAACCTTTCTATCTTCATGGAGACTAAACCAGACCAAGTTATAGGTCAGATCTGTGGAGAGACAGATCAAGGTCAGAATGTCTGTTTTTCTAGGTATTTATGAATGATACAACCACCTGTAATTTATTTAAATGTAAAGCAGAGTTAGTTTAATGTCATACTGTGGAACATTCAAGACAAAGCATTGGGATATCCATAGAAACAAGAAGGTGACAGACCCCCAACCAAAATGTTACATAGTGCTAGCCAGGCTGGCGCCACCTAGGGCCTCCACTCAATTTAATTTCTCTCCAGCGACTAGGTCAGGAATCGGAATACACTAGACGGTTCACAAAAACCCCAGAAGTGCGAGTTTGGGCACCAGCCAATCAGCAAAGAGCCACATATTCAGTGTTGGCAACGATTTCCGAGATCGAGGATTTAAAGCTGGAATAAAGAGAATTTGGTGAGTTTTATGAAGGGGAAAAGACGTTATTGCCCTTCTTCCTACGGGATTTGGGAAAAGTTTAATATACCAGTTTACCCCGTTAGCAGAGCATTACATATGTCACGACCAAATATCAGCGATTGGTTAAATGAAAAAAAGTACCTGCCTACTGTCGAGCGAATGAATTCTAACACTGCGAGGTCAGACGGTTTCTACAAAGTGAAAGTTTGATGAATCAGGCAAAGATAGTGCACCTTTAAGAACACAAATGATCTCACCTGTTGTAGTTGCTACTGCCCCTCCAGTTCTGATTTGTTTTGTGTGTTTTAATTTCTTTTGCTGAATGGATTCCTGCTGTGAGAGCCCTGGTTCGTGATTGGTGGGGCTTGTCTACGCCCACCTCACCTCCAGCCACCTCCTCCTATTTAATCAGGCCAATCTGCCATTTTGTGTGTGTCTGTGTCTCTTTTGTGTTAGTCACTTGTTTGTACTAGAAATTGTCTGACTTTGTGTTTGTGTGTTGAGACACTCATTTAGTTTCGTTCCGTTTTGGGCCATTTTGTGTTGTTACTCAATTCTGCTTGTGGGTTTAATGTGATTTTACTTTGACACACTTGTGGTTTAGTTTTTGTGTGTGTTCCTTGTTTTTTTATAAGCCTACGTGACTAGTTTTTGGCACAAAACTAGTTATGTAATCTTGCTATTTTGTTCCTTAGTTTAGGTTGTTTTATCTACATATTTTAGCATGTTTTGTTAATTTACTCTTTTACATTCCTGTTATAATTAAACTTTGCTTAATTTATACAATTTTCCACCTTGTTTTTTTGTCACTTCCCCTGTAGTTAATTGTAGTTAATAACAACATCAGCTCTTTCTGGTCAGACTGTTAAAATAAAGATCAGATAACATCCAATTTGAGTCACAGAGCTTCAGACAGAGTAGTGCTTTCAGTTAGCTTCACACCCCCAGAGACTTTTGATAACTTCATCATATGGTAGTTCTATAGAGATGATTACAGCTTCGATATATAAAAAGTGTCCAGTCCAGTGTCTTGAATTTTCATTGCGCTACAAAGAAAAAAGACAAAAAACAATGAAAATGGAAGAAACCAATTTTGCTGGCCTCCATCTTGACATTTCTGTAAATGTCAAACCTTTTCAGCTACCTTCCAGCCCCATTTGGGAACCAATGCTTTTACAGTACTAGTCATTATACACTACACTTTGATCAACGACGTGTTTTTAAAATGCATTATGAATAAAGTTGGACTGAATTAAACAGATATCTGCATACAATTTCACCCTCTGCTTTCACAAACCTGTTTTGCTATTGTTTAATTGAGAAGATGAATTTGTAATTTAAATGCTGCCTCTTTACATGCAGTTTTGGAGTAACTGTGCAGGCTTTGTCTCATTGTTCACTGCAATAAGCGAGCACCTAAGTGTGTTCTGTTTACATGGGTTTAGGAACAGGAATGTAACGATATCCAAATCTCTCTGTGCAGTATTTTCACAATATACATCTCATGGAACATTTTTTATTTTTATATTTTTTGTGTGAATATGCTACTTTTTCCTCTTAAAAGGCCTTGACAAAACTTAATCCAAAGAACTAAGACTTAAAAATGCTTATAACAGTTATTTCTTCACTGAAACAGAGCAAAAGATCAGGGTCTATGTAGTTCCCTCTGTTTATTTAACTAATGCTACACCATAACGACAAATCTAAGCAGAGAGTCTTATAATTTGTTGTATTGTGATTGTCTATGATGTTATTGTGAGACTTCTGACAATACGAAATCACAATATTTGGGTTATTGTTACATCTATACTTAGGACTGACCAGACTTGAGTCACTGATTTTTAGAAATTTGAGACCTGACTTGATAAAATAGACAAAGACCGGGTACTTGACTCGAACTTGAGCCCTGTGACTTCAGAAGATTTGATGCTTCTGCTAAAAATATACAGTATGTTTTTAGAAAATACTTTTCTCTTTACAGTTGTTACATGCAGCACTGAATTTTACAGGAACAAACTGGACCATGTCAACTTCTCTATTTGTTACTTTAGATGTAACTGAAGTATTGTGACATGGTATCCTCAAATGTACTACAGTAGTATACAGTACAATACAGTAAAACAGAGGGAACTACATAGAACATGATGTTTCCATTTCCATTTGCAGATTACTTGACAAAATTATTGTTGTTAAGCACTTTTAAATCTTAATTCTTTCTATTCTGACTGTAAAAATTCACACTCTTGTCAAGACATTTTATTTTATTTAGCATTTCTAAAGCTCTTATATAAATACTCATATACCATGACTATTTAAGTACAGTTTAGTTTAAACGTCATATAAATTGCAAAAATCTAAGCTACTTTTGGTACTTTTTTGGTTAAAAACTTTAAATAACTTGAAGCTCAAAGCAGAAGACTTGGACTTGACTCGGACTTATTGGCCAGTGACTCGAGACTTGACTTGGACTTGCCTGTCTTTGACTTGGGACTTGACTCGGACTTGAGGTCAAAGACTTGAGACTTGCAAAACAATGGTCCTACACATGATTACTTTTACTTTACGGTGCTTGTACTTGTAAAGCTATAAGTTGTGTAGCACTGAAGTCTTAATTAGAGATCCAGATATTTTGAGTCTGAACTGTTGAGACAAGAAAATATAAACCAATATCAGTGCAGATACTGGTTTCAAAAGTGAAGGCTTCATCACAGCAGCTTTTGGTTTAGGAAATCCTGATACTGGATTTACTCTCTCTATAAATCCCTCCCCCTTTTGTGGTGATTGGCTCAGCTAGAGTTCTACTGAGGAAATTAATCTCTATAAAGCACTACCAGACCAAAATAATACAACAAAAACCACAACAAAAGTCTTATAATTTGACTGACCTAGTTCACAATTGTACTTTTTCTCAGTTTGAGCCAATGCTTATACGAATATTTGTCTATCTCTTTCCGTCCTGAAGCAAAGGGAAATACTTAATTTAATTGAAGCACTGATACTGACCCTGCCTCTCATCAGCATAAGTGGGATCACAGCATGACCATTGCGTTCAATCACATTTACAGTGGATACATGTAGGTCACCCACAGTGTAGGTGTACTTCAGTAATATGACAGTATAAGCTGTATAGGGAGCTCTCTCTCCAGTCTCCATCCATCCTTTACGCAGATCTCATCCATCTCTGTAAATATATTGTGTGGTGTGTGCAGGTCTATTGATAGTTTGCAGTGACATCGCATTGGGGGTGTTCTACATGAATTTCTATTGGAAGGGATCAGTGGTGTAATGGGGGTTTTTTAAGTGGGGGTACGTGATTCGTAACATCCTCGATGAATCCCGCCCACATGCCCCCCCTCATCCACCTCCACCTAAAAAGCTATATAGATTAGATAGTCATTTGAAAAAAAGTAAAAAGTAAAAATCTGTAATATTTGATGTTTTTTTTACTCAAAATGATGCGGAATCATGTTATTAAAGCTGTTTATAATCACCTACAGAACAAAAATCATAGACTACAACACATGTGCCCAAACCAGGTCTAAACCAGGACTAAACCAGGACTGAACCAGGATTGAACCAGGACTAAAACAGGTCTAAACCAGTACTAAACCAGAACTAAACCAGGACTAATCTTGGACTTGAGAGAGAGAGGGAGAACCCCGAGCCCGTGGAGCAGGGTGTCCGCAATGCGCAATCGGGCAGCGGCTGCGCTTTGCCCCGTGGGGGAGCTCTGCATCGTTTTTTTTGTCTGCGGTCACCCAATGGTCTACATGGGCGCACCTCTGGCCAGTCCTGATACTCAGTCCTGGTTCAGTCCTGGGATCAGTCCTGGTCCCTCATGTCTCAGGTCACTATAGGACAGTCCTGCAGATATCTTGAGCCAATGCAGTTTGTGTTCACCATTGCCAAAAGCTCCGGTTTGACATTTAAGTTGTAGAATTTTTCATAAGATCGTGCACAAATAAGAAAGATTATCTTGTGAGATTTTTATCCAAGTGTTTACATTTAGATTGGACAAAAAAGGTTTCAAAGTTAGTGATTTACTTCTCTTACAGCTCCAAAAAGCATAGAATGGACTAGAATAGAAACAAAAATATTAAATAAATTAACAAATGTGAGGCCAAAACTGGGAATAGAACTGTGAAATGTTTATACTAGGAATTATGTTAAAATCTTATCTTGTTTCATTTTCGTGGACCCAATCTCGTCCCATCCCTAGTGTTTAGCAGTTTCCATGGTGACACAATGCAAACACAAACAAAAAAGTTTTAAGATTGTCTGTGAACTCAAGAAAAAATACAAAATTGGTTTAAGGAGCTAATTTCCTGGAAGCTGTGCATGTAGGTGTACTTCAGTAATATGATGTATGTATAAGCTGTACCGGGCGCTCTCTCTCCAGTCTCCATCTTCTCCGTCCTTTACGCAGATCTCATCCATCTCTGTAAATATATCGTGCGGTGTGTGCTCCTCGTCCTCATCCTCCACCCCCAAAAGGAACTGCACTCTCTGTGAGGGGGTGTCTGCAGAAAAAAACACAGGTAATGCAGCAAAATATACACAACCAGTCAAAAGTGTTGACATGTTGGGGGTTCAGGTGCAGCAGCAGAAAGTATCAAAATGACACTATACCATTATAAATGGGCACATATGGGATATGGGAATTTATGGGAAACAAAAAAATATACTAACAAAATGACTTGTTTTGGATTTTAAATAATTAAAAACAGCCATCCTTCACTTTGCTCACTGCTTTGGACATCTGTCTTTCCTTGGCCCTGACATGGCACATTTTCAGGAAACTTCATCAAGAAGCTCATTGAGAGAAGGCCAAAGGTTTATAACATTGTCAACAAAGCAAAGGGAGACAATTTGGGGAAAATCTATGGAAAATTAAAAAAAAACAACATTCAGCTGAGTTATGTTTTTGCTACATATTTCCATATATCTTGTACCATATATTTGGTATTATCTATTTGCAGAGGTGAGTAGTAAATTACATTTACGTAACTTTTAAACTTTTTAAAGAAATTTAACTTGTCAGAGAACTACTCTAGTAGCATACTTTTACTCCTATTTGAGAAATATTTTAATTGAAGCACAGTACTTTTACTTGAGCAAGTCTATATCTGTTTCTTGCACCGCTCCTTCAGATATGATTTACTTTTTTCTTTTGAAAATAACAGATTATTTGCATTATTTGATGTTTTGATGTTCAGGTGCCACAGTGGGGCGCCAGTTGCAAAAACTGTCATTGTGTCTTTCAGCAAGACACGTCACCCAGATTGCCAAGTACGAAAGTGGTGTGTGCGTGAGTGATGGATGTGGTCAGAGGGACCGATGATGCTGATTGGCAGCTGTGCTTCAGTCACTCTGCCCCAGGGCAGCTGTGGTTACAATAGTATCTTACCCCCACTGAATATGGTATGACTGAATAATGCTCTGTAAAGCGTCTTTGTGACAAATGTCTGTGAAAAGTGCTATACAAATTAAAAATCTACTTACTCCCCATAAAATTAACTGTAAATTATAAATCAGATGTTACGTCCTGACAGTTATTCTTTAATTTATTTGAGTAGTAGTTTCCCCAAATATTTACTCTTACTTGAGGAATTTCTTACTTACACTACTTTATACTTCTGGTTGAGTAATATTAATTTGAAGCAACATTACTTTTGAGTACAGTTCAGGGCTACTCTACCCACCTCTGTCTGTATGTAGGTAACAAATATAGTAAACTGAAAGAGAAAAGTCCAGAGCCTCAAGGACTTTTGACCAGTAATGTAAATACAAAGTGCTGGTATTCTCATGTCGTTGAAGTCTCACCATAAACAGGAGACTCGCGTCCCTCGACCAGGGTGGGGGCGCGCTCCATGCTGCGTCTCTTGTGGTGCCTGCTGCCATGGTGACGGTGTCTGCGGTGACTCCTCTGTCTGGTGCTGCCCAGGGGAACGTGCACGCCGATGTACAGCGTCCTGTGTCCTGTGGAAGGAGAGAGGACAGCTGTAAGGTTATGCAAGTGGTTCAAGATGTTAAAGTGGTTATGACAAGTTACGAAAACACAATTAAGATCATTATATTTAAGATTTGGCTGAACATTTTACAATTTCTTTTCCCTAGTTTGTTATTTTATTACATTTCAATGATGTACAATGGGCCAAAACTCTTCTACTGTACAAGAGAATTATTATTTGACAAACAAAAATACAAGAAAATCACCTTATTTTGTTGAAAAAATGTTTAAAGTATCAGAAAAATGTGTTTCTTTAGTGTAAATTGTGGCAAACGTGTGGACAGAATTCTACCAGTGCGATGTTATCAATATACAACTCCCTAATTCTGTAACTTTCAACATATTTAATTGCTTCTTGATTGGTATAAAACTATAATTTATATTTTAAACAGGTATTATCCCACCAAATTAACTAAAATTAGTGAATGATCAAAAACTTTAAGGCTATGAAGTTATTATTATTATCAGGGACAGAGACAGAGAGAACAGAGGAGCAGGACTAGTTTTGTCTAATCATTTAAATTATAAGAAATGTAATTTAATAGACACATTATAGGCCTACTGAGTACTTAGTAATAATTAGTAGTGATGCATTTGGGGATTTACACTGCAGAATTGGTGTAATGTTTAAATTTTAAAGGCCTTATATTACACAAATCTGACTCTTGTGAGCTTTAAGACGTGTTATAATGTTGTTTTCATTTTCATTTTTTGTATTTTTACTTGTACATATGCATTTATATAATTATGCCTTATTTGATTTTGACAGTCTCTTGCTAATTTTTGCTACTTAGATTTTTATATTTTTGCTCTTTGTTATTATAATATATCGTGATGTGTGAGCTATTGTGTCCAAATAATTTCCCTTGTGGATCAGTAAAGTTTGTCTAAATCTAGTATTCTGCGGCACAGCCTGTCTGTGAATAGTCAAATCTACATAATTTATTCTATTTACTATTCTAAATGAATCCTAAATGAATGCCAGGTATAGCAGCTGGTGCTAGTACTCTGATAATGTGTGTGTTTTGATTGTTGGTGTTGTGTAACTGTGGAATAACTGATGACGCTCCCACACGTTCTACTCCCACTCCAGCCTCCAGCCTCCAGCCTCTCTCTTAAATCTGAAAAAACTGTCAAGAGGAACGGTTGGTGCGGACAGTCAGACTCCGCGTGGGCACACTCACATCCCAAAGCTTTTCCTTCAGATCTTTTAAAAATTCAATATCTGCTTGTCACTTGAATTAAAGGTGCATTGTCGTAACTTTTCTGGTGGAGGGTCGGTCAAATGCTTTTCTTCATGAAGATGTTATTGATTTGTGTGAAATGTTTCATAGTATGGTTTAAACCTATTCTCTTTTTAAAAAGACCAAAGTAGGACATATTACAAGTCAGATCTGTGGAGAGGCGACCCCGCTCACAGTCAGAATACCTGTTTTTTCTAGGTATTACAGCAATAAAACCAAATGTAATTGAATAAATGTAAAGTAGATCTGTTTAATGGCATACTGTCGTTCCAAGCAGAGCAATGATAGATAGCTGTATGCCATGCTGTGGAAGATTATAGCATATAGCCAGAGGAACAACATTTCCATGGAAACACTGTATGTTTTCACATTATCACAGAAATACTAAAAAGCAAACAGTGGCTTTAATCTACTGCCAAAAACCCTGAAAAAGGCAATCTCACTGTGAGCAGGCTGATATGTAACCTGTCCTGAGCACGTCCCCACCTTGTCTCCATGGAAATAGATGAATTAATGCTATACTATGGAATATTCTAGGCTAGGCATGTCAAACTCAGGCCCAGGGGCCAAATTTGGCCGATATAATTATATTTGGCCCATGAGATCATATCAAACATGTATAAGAGCTGGTCCGCCGGCTACAGATAGACTATAGAGACATTATTTTTTATATTTATTTAAAATGTTGTTATTTTTTTATATTCTGCTTGTTCTGGATTCAATGTTTAAGCAAAAGTATTATTAAACATTTATTTTAATAAGAAAAGGTTTAACATCACATATCTCAAAAGGAGAGAAAACATGCAGCTGTTGTTGAAATGTTCAAATCAATATTTCGTTTGGCCCACGACTTAGTCCCAGTTTTTAATTTTGAGTTTGACACTCTTGTTCTAGGCAATGTAACCTCATCCAGAAAAGTTACGTAGTACACCACACCTTTAAGTAAATCACAAGAAGGATGCAGGTTTGCATAGGGACGGTGGGGACATGTCATAACCAATAGTTAGGGAAGACAAAATAGTCCTTTCCAATTTTTTTTTAAATAAACAAAAATATCAATTTATTCCGATATTTTTCCAAACTCAACTGACTCTAAAATGTACGGACATTACCTCACAAATATTAAGCAACCAACAAGCAAAGGGAAATCTGCTACAAACTTCTACATCACTGTTATCAGGTAAAGCAACCTAAAAGTAAGTACAGGTAACCTATCAGTTGGTTTCATGGGGGGTTGGCTCAGAATGTCCCCACCAAAGCTGAGACCAAACCCAAGCCCTTGGATCACAACCAAGATACGTTTATGTGTTTTCCAGTCATTTTTCAGTGTTTCTCTTTACCATCAAGATCCTCCTGCTCAAAGTTGGTCCCTTGTTGTGATCTGGTCCCTCCATGGTCCACCACTGCTTCATCGTCACTTCGCTGGAACACAAAACACAAAAATGATTATTAAACTTAATTAATTCTATATTACAAATGGATATTATGCCAATGTGTTAGCTGTTCTTTACTGGCTGTTCTCTCACAGACATCAGTCTCAGTGCCTGTTGAACAAACACATTATGTGACAGTATAGTGCTGTCGTCATGGCAACTAATTACACATCTGTAAAAGGGAGAGCTGTCATCTTGGTCCAAATAGAAAGTGTTTCATAATGGCAACAACAAATTATCTTTTCATGAATCAGCCTTCATTCAATGAGATCTACTTTCAATCCAACAGAGCTACAATCACTCTCTACTTTATTTCATCATTGGTTTATGAGATAATCATGTTACACAAGTCTGTCCTCTCTTTTAGCAGATGTCTGTCAGTCGAGAATATCACATTTAAAGCCATTTTCATCCAAATGCGTCTTTATAATTTCAATAAATACCAAATAGGTAGATTGTAATAGTTGTTATCTTGTGAGGTAGCCATCTTTCTGTTGGCACTACCCTTTGGCCTCACTAGAAAATCATTTTATTTATTTTTTTTTTTTTAATTGAGTAGTTTTATTCGGCCATTTTGCAGCACTACAAAACAAAACTTAAACTATAACCCCATGGATCATGACCGAAAGGGTTTAGGCTGAAGTAAAAAAGTTCTTATAAAGCCTAACCCTTTTAAACAATGACAGAATGGCAAGAAAGAAAAGCAGCAAAAACAGCAAGTTTGCATTTACAATTTCACTTACAACTTACTGTATATATAAGAGACAAAATATTAATTAAAAAAACTAAATTTAATGCATAATTCATTCATACCAGTGCTCTATATCTTTCAAAACATAACGCTTTATACTCTTTAATACATTTTTTTTTATTTTTATCTTCATTACAATCACTTAATCAATCATTTCTCAAACAGGTATAAATTAAAAAGAAACATGGATAGAATAATGGACAAAATCAGGTCCAAATGTGAATGCACCCAAAAACTTTAAATGCTTTTGGACTTAATGTAGAAACAGAAACAGCTAATACAGTGTTAATGGTGTCTCAGGTGAGGCTTTTGCTTGCCATTCTACTTTGCCTAATTATTGTACTGAGAAAATCAGATGAATATCGAGGATAGGTATTGACCAGCAAGAGTAGGGATGCACCGATCTGATACTGGTATAAGACATTGAAAAATTGGCTGGATCGGATATCGGTTTCCAAGTCAATAACCTGGTTGGATATAAGTTGATGTATTAAGAGTCGTAAGGCCTGTTTACACGAGAATATAGACAAAATATTTTATCAGAAGTGTCTTTCGTTTAGACAGTGACAGCGTTTTGGGGCTTAAAAATGCCAAAATCTGAAACCACCCCCCAGAGTGGAAAAGTTGAATATTCCCCACCGTAGCGTTTCTGTCTACACTGCCCATGACGCAAAACTCTGGACAGATCCGCTCATGTCGTGCGCGCGTTTACGTCACATACATCACCACCGATCGTCACCGTCTAGTCGCCTGGTATGCATCCACAATCGAATTCCACACACTTTTGCGTCACCGTATGCACACAGATTTCCTCCCGAAAACACTTGTCTAAACACAAAATAAAAAGTGAAGACGTGACGCCACTTTTGTGTCTTCTGTTCAGACTGTTCAGACGTAGCCGTTGTCTGTCAGAAAGTCTCATAATGTTTAAACTTTTATCTATACAAAGTTGGATAAGTTCTGTCTTCTTTTATTTATGTTTTAAGGATATACTAGTAAATGCTGTTTTCAGTATCGGATCATATCTGGTATCAACAATCAATACTTAAAGCTATAGTAATGGAACAGGTATCGGAACTGAAAAAGCTGGATCTGTGCATCCCTAAACAAGAGGCAACAGCAGCAATAAACAAGATGACAAAGCACAAGGACTCATACTAGGAATATTAATACCCCATAATCCACTGCTTTTATTTTAGATCATACCATTTTAGCAATATATAACATACAATTCTGCTCTTATGCCGCACAGATACTCAACATGTAATAATATCAAGCAAGTTCAGCTCAAAAATAAAAGTATAATCCTTTGAGCTTTTGTGAGATTATAAAAAAACAGACCAACAATGCCATTACAGCCTGTTTAAGTGTAGTAGGAGATTTAAACTGGTACACCAGGTTCACAAAAAAGTACAGCCTGTTATTAAAAACCAGGGTAATTTCCTGAAATGCATCGGGACACTGAGATTAGTGTCAAACCAACAGACAAGGCAGCATCCTGTGGTGTGAATCTGACTATGAACGCTTATGCAATGCTCAAGAAATAAAAATGGATGTGAGAAGAGGAGGTAGAAGGAAACGGAGAGATAATTTCTGTTTGAAGGTCCTGTATTGTGTGACACTGACTCTTGTGAGCTTTTAATCATGATGGGATCTTGTTACATCCTCAAAAACATACCTAGACTTGGACTGGTGTTTTGTTTCATTCATGCATGTTTGAGAAACACTTTATTATTAGTCTGTTTACATATCTAAAGCTCAAAATGCTGTGATATCATGAAGAGGTGATAAAAGGTGGTTAACAGCTCCTTTTACCTTTAGTTCAGTGGAGATTGGCAATCCCAGGGCTGAAATTATCCAAATTATTCTAGTGAAAGTGTATGGAGCTGGAGCACTTCCTGTATTAACACGTGACATCACAAGGTGGAACAGGGCATTTTGAGGTTTGGAGATGTAAACAGACTAATAATAAAGTGCTACTCAAACATGCATGAATGAAACAAAACATTAGTCCAAGTCTAAATATGTTTATGAGGATGTAACAAGATCCCAACATGACACAGACAGACTAAAGGCTGCCACACACTACAGGATTTTTCAGTCTTAAATCATTTTTAAACTTGCGACAAAAAGCGCACACCACAGACACGAGGAGAATCTTATGAGATTTTTTTTGTTTTGTTTGTTTAAACATATTTTATAAAGTTTTCAACACTTTAACACAAAACACAGAGCCTGCTGAGCACAGGACTGAGTTTTCCTCATTACATAAATATTACTCAATTAAGCAAGACAAACCGACCTGGTCAAACAGGCAAACCAACAGCCCGCCATGACACTGAGCCTGTACCTCTCTGTATAACGACACTGACATCACCGAGCAAGTAGTCAAGCAGAGGCCGCCACAACTCCATAAAGAAATCGTCATTACCTTTCAATTTTGCACTGACTCTTTCCATGGGTAAGACTCTAAAAATGTCTTTATACCACTGGGTGACAGTCGGTGGCTTCTCATCCAGTTCCATTTAAACAGCACACATTTCTGTTCCAGAAATAGTCATTTAGCCACCAGTTTTAATTTGCTTTATCTTATGATATTTTAAATCTCTGATTGCAAAGACTGCAGCAGGATACGAACCACAGTTTATAAAGTTGTGAGCGCGATCGCATCCACTTCCTTTCCTGTTTACAGTAAAGTAAACCTACTCACATTGAGATTCTTAAGAGTTCAAAAGATGAGAGCACTGCACTTTTAGTTTAGATACAGTCCAAAACTGAGTTAATACTATTTGGGAAATGTGGTGCAATATTTCAGATACATGATTTTTAAAGCATAAAAGATAAAGTCCACAGGAAGTAGAGCCACTATCACTAATATGTAGCTTCACCTCAATCCATGCATAAACAGACACATGTGAGGAACTACTCTCGCATTTTTATTTTTAAAGAACGTCTCAAACTGGATAAATAGCGCAGTTTTGTGGACTGGATGTCATTATTTGCGAAGGACAAATTCTATGGATGTGGATGAGAAGCTGCAGTTTACATTTACAATTTTACGAGAGTAAAAATTATCCGCACTATTTCTTGAGTTTGTATCTTGCGCCTCTGTGTCCGTCACTCCTCTACTCCTGACGCTGTTTTATCAGCTTTTACCATAGCGTTGCTGATGTTTAGTGGTTACGATCTGACAGAGCAGCTCAGAGTCACAAAAACCACACCACACACAAGGAGCGCAGCGGCTTCAGAATTGCACACGAAGACACAAAGTCGGGTCAAGCTTCCCCAAAATCGAGCAATTTCTCCTGTAATGTGTGGCGACCTTCAGAGTGTTTTCTGTTTGAGAGAAGAACTTAGCCTTAATATGTTTGCGTGTTAATTAAACATGTGTGAATGAAACAAAACACAACCGCAAGTGTGTTTATGGGGAAACATTATAACATAGAGCTGAAAATAGTGCAATATGGGCCCTTTAAATGCTCACCTTTGCAATGTAAACAGTCGGCATAGTAGTAGCTTTATAAAGTCACTGCTTCCGGGAATGCCAACGCAGAGTCGCAAATCAGCCAGACTTTTCACACATAGAACAGTATAATCACACAAGCTTTAAAGAGCTACTAAAATGGGTGGGTTATTAGCACCTGTGTCCAAGAACAATTTATAAAGCAGCTACAGTAATGTTAGAAAGAAAATGCTTTGTTTGTGCGAATAAAAAAAAGTGTACGGATAATTTTGGAGCCAGTAGGTGCCTGTTTTATGTGTGATAACAGAAAAGGAATTGATTGGTAGAAATAGAATTAAAGCTGCACTGTGTAAATTTTTGGTTGGGGCTACCTGTTTGTTTCTATGGATATGCCATTGTTCTGTCTGGAATGTTCCACAGTATGACATTAAACAGCTCTACAGCACATTTATTCAATTGCAGGTGGGTTTATAGCTCAACAATACCTATAAAAACAGGAATTCTGACTGTGAGCGGGGTCGAAGCTCCACAGATCTGACCAGTAACTTGGCCTGGTTTGGTCTCCATGAAGATAGAAAGGTTTAATGCCATACTGTGAAACATTCAAAGCAATAACATCTGCACAGGGAAAAGCATTTGACAAAACCTTCACCAGAAAAGTTATACAATGCACTTTTGACATTAAGGAGCCCTAATTTGAGGACTGCAATTGATACTTTGCAGTTGATGTTGTCAATATTCCCTGGGGATGTGAAGCTAATTTAAGGCTCTGCTC